ACTGGATATGAACATATTACGTAGGAACCTGTACACAGTTTTTGATATTTTTATAATATTTTGTTAATTTTTATAGTATGTACGGTATACATACTATGTAGGAACCTGTACACAGTTTTTGACTATTAAGCATTCAACCAATTTCTCATTAATCGTTTTTTAAATCTTTCTGAACAACTTGATTATATTTTCCATAATGATTCATTCCACTCCCTGCAGGGGATGTGCCATATCTCAATCTTCAATTATGCTTTTTATATATGGATATAGAATTCCCCTACAAAAAACACCTTAAACTTTTGGTTAAGGTTGCTAGGTTGCATATGCCACCAACACGAACCAAAAAAACCAAGGAAAGTAAGTAATGAAGTCATTCAGCCTTCAACTCATCAGTTCGAACTTCTGAACCTCAACTACTTGCCTTCCATCATCTTGTCTGAGAACTGCAACCTTAACTCTGTCTTCTGGTTTTCCAATGGTTGTGAGTGTATTTGTTTGTTTAATCCTAATAAGACACATGCTGGGCAGTCAGTGAAATAAGGTAGTTACTTTAAGATAGTTTTTAATAAAGTTTTATTGACCAATACATCTCTTCTTATAAGGTTTCTGTGCCAGATCTGATTCTGAGCCCATGTAGATGATAATTAGTTAATTTACCCAACAGCACTTTGCCTCTTCTTGAATCCATGTCTGAAAATAACAGACTGCCCAGAGCCCTAGTGTTACTTCAGACTTAGTTGGTAGAATAGTATCTTCTAATTTTTATTGGTATTGTAATTTTCAAATGTTGAAAAAAATTATCAAATCTTGGAGTTATTTTAATTTTAAGGAGGTTAATTCTGTCCTCCAAGTGAATATCTGCTGGGACAATGCAGTTAAATCTTGGTCTCTTCCCTGATATTAGTGCAATTGGTCCCATATAAATTATATGTAGAAGGAGTAACACTTACTTTGTAACACTTAAACCCTTTATGACCATAAAGGGGACATCTGTAGGGGGAACACAATCAGCTTCCCCCAATATGTGATGCTTCTCATGTATCTTAATTAGTGTTATATCCTGAGATTTCCACATGAGATTTAAGACATGAAAGAGAATCTGAATACACATCTCTTATTGTTGCATCAAATACAGCCAATAATAGTCAAATTCTGTGTCACTGACACTATTGCACTTCATTTGAAGTTTTCTTCAAAATTTGTGTGAAGAATAGAGTGGAGCTGTGCAGAAGCTACTCAAATACCATTGGATTTCCAAGTTTAGATCTGCACAGGAGTTAACTCTGCTAGAAGCAGTATTAAATCGCTCCAACGAACTAGGGGAGAAGGGTAGTGCATGGCGATTCAGGCCCGGTGAGACAATATTATTCTTTCTCTGGAGGTAACAAGGGAACATTATTACAGTTTAAGAGAACTGTGTACCACATTTGTACATAAGAAAAATGGTTTGGAGCTTAAGGCATTAGACAGGGACTTAGGAGATCTTGGTTCAGTTCTCGGTTCTGACACTTACTTGAGCAAGTCACTTGATCACTTTGGGCGAGATTGTGATTCCCTTACTTACATTGAATGGCACCTAATTTCTTGAGTAGTGGCACTGACTTCAGTGGTACTACTTGAGGAGTAAGAGATAACCCTATGGGCTTGTCTACACTACCGCTTAAGTCGATGTAACTTATGACATTCACGGGTGTGGAAAAAGCCACCCTCCTGAGCGATGCAAGTTACATCGACTTAAAGTGATGTCCACATCACGCTCTGTAGGCAGCAAACACTCTTCCGCTGACATATCTTCTGCCTCTAGTTGAGGTAGAGTAATTATGCCGATGGGAGAGTGCTCTCCTGTCAGCATAGCCCATCTTCACCAGATATGCTACAGTGGCGCAGCTGCATCGGGTCAGCTGCGCCAGTGTAGCGTGGTAGTGTAGACTAGCCCTATATATTTGAGAAAATTTTAGTGTGGCTATCTAAGCCTCAGTTCCCCATGTATAAATGGGGATAATGGTAGTTACGTATGTCACGTATTTGTGAGGCACTCGGATACTACAGTGATAGACTCACTGTGGTATGTTCCGTTGGCAAAACTAATTATTCAAAGCTTCCATATTCTTAAAATATGCTTTGTGGTTGTGGTGGTGACTGTACTCACATCAGATATCTATTTTGCTTCATACCTGACCTCTCAATGTAGTAGACCAGTAGTTTTCAAGCTCTTTTTTCTTGGGACCCAGTTGAAGAAAATTGTTGATGCCCGCGGCCAAACGAAGCTGGGGATGAGGGGTTTGGGCATGGGAGGGGCTCAGGGCTGGGGCAGAGGGTTGGGGTGGGGGAGTGAGGGCTGTGGGGTGGGGCCGGGAATGAGGGGTTCAGGGTGTGGGAGGGGGCTCAGGGCTGGGGCAGGGGGTTTGGATGCGGGAGGGGTCAGGACTCTGGGATGGTGGTGCAGGCTCTGGGGTGGTGCCGGGGATGAGTGGTTTGTTGTGCAGAAAGGGGTTCCAGGTTTGGGGGGGTCTCAGGGCTGGGGCATGGGGTTGGGGCACAGACTTACCTCTGGCACAGACTTACCTCCCAGTCAGCCGCGCAGCCGGTATGCAGAGTCAGGCTTCCTGCCTGTCCTGGCACTGTGGACCACGCTGCACCCCTGAAGCAGCCAGCAACAGGTCTGGCTCTGTGCGACACTCGCTTGCAGGCACCCCCCACCCAGCTCCCATTGGCCAGAAACCAGGGTGGATTTGATTTAAATCATTAGTTGGGAAGACTTGATTTAATCATGGATTTCTACATAAAAGTGCATTCTTGTTGGTTGTTATAACCTTAATACATATTCTTCACAACTCAGAGAGAGATGGAGGTTTCATTTTTAGAAGGTACACACTATACATTTTTAAAGTGATTTATTTTGAAAGCTTTTCAGATTAGTTTTACAGCTATATCAAAAAATGAATGATTGTTTGGTTATTTCATTTACCAAAGGAATTGAAGTAGATTTTATGAAGTCATGGGGAGATGAACTATCTCCAATTCAACAGGTTAATCATTAATATTTGGAGTATTTTCTTGCCATGCTGAATTAGGAGGAGAACATCAGCAGACAGACATTTAAATTGTTTTATTTAACTAAAACAACAGTGTTATGTATTCTGCATTTTTTTCTTCAACAGCAAACATAATATTTTAACAAAACAAGTATATGAATTTTTGAATTTAGTTAAACATTCAAGTTTTTTAAAATCAGGTTTGTTTTTTTAAAATTGTTTTAACTAAAATAGTTAAATGAAATATTTTAAAAAACCCGCAAAAATTAAATAGACTATGTCAGCCAGGTCGACATGAGAAACTTAAAATATTGGCTTCTGCAGCTAACTCAATCGTTTTCACCTTCATTTTCCTGTTTGTTCATAATCTGGAAAAGAAAAACAAGCTTTCCTGCTTTTTCAGGTCCCAAACGATTTCTCAGTTTGGAATGAATTAGTCCAAAGGAAGAAAATATTCTTTCTACACCAGCAGAAGAAGCTACTGCTGTTAAAAGTGAGATTATCACTTCAACAGTCTCTGAATCCAAGTGCTTAATTGACTTCCATCAGTTCACTGGTGTGACTTTCTTTAAAACATCAGCAAACATACATTTCTAGAACGGTTCTTATTCCCAAACTGGGTCTCTTTTACGGCCTGTTGCCATTTTCGGTTTTCCCTTCTCATGAGCGAATGGTATGGTAGATCTCAAATCAAAGAAGGCTACACTCAGAAAGACTTCAAGACTTTTGGAATATGCTGCTCAAACAGTTTCACTTTTGTTTTTACTGCCTGTCCCTCCCTTCTCACATTTCTCTCCAGACTTCTTCCCCTTGTCCAGATCTATTCTGCCCCGAAGAATTCATTGAACTTTTTGAAACTTTGCACTTTTAGAGAGAGTTAAAGGATTGACTCTGTGAGCACAAATTTGCAGAGGGACAGTAGGGCTGAGGTCTGTTGTTTCTCACCTCTATATATTATTTATTTAAAAGTATTTTTGCTGTTAACAAGCATGTTATCTCTGGAGACACCCTACCTTCAGCCCACATTAGCAGCTCCTGTCCCACGGAGCTGGGCCCAGCTCCCCACTCTGGGTGCTGCAACCTATCACATGTGGTTGCAGCACCACTCAGGTTTGGTGCATCCACCCCTCTGTTTCCGTCTACAGAAAGGTGGATGTGCCGCTCCGGAGTGCTATTGTGACCCTAGGTGCAGCTAGGTTGCAGTGCTAATCAAATTTGGCCAAGTCACCCTTCCATTTCCATCTAATGAAGGGCCAAACCTGAGAGGTGTTGCAACACCCAGAGCCAGGACCTGGACTGAGCCCCACAGGACAGGAGCTGGTGCTGCAGGGTCAGTGCAGTGTGGGCTCCTCATGGACTCTATTCAGATTCACGATTACCTTGAACATTGTGACCTTCATCTGAAAACTGTTGACTTGATCATAACTCTTTTAACAGCAGAAGACTTCTAACAGTTTCTGTGAAATATATCTTTCAAAGATGTAAATGTTTGTTGTTGAAAGCCCCATCGAGCAGATGGTTGTATAGATCAATTTGCTAAAACAAATTAAATTCTGAACATTAAGAACAATGAGATTATTACATATTGGTGGTTGAAAAGCATGTATGATACAGAGTAATGACTTTATGGAGTTGTGGAACTATATGGTACTTAATGAATAGCTACTAAGATGCAGCAAAGGAGACTTACTAGAGAGAGGTAGTTTGAAAAATATGCACAGTAAAATCAATTGCAACACACTGTTTTATAAAGCACTGTGTTAAACTTTTAGCACTGAATGTAAGCTACCAAATGCAGTAATTTATGGATTTCTTAGTTTCTAGCTGTCTGTCACTTTAGTATTCAGTATAAATGAATAATGCTTTTCTGATCTTGAGGGCAAAAGACACAGAAATTTGCTGCAGGTTTTTAATTATATTACCTAAATTAATAATTTTTGTTTGTATGTCTACAGAATGTCGTTGGCTGCTTATTGTGTATTTTGCTGCAGAAGAATAGGAACTTCTGGTCCAATCACAAAAAGTGATCTGCCGTGGAAAGATATCAGTAAGTGCAATTCTGTAAATATCAACTTGAAGAGCTCATAAAAATGACTGTGTTGCTACAGTAAGCTGTGTATTTAAATTATGGATTGGACTTCACAAGATGATATTGGGAAGGTCTACATACCATTTGTAACCCCAAAAGACTTGGAGATGATATGTTCATGTTTTCAGTCTCTCTCCCATACCTCCAGAGTATTGCCATCACTGACCTTGGCAAACAGAGCTGTCATTTAAAATATAATTATTATGCGTCAGCGTCAACACTTCACTGGCATGAGTGGAGTAGCTAGCATTGCTCAGACAGACAGCTCTGCACTGGTTAATGCTTCATATCACAAAGGATAAGCTTCACAACCAGAAAGGCTAGAAACGTAATTTATTTGGGGGAAAAAAAACCCGAAAGATTTTTAGAACACAAAATGGCAGTCTCCAAAAAATTACCATCTCATTAAGCTGCCATAAATTGACCTCATTCAATAAGTTTTTTTCACCTTAGAACCATAGGAACAAACTTATCCTGAGATTCTTAAAGCAAGGGGCAACATTTGAGTAAACGTAGCTTCTGTTTTCTTTTCCTGCCTGCCTGCTGGCAGTAGGCCTACCATTCTTCTTTCTTACTCTCTACCTTCCTTCTGCTTTCCCTCTAGAAGAAGAGCCCTCTGGATTCTTAATCTCTCTGACCCAGCATCGAAGACTGGATACTTCCATTCTTGATAGATAGCAGACTTCGTGTTTCATGCCTGTTTTACCTTCCCTGTCAGTAACTTTTCTGGCATGTAGCTGCTTCTTGTTTTCATACCAGAAATCTTTGAGAAGCCTGCTCCATGCTACTTCCCTGCAAGGGCAGAACCTGGTGGAGTAGGACGTGGGGCAAGTCTCCCAAGGAAATTTATTCTTGAGAGGATGAGATATGTCGTATTGGGATTCGCTCCTCTCAGTTGTGACAGACCCTCTCCATTGGCTCCAATGGAATCCAAAAACAGGTTCACCTTGTCCAGGTATAAGATGCCTTAGTCCTGGCCAGTGTCCTTAGAATTAAAGTGTAAAGCACTATAAGTGCCAAATACTGTGTCAGCTGTCCTGTTCAGATGAATGAGATTTGACTAAATTTCTGTAAAGAAAACCTATGAGACACCTTTGCAAGGCTTAACAGATAAGAGCATGTATCTTCCTGTATTCACCCCCACATAGCAGAGATCTCAATGAAATTATTTATTTAAAGGAGGAATCTTCTTCATAGTTTATGGCAACTGTTCAGTACAAGCCATATTGTTGATCACCTGCTGCTGATATACTGTCAGTAACAAAAGATTTATTAGTTTATTTAGCTGTGAGAGCAGGGGTTTTGTAATTTAAAACTAGAGGGGAAGAATGTCGAATGTAAAATCTATCACTAGTTTTCAACTACTGAAAACATGGAGTCAGAAACAGAAAAATGAGCGTGAAAAGCCTGCTCTATTCCTCTTTAACATTTTTATAATCTTTGACGTACAGTATCCAGAACTGATCAAATGCCTTAACTTTTTAATAACAATTTGTATGCACACAGTTTGTTTGACTTTGGGTGTTTTTTGTTTGTTTAAGGAAAAATTTCAAAATTAACTGGATCACTTATTCTCGGGTAAGTTGTAACTAACAATTACTCATCTAATTTATATCTTTTATTTATATCTGAAGTTATGTCACTTCCCAAAAAAGGATCTTGCTAAATAATCTTTAAACATGAAGTACCTTAAGTTTTAAATGATAACTGAACATCTTTGCATATTTTGAGGTACTGTCCATTAAGATCACTTCTCTTTCTTTGCCCTGATTATTTGAGACACTATACTGGTCCCTGCAACATGTCAAACACTTGATTACAAAGAAGATCAAATGCGTATATTGTATTTGATAAAATATATTCTCTATAGAGCAAATGATGATTTACCTTAAAACAGTTTTCAACCTATATTTGTCATCTTCATTCTTTGCATTTGTATTTCTAGATGATATAGAATCATAGAATTATAGAATATCAGGGTTGGAAGGGACCCCTGAAGGTCATCTAGTCCAACCCCCTGCTCGAAGCAGGACCAATTCCCAGTTAAATCATCAAAAGTTAAATCATATGGTGGTCCCTTCTGCCTTAAACTCTTTGACTAATACAGTATTTATATTCCATTTTCTTTTCTTTTTTTAAGAGGTTTCGTATTTATTACATATGAAGTTCTGGCCCTAAAGAAGTTACTGACACTTGATACTCACGTTGTACAGCAAGAGAAACTGAAGTCCTATATTTATGTACATACAGTTTCTTTAGATCCCGGTGAATGTCAAGGTAAGCTATGTAAGATTGTGTGCTGAGAGACAGAACTAAGAGAGCAGCTTTTCAAACAATGCGTGAGTCACTGGGATGGTAAAAGAGGACTAAAAAGAATTTGGTCACGCTGCGTGGTCCCATAATAAACATAATGTGAGATTCTTCTATTGAATCATAGCCCAGTGTGGGACAGAGATAAGGTGACATTAAACCACCCTTGTGCACTTCTGATCCTAGGCTGCTACAGGGCCCCCGACATAATGTAGACGGCCCTTGGAACGTGTCTAAATCACAGCAGCCTCCCAGGGCTACCTGGAATCTCCACAGCCCCGCATACTGCAGTCCCACCCTTGGCAGATCCCCTCCCACCCCAGCACATGCCCTTCACCCTGGCTTACAAAGGGGTCCTTGGAGGTGGCAGCCTCACTGCCGTTTTTGACAGTGCTTGTACCTAGGGATTCCTGCCCCATCTGGGTACAGAGCTTTTAGGGCTCTTATATGCCTCTCTGGCTCTTTGACATGGCACACAGGGGCTGGAGTGTGGGTGAGGATCTCGACAGTAATAAATGCAACTGTCGGTGCTGACTACTGTTCAGCTGTGCTATCTTGCATCGCACAAGGTATGCATTCAATTTTCCCTCTTCCAGAGGCAAATGGTAAAGATGATTATCTATTCATTGTCCTCCCTTTATTTTTTTGAGCGTCATCTGACACATATGTATAACTGCTGATCACTTAAACTGACATTGTTTCATGGACCCTTGAGAACAGCCTTGTTATCATTCTTATTAGGAAAATGGAACTGGAGTTGCTTCATCTCTTGTATAACCTAAGTGTTAGAGTACTGATCTAATCTTGTAACAAAACCACTTCTGTGCTTTTATTGTACCTTATCCATATTATTTGGCCTCAGAGTTTGTGGCTCAGAATATGATTGTTATCTCATAAATAAAAAGCACTATGAAGTTATTATAATTCTCTAATATAGAAAATGTTAGTTGAGCTTTTTATCTTTTTGAATGTAATTTGCAAAAAAAAATTATTTCAAAAAAACTAAAACCCTGTCGTCCTTTAAATAAAGCGTCTTTCTAACTGAAAAGTTGGGCAACTGCTTCAGAACTTAACAGGCTGTTTAAATAAATACAATTTTAGACTGGTAAAGCTATCTCTCTCCTCCTGCACACATTGGTTTTATTCTTTTACATTTTAAATGGTGAACATGAATGGTGTCATTGTAGACGTAGAGATTGACAGTCTTAATCTCAGTCCATAGAAATATTGCATAACAGACTTGGAAGAATTTCCTTTTTCTATTAGTTCTCATATAGTAATATGAGAGGCAAAATAATATGGATCTACTATATTAAAGGGAATATAAAACTAAATATTTTAGTTACAGCAACACTGACATGCAGGCAGCTCTTGGTTGTAGGTTGGAATAAACAACACAAATCATGCAGCATGCCAGTGAGTGTGTAAAGAAGCTTTGGTAACAAATCACTATTTTTGTGAAAAGTGCCGGAGGGTCTTTAATGTCCAGGCAGAGACAATAGGACCTCAAGTCCTCATCTGAAAGACCCACACACAATAAAATGCCTACTCTGAAAGGATAAAGGTTTAAGTTTAATTCTGCTGTAACTGGAATTTATGGTTTCATGGAAACTGGTTATTTCAAACCTGAGCCTGAGACTTTAAGCCACTCCTCCAATTTAAAGGAAAAAAATGACAGTCTTTTGTCTTATTTATAAAAAGAAAAGGAGTACTTGTGGCACCTTAGAGACTAACCAATTTATTTGAGCATGAGCTTTCGTGAGCTACAGTTCACTTCATCAGATGCATACCGTGGAAACTGCAGCAGATATTATATACACACAGAGATCATGAAACAATACCTCCTCCCACCCCACTGTCCTGCTGGTAATAGCTTATCTAAAGTGATCATCAAGTTGGGCCATTTCCAGCACAAATCCAGGTTTTCTCACCCTCCACCCCCCTACACACAAACTCACTCTCCTGCTGGTAATAGCCCATCCAAAGTGACAACTCTCTTCACAATGTGCATGATAATCAAGGTGGGCCATTTCCTGCACAAATCCAGGTTCTCTCACCCCCCTCCAAAAACCACACACACAAACTCACTCTCCTGCTGGTAAAAGCTCATCCAAAGTGACCACTCTCCCTACAATGTGCATGATAATCAAGGTGGGCCATTTCCAGCACAAATCCAGGTTTTCTCACCCCCCCACCCCCATACACACACAAACTCACTCTCCTGCTGGTAATAGCTCATCCAAAGTGACCACTCTCCCTACAATGTGCATGGTAATCAAGCTGCTCGGCAGCTCTCCAACACCACTTTCTACAAGCCATTACCCTATGATCCCACTGAGAGTTACCAAAAGCAACTACAGTATTTGCTCAAGAAACTTCCTGAAAAAGCACAAGATCAAATCCGCACAGACACACCCCTGGAACCCCGACCTGGGATATTCTATCTATTACCCAAGATCCATAAACCTGGAAATCCTGGGCGCCCCATCATCTCAGGCATTGGCACCCTGACAGCAGGATTGTCTGGCTATGTAGACTCCCTCCTCAGGCCCTACGCTACCAGCACTCCCAGCTACCTTCGAGACACCACTGACTTCCTGAGGAAACTTCAATCCATCGGTGATCTTCCTGATAACACCATCCTGGCCACTATGGATGTAGAAGCCCTCTACACCAACATTCCACACAAAGATGGACTACAAGCCGTCAAGAACACTATCCCCGATAATGTCACGGCTAACCTGGTGGCTGAACTTTGTGACTTTGTCCTTACCCATAACTATTTTATATTTGGGGACAATGTATACCTTCAGATCAGGTGCACTGCTATGGGTACCCGCATGGCCCCACAGTATGCCAACATTTTTATGGCTGATTTAGAACAACGCTTCCTCAGCTCTCGTCCCCTAAAGCCCCTACTCTACTTGCGCTATATTGATGACATCTTCATCATCTGGACCCATGGAAAAGAAGCCCTTGAGGAATTCCACCATGATTTCAACAACTTCCATCCCACCATCAACCTCAGCCTGGTCCAGTCCACACAAGAGATCCACTTCCTGGACACTACAGTGCTAATAAACAATGGTCACATAAACACCACCCTATACCGGAAACCTACTGACCGCTATTCCTACCTGCATGCCTCCAGCTTTCACCCTGACCACACCACACGATCCATCGTCTACAGCCAAGCTCTGCGATACAACCGCATTTGCTCCAACCCCTCAGACAGAGACAAACACCTACAAGATCTCTGTCAAGCTTTCTTACAACTACAATACCCACCTGCGGAAGTGAAGAAACAGATTGGTAGAGCCAGAAGAGTTCCCAGAAGTTACCTACTACAGGACAGGCCTAACAAAGAAAATAACAGAATGCCACTAGCCGTCACCTTCAGCCCCCAACTAAAACAACTCCAACGCATTATTAAGGATCTACAACCTATCCTGAAGGATGACCCAACACTCTCACAAATCTTGGGAGACAGGCCAGTCCTTGCCTACAGACAGCCCCGCAACCTGAAGCAAATACTCACCAACAACCACATACCACACAACAGAACCACTAACCCAGGAACCTATCCTTGCAACAAAGCCCGTTGCCAACTGTGCCCACATATCTATTCAGGGGACACCATCACAGGGCCTAATAACATCAGCCACACTATCAGAGGCTCGTTCACCTGCACATCCACCAATGTGATATATGCCATCATGTGCCAGCAATGCCCCTCTGCCATGTACATTGGTCAAACTGGACAGTCTCTACGTAAAAGAATAAATGGACACAAATCAGATGTCAAGAATTATAACATTCATAAACCAGTCGGAGAACACTTCAATCTCTCTGGTCACGCAATCACAGACATGAAGGTCGCTATCTTAAAACAAAAAACTTCAAATCCAGACTCCAGCGAGAAACTGCTGAATTGGAATTCATTTGCAAATTGGACACTATTAATTTAGGCTTAAATAGAGACTGGGAGTGACTAAGTCATTATGCAAGGTAGCCTATTTCCCCTTGTTTTTTCCTACCCACCCCCCCAGACGTTCTGGTTAAACTTGGATTTAAACTTGGAGAGTGGTCAGTTTGGATGAGCTATTGCCAGCAGGAGAGTGAGTTTGTGTGTGTGTGTGTGTGTGTGTGTCCCCGGGGGGGGACGACAAGGGGGGGGGTGAGAGAGCCTGGATTTGTGCTGGACATGGCGCACCTTGATTACCATGCACATTGTAGGGAGAGTGGTCACTTTGGATGAGCTATTACCAGCAGGAGAGTGAGTTTGTGTGTGTGGTTTTTGGAGGGGGGGTGAGGGAGTGAGAGAACCTGGATTTGTGCAGGAAATGGCCCACCTTGATTATCATGCACATTGTGAAGAGAGTTGTCACTTTGGATGGGCTATTACCAGCAGGAGAGTGAGTTTGTGTGTAGGGGGGTGGAGGGTGAGAAAACCTGGATTTGTGCTGGAAATGGCCCAACTTGATGATCACTTTAGATAAGCTATTACCAGCAGGACAGTGGGGTGGGAGGAGGTATTGTTTCATGATCTCTGTGTGTATATAATATCTGCTGCAGTTTCCACAGTATGCATCCGATGAAGTGAGCTGTAGCTCACGAAAGCTTATGCTCAAATAAATTGGTTAGTCTCTAAGGTGCCACAAGTACTCCTTTTCTTTTTGCGAATACAGACTAACACGGCTGTTACTCTGAAACCTGTCTTATTTATATGTGCATTAATTTTTCTTTTGACCTTAGTGGGAAGCACACCTATGTAAAGAGAATAACCTAAAATACAAAAGAGAGAAATGTACAATATTTTCCTATAGTAACTGTTTGAAGAGATTCTTTTAAAACCTTTAAGATTGTTGGTTCCTGGGCATAATACTACAACAATTCCGTGATCAACCTTGAATAAGCCTATAATATTTTCATAGGAATCCTATACAAGGCAAGAAAAGAACTTCATAAAGTAGTGAGGAAAATACTAGAAACCGAAGCTAAAATTCTCCGGAGACCTTTTGATGGTAGGTATTAAGAGTGGAAATGTTGGCTTGTCTGTGATTAATATTCATGTTTAGAAAAGAACAAATCTATTACCTTTAGAAAATAGAATCAATTTTCTTATGTATCTGATACTAGTTTGTAGTTATAATATTCCTACATGTTCGTAATATTTCATGCCAGTTTTACAAACCGTTTGTTTAAAGGAAAGTTATATGCGTTATGTTTTTATAACAAATGTTAGACACATGCTAGGACAGAATTCTGCATCCTCTTTCAGAATTGATTTGAAGCTTAAGACTTTTGTGATGCCAAAAGCATTGTTTGGTGAAGAAGTCCTGGAAGATTTTTCATTTTAGGAACTAGGTGTGAGTGTGTGACACTCTTCAGCAGGATTTTTGTTAGTGTTAATTGAAAGGAATGAAACCTCTTCGTAATAGGTATGTGTGTGTGATAGAGCACAGGACTTGGTGTCAGGACTCAAAGGTTCAGTTCCTGATTCTGCAATCAACTTGATGTGACATGTTGGGCAAATAACTTTCTCTCTGCCCTCATTTACCCATCTGCCAAATGGGTATAATAGGTACCTCACAGAGGTGTTGTGAGTGTGATTCAGTAGATTAAGGCCCAGATCCTTGGAGTTGCTGATCACCTCCAACTCCCACTGAAGCCAATGGCAGTTATGGTTGGTAAGCACTATACAGGATCAGTTCTTAAATATAAATAAAGCATTTTGAGATCCTCAGTTTGAACACTCTATATAAAGTATAAAAAGATGAGGTGAAATCCTGGCCCTATTAAATTAAATGAAAACAAACTCCCACTGATTTCAGTAGGATCAGGATTTTAGCCATGGTCTTCTGAAGATTATGTTGCTTCCAGTTTACTGATCTGTTACCAATTTTTTGATATTGTAGCACTTATTAAATGATTGTTCCATAAATGGTTATTAAGTCATATTAATATTCCAGGAAATAGTATTTTTGGTTGGTAATAAGAAGGTGACTATGAAAGAGAAATGCTTATTAATTTTAACATTATATTTATGTGATTTTTTTTTTTTATAAAGAACATTTTAGTACATTTACAGAAGATAATGAATGTGCCTTGTGGGTCCTCTTGAAGAGAAGTCAATCAGAAGACAGAACCATTCGACTGCAGGCAGTGCAGCAGCTGGCAGAGAGTGGTCACTGGCATGGTAATGTATGCTGTGACAACCTAACCAATCTTTGAAACATGACGAAATCTCATTTAACTGCTCTATGTTCATTGGCAAATGCTAACATGAAAAGGGGATGGTAGCCAAAGGAGAAGGCAAATATTCTTTCTGAAAATGGTTTTCAAACTTTTTTATTTAAATTTTAATTTATTGCTGATTAAAGGCACAATATGCACAAAACATATGCACAAAACACAGTTATGTGTACATATGCACAAAACAGATAGAGCATGTGTGACTGCAGTGCAGGCTTCCCTATGCTGCCCCACCGATGTACCTCAACCTTGACCTCATCTAGACAAGAGAGGGTAGCTTAGTTTCTGTATCTTTTAGTTCTTTGACCTGTGTGTTGGGACTACCAACAAGATAGCCTCAGTCCTGTCCCTAGTGGACAAATGGACATCATCAAGCTGCCACCACAACAGGCTATCAAACACAATTCATGAAGACCACTTAAGAGCTATTGGATAGTAACAATTAAGGGTTACTACCAGTTTGGTCTAGATTTGATGTAGCAGCCTGGAGGTGAAAGATTTTTCATGCTATTATCATCCTAAAACGTTCATTCTACCCTAAAGTATCTTTTTAATGTCTGTGTGAATTCAGAGAAAGGTAGAAACCTCCCCCACACTTAATTAAGAGAACTTTTCTTTTAAGGCCAGTTTAGCTTCATGTTCCTGTATTATAAGTTATAGCTGACATTCTTTTATGTTAAAGGAGCTTTTGCTTCTTGTGTTTACCCTTTGCAGAATAAAAGCTCAATTTTGTTATTTAGATTCTTTACATTATGTTTATACTTAGAAAATCCCAGGGTTCCTGTTCTTATTTTTTCAGAGCTCAATTTCTGGCAAATGCGGTAGAATTGCTTGGCAGGTATCAGTGGATTCTTTGCCATGGTACCCATGCTAAAACATATGCTTCTATCCTTCACTTCTGCACTCCAAAATCTTTCTTTTAGTGGTAGAATTTTGGGAGCTCTGAGGGTTTTTTTAGTATGCTTATGGCCATGGAAGCTAATCCTGTACATCCAGATATATTGGGGGATAGCAAGGGAAGTGTCATACTATATCTGGTGCATGTACAGCATATAGTACTCCTGAAAAAATGTGCTTTCCGATTTTTTGCTGGGGAACTAGAGGAACGTACACCTGCTTGTGTTGTCAGTACATTTAGTTCTACCATGTCCACAGATACAGCTACAATGCCAAAGCTCAAGTAGAGGGAAGAATCTAGCACCTGACCTCCAGGCCAATCAGGTATCTCTTTTTCAGCACTTAGGTTGACAACTCAAAGCAAAGTGAATTAACTGAGAACGCAAAAAAGAGTGAGATTATGAACAGTTTATCAAAGTAGGATAGCCATTTTACTTAAAATCTTATATTAAGTACAGCATCCTTTTCCAATCTTCTCCTGTTGATTTATTTCTCTCTGGGTAGAAGATGCACTTTAAAAGGATTCAAATACTACTACTGAGGAAAGACTGGAACAGCACTTAAAATCAATTACTAAAGTGTCCAGTCTGTAGATCTGTCATGCATAGTCCCAGAGATGGTTGCGTTTCAGCAAAGGATGCACTGGGTGACTTTATTTTCGTTTCTATTTTAGCATTTTTCAATAATAAAATGTTAAGTTTGCATCTTGACTTAATACCTTGTTTTTATTCACTCAATTTTTTTTCCCCATAAATTCTTCTTTTGGGACTGTTACTGTCTTTCTGATCATAGCCCAAAGCTCAACTTTACTTTTAAAGTTTGAAGATCTGTTCAGCTGTGTTTGAGTTGTGTGAACTGGGAATATAATATACTTTCCCCTGAATTCTTTTTATACGTAAGGGTGTCCAAAAATTGCGGGCCACTATCTTGTTGTGGAAACCACAACTTCTAACACATACTGTAACTTTTTATAGTTGCCACAAATTTGAGTAGTGTTGCAATGCCACTTGTTCATGAGGTCGCAATGCCAGTCACTCAGATTTGGCCCAGCATCCCTGCAGTCATGACAGAGTGGTGCCCTGCCCAAATTTGAGTGAGTGGCACTGGAACTTGGTGCACTCAAATTTGGCTCTGCACCAAAATTATAACTTTAAAAAACTGTGGCTGCAACTTCTGAACCAAAAATCACCACTTTCGTACAGCCTTATTTATACATATATAACTCAAATTGCTGAATGTTAAAATGTCAGACCTCACTTGTGGTTCTACGTCTGAATAACAAACAGATGTTTGGTAAGTTTGGAAAACAAAATAGAATAAAAAAAGTAAGTAAATAAAGATTCACTTTCACATATGCACATTATTATTATATTAGCAAATGTACAAGTGGTACAATAAAGATTGGAAAAAAGTTCAAAATACAAAATATAAAGTCTGGAAATAAAACAGAGGTGTATGTCAGAAAAAAGAAAAATGTCAAAAGGGCTTAGTTAAGCATCACACATAGTTTAGCCATTCTGTAACTTTGGGGTCAGAAATATGAGTCTGGAAAGTCCTCCTGACAGACCATCACAAGATAGCAGTCATTCAGTAGGCGTGCATCTGCAGCTATGCAGAGGGCTGTTCCTGAGTCTCCAGGTGTGGTCATTTGCCACACACCTCACCAGCCCACATCTGAAATGGTTGAGCTTGCAACAGAGGTGGCGTGGCAGCTCAAAGCCAGGCAAAATCTCATCAAGCTGAGTCCCACCCTGAGGAGGGAGTCTCTTACAGAGAGAGCAGCATGTTCCCCTTTTGCTCACCACAGTTTGACCACCATGGACATGCTCAGTAATGTAGTCCAGATTAGTCTTCTGCAAATGAGATGGTGACAAGGCGCCTCCTATATGTCTTTGAAAATTGGCAGTAGTTGTATCTCCGGGGTTTTGTCAAAGGAGATTCTTTGCTGCACTATAACACTTGATGTTAGGAGGCAGGATATTAGAAAGGACTGGTACCCATTTGGTGTTTGTTGGTCTCATAGTCCTGTTGTTATTCTCATCATTTGATTCAATTGTACATCAACTAGCTTTGTGTGGGGTGGGTCTAATCACTCAGAAGCACAGTCTTCTCCATCTGAGTAGTAGAGAGCTAATGCCGAGCTGTGCAGTGTCTGCACATTAGCACCCCAGTTTGTGCTTGCAAGTTTATATAAGAGACCCTTTCTGCTCTTAATCTTCTGAGCTACCTTGGTAAGGTGGTCCTGATAGGCAAGTGTGCAAGTTAAACTTACTCCTAGATATACTGACTTCGGATATTGTGCCAATCATTCTCCATTCAAGAAGATGTTGAGTTCTCATGAAGTGTTCATGTGATTGAGATGAAAGCATGATGATACCCATGTCAAAGATGTTACCTTGATGGGTTGTTAGGTCTACAGAAAAGATGCTTTGAAACAGAAAGCTACAAGCGATGCTGGAAAATAAACTGAGCACTTGGAGGATCCAGAAGAACATACACCCTCAGGAATCTGTTCTTGCCACAACGTTTTTGAGCATTGAAAATCCTCCAATCTCTGCCTACCTTCAAGAAACAGAAATGTCAAAAAGGTTGAGGTCAACCTGAACCAAGACATGGCAGCCATCAGTGGCTATTGCAAGAAGTGGAGATTGGGCCCAGTGTGTCAAAGACAGTGTCATGCTGCTTTCATCTCAATATGAAAAGTAAACAATATATCTTTGAGTGATAATTAGGAAGGATGTTGTGGTAGTTGGGACACTAGCCTGGGACCTGGGAGATTTTTGTTCAGTTCACTGTTCCATCAGACTTCCTCTGGGACCTTGGATTTTACAATGCAAATCATCTCTCCCTGCAACTTCTGATACGAATGAATAGCCCGTTGAATTTGTGTATGTCTGATATCATGCTGTCTGGAATGGCTCACAACTGTGAGTGCCTACCTCAGGGTAGACTGTCCAAAGCAGGACAGACACTCCAAACTGGTGCCACTATATTCTATAATTAGATTTCACTAACCCAATACCAAATGTGAACTCCCAAGATATTGCAATAGTCTTATAATGGAATCACAGACAGTCCCCTTAAACACTCCAGTCTATTTTGCCACCCAGACAAGATGGACTAAGTGATAATTGGTCACTTACACCAAAAATCATAAAATATTCAGGTTATACCCAATCCCAAGAGATCTGTTGCTCATGCGGGTTGACTTGCATCCCAGATCTTACACTGGAAACACTGCTGATAGCCAATTCATTGCTGATCGTAAACTAAGAAAAATAAATGAGTTATTGAGAGGTTAAAGCAGATAAAAATATATGTACAGGTTAGTCACAGTCTATAATTTCAAAAAGTAGCAGAGATACAGTTTTCTTCCAGTTTCCCAAAAGTCTTTCACGGCTACCCAGAATAACTCTGGGGATCTTCGCCTCCTTGTTTGCCTTATTAGAATCCCAAAAGCCCAGAAATGAAGAATTTTTCCTTGTGTCCATATTTCTTGCTTCTTCTCACAGGAACCAAGCTGACAGCAAGAGTTCCTATCCAGATTCCTTCTTCATGGTGGTGAGGGGGAGGAATGCACTTACCAAAGTCTTTGATCTCTCGCATCCTGATCATTTGCTTTCCATGTGCAGGATCTGGCGCTTGGCTTACTAGTGTTATACCTGGTTTGTGGTGTTGGCCTCTTGCCTTTGTCTGGATAAAACCTGTTATCAATTTGCTTGACATGACTGGTTTAAAGTCCTTTGTGGGTCGGCCTTACATACATCACACAAGAATATTAATGATCAGTCAGTTATTAATTTTCGAATGATGTATTACGTGACACCTTTTCGATACAGATTATAACAGTACTGAGTTTGGATACACTGAGCTGGTCAGGCCAGCTGAAACTCGGTAGATACCAGGAAGCCCCTTGCCTTTTTGTATAGGGATGTTTTTAGGGTCACGGCTGGTTAAGAAACATCAGCGGTTCAGCTCTCTCCCTCATTGCCCTCAGTATTTTATCCTTTTCTTGATAGTACTGTAGATAGACAATCACATCTTTTGGTCTGGTGCCTACTGGGGTCCTGGGGAATAGGGATTTGTGAGCCTTCTCAGTATGAATGCAATCTTTATTGCTCAGTTTTAATATGTAATGGAAAATATCAGCCAACGTGTCCAGCAGGTTTCTCTCTTCAGTTTCCTCTGGAATACCTTTTATCCTTATTATTCCTGCATTCTCAGTTCTCCGTGTCCTACAGCTGTAATTCTATTTCTTTTTCTCTTTTTTTTCAATTATTTGGATTCTTTCATCTAGATTGGTAATGTCCAGTTGCTCATTTAATCCTGTTTTCGCATCTAATATTTTCTCTTTAATCTCTGTTCATTTTTTGTATCCTTAATATAAGCTTGGAACTCTTCTCTCAACTCCTTATTAATCTTTTTGACATCTAACAGCATGTCCTTCAGTTCAGCCTTAGTGACTGGTGCTTCTCTACCATCTCAATAGTTTATCTGAGGGAGGACAGTTACTGTCTTTTGTGGCTGTCTTTGTTTTGTGGGATTTTTATCTCTGTATTACAGGATTTTTCCTTTTCCAGATATCTAAATGTTCTTGTCTTTCCTCCTTGATTGTTGGACCTCTCTCAACATGGCTGCTGCCACACTTCCCTTTTGCTTGTCTGTCCTTTCCAAAATGGCAACTGCATTTCTTCTGCCCCCAGCCACAGTAGTATAGTTTTAATTAATTTTTAAAAAATCTCGTTATACTCATTCACGGACTCCTCACAGGATAACGAGGGTCTAGTTCAACATCTTCAAGCTTGCAGAGTCATTTTTAATATGTTCTGCGGGCTGATGGCACTGGATTTTGTTGCAAGATTTTCTCCCCCGGAGGCTGCTTTCTGGGACTGGGATCTGCCAGCTCTCTTCAGCATTTTCTTTTCTTTCTAAAACTGGCTCCAAGGTTGGTTATTCATATTTAGGGCACAGATCTGTGGATTGTGGGTTGTTTTTTTTCTCGATAGTCTTAAATTGCTTTGATTTTATCCCCCTCTATTGCAGAGAGCTGGATTAAGCTGCCATCATGTTTATTGGCATTGACTGAATATTTTCCAAAAGATATGCCGTAGTTTAGTGAATGATTACAGGAAGAGAGAGGACCATTTCGTGGTTAAGGCAGTTGAATGCTGCCCTAAAGAATTCCCGTGTCACAGAGTGCCTACATGATGCTAAGCAAGTGGTTTAAACCAAATGTTTCACAGATGGTCATTGATTGTGTGTTCCTCATGTTCTGGGTGCCTGATTTGAAACCTTATGGTCTGATTTGCAAAAGTGCTGAGTGCTCAGAGCTGCCACTGAAGTCAAAGAGTGCTGTGGTTTGAACATATTTAGTGATTATGTATTGCTAAATAATGTGAAAAATCAGATCCTAGGTGTTTTATATTGGGCACCTAAAATTAGTAGATACTTTTGATCTTTATTTCTCTGTGCCTCAACTCCCCTTCTATACACTGGAGGTAATACTCCCTTACTTCCCAGGAGTTTTTGATGATAGATTAATGTTTGTGAAGTACTCAGATAGTATAGTGATGAGCGTCATAGAAAACTTCATAAGGAAATTAATAATTCTGTCTTCCGAACAGTGGTTTACTGCACACTGGTCAAAAAGGCCTGGGGGTCATAAATTGAACAATGAGGATAAACCAAAATAATGAATAGCTGCTCATTAAGTGAGCACTGTCTGTGCACTGAATGAGGCGGGGGTCCTATGGAAAAAATAGTATATGATTATGTAATTAAAAACAGTATCAAAATGCATACGCATTCTGAAGGTTGCATCGGCTAGTTTAATTCTGGCATTTCCTAACTTTCGGGTGCTTGACTTGGACACCTTAAATAATGTTCATTAAATGTAGTTTTTTGTGTGTAAGTCTTTGCACCGCCAGGGTCTAAGATGCTATATTTCTAAAAATAGTATATGTAGCATAACACTATTCAAAAATCTTTCAGATTTCAGAGTTTTGTCTGAACCAAGACCACAGGCCTGAGTGCAAGCATAGCCTTGGTTTGTGATTTTTATTTTCCTTTCAAAGCACTAACTCTAAACACTTGCTATCACATATGATTGGCTAGTGTCTGAAATTCTTTATTACAGTGTCATGCTCTGGCCTAAAAGGATTAATTAATACATGCAGTTAAAATGTCATTTTTGTTTTGTGTTGATCTGACAACCAGTTTCTTTTTCCACTTTTAGAGTTTGTGACTATAGAATCATGGAAAACTTGTGTCTTAGTTACATGGATTGCAGTAATATTGTTCTATTTGTATTCATATTTACAAAGTACTATGGAAATCACAACTAAAATTAAGTGAAATATTCAAGGCTAGTTTTGGCCGTAACATCTAAGTTCTCTTACTACAGATTATCAATATAGGACGGTTGCCCAAGCCTGTGATCAGAAGACTCTGATTGGTTTGGCCCGATCCAAGGATATTGATCTTCGTTTTTTTCTGCCACCACCTCACTTACCAAAAGTAAAAGATGTAAGTAAATGAAAATGTGGGTATTAGTTGAATCTCGTCACTTTTGGTGACAGAAAAGTCTCAGCAGTGTTTTGAGGTGAGCTGGACTACTCCTACTCCTAATTTTATTTATAATTATTGCCATTCCGCCTGCCCCCGCTCCCCCCCAGCATTTGTAGTATAGTACAGTTAAGGGCTTGTCTGCACTTCCAGCGCTGCAGCTGTGCTCCTGTAGCACTAAGTGAAGATGCTACCTCTGTTGACAGGAGAGCTTCTCTCATCTGCATAGTTATTCCACCTCCCTGTGTGGTGGTAGCTATGTTGACAGAGATGCCCTCCTGTTGACATAGTGCTGTTTACACTGGTAGTTAGGTCAGTATAACTGTTTCCACACCCCTTATTGACAGTTATACCAACTCAACTTTGTAGTGTGGACCAGGGCTAAATCCTACATTAGAACCTTCATTAAGTTAGAGTTTAGGCTGATGATGAAACGCACTGCATGTCAACACTGTCACTAAGAATCAGGGAAATAATGAGCTAAGCAAACATTTCACATTCAGAACAATCTCAGGTCACATCTTAACTTCCCAAACCACACGGATTTTTACAGGTCCTCGGGATGCTTTAGATGCAGTTATCCCAGCTGTCCCTTCCCTGGTGCTCCTACTAACAATCAGCTCTTTCAGCCTGGATTTGTTAACCATTTGGGCATGCTGTAAAGGCCATCGTCCTCCCACACATTTGAGTAGGGCTGAACTCGGTGCTGGAGGGGTTTGTTTTTATTTTATTCTCATATTAACTGGTTGGTATTTATTTATGTGTCAAGGTGTGTTGAGCAGTCCTTGTAAATTGTATTCTGTATTTAATATATGGAATGGGCCCAGGGCTGGGCACCTGTAGAGGATTTTTGTAAATCTAATAAGAATCCTTATCATGGGCAACATGTCCATTCTTAGCCTCAAGACTTGCAAAATTAGATATGGCATCTAGCAGTGATATTCTGTAGCTTTTCACTGTCAGGTTTATCACCCTTGGAATGTGATATGACCAGCGTGAATAAAAATTGAATTTTTTAAAAATAAAAAAATGGATTTTGTTATTTAAATCAGATTTTTAAAAATTACATACAATTTTATTTAAAAAACACATTTAAAATTCACTTTGAAATTGGCAATCTGTATTGAGGCCTAAACCTCTTACAATCTGTTAAAATAATTTAAAGCAGTACATGTTTGCTGTCAAATTTTTAAGGAAGTCAGACCACTGAACTAAGGGAAGCCTCTGGCTAAGCACTTGGAACCAGAGTTTGATGAGGTGGTAAACCATCTTTTAACAGCAGTAGCCTCTTCTGCAAGTGTAGAGAGAATATTTTCTTCATTTCAATTTATTCAGCTACTTCAGTTTGTGACAGATATTGCAGCTGCATGCAGTATCTTTAAGAGACCCTATTGTACTTTGTTTATGAATGGCTTATGTAATATGTATCATTGTGGGCCAGGGATTGTAGGCAGCTTGGGTCGGGGAGGGTAGGTAGAGGAGGATTACCACAACTCCTACAGGAACTAAAAACAGTGTGGGGTGACTAAGGCTAGTCCCTGAAACTGCAAACAACTCCAGAGACGTACCACCTGCCGTGGTGGCTTGCATATAGTGGCTCTAAATGGATTTTCCAGAGACCAACAGACAAAGAAAGGGCTTTTGGTATAAAAAAGGTGGGTTTAAACCAACACAGGGCTTTCTTTTGATTTGGGAAATGGACAGGACCTTCTGTCCAAGGTGGGGCCCAACCCTTGTGGAAGGTTTGGAAAGATTTTGGGCAGCTAGGGCCCCATGAGACTCATGGGTGATCTATGGTAACTTTTAGCATGCATATAGGAATGTTTATTGTTTTTCATATGTTGTCTCTGTAACGCTTTTACCCTAAGAATAAATGTATTTTGCTTTGTGTATTTTGCTTTGGTTGGTAACTGGTATATATTGTTGTAGCCCCTTAAGAAAGGTTAACCACAGGTGCTAGACCCTGGTCAGACTTTCTGGGGAAATCACAGTGAGATGCAGAGGGACTGCAAACCTGATCATCGTGGCCAGAAACAATCAGTTCATTCATAAACTGCAGTTAATACATCCTTTGTTTAATAAATCAGTTAGCTTTAAATGCAGATCATGCTTTGAAACGCAGGCGGTAGTTTGCCCACCTCTGATCTAGTAAATAAGAAATGCATCACTCAGCATTTTCTAATGTAATACAAAAAGGAGACATTAAGAATCTGAATTAAATGTACGTTAAGCTATATAATTGCTTAAATACATGTATATAGATCTAGTGTACCCTGGTTAGCAAAAAGAAACAGCAAATTTAGTGAAAGGCTATATTTAGTTACAAATCAATCTATTAATCATTACCAACTAATGAGAATTAACCTTTGTTTAGAAAATAACTAAGTACACATGAACAACACAATTGAAATCCATTATTTAAATCAAGGTTTCTTGCTTGCTGATTTAAAGCATAATTAAAATCAGTGACTTGAACAGAGTGGATTTGATTTAAATCAGATTTAAATCATGATTTAAATCAAATTGATTTAAATCAATCACTAGTCAGGAAGACTCGATTTAATCATGGATTTCTATATAAAAGTGCATTCTTGTTGGTTGTTATAACTTTAATACATATTCTTCACAACTCAGAGAGAGATGGAGGTTTCATTTTTAGAAAGTACACACTATACATTTTTAAAGTGATTTATTTTGAAAACTTTTCAGATTAGTTTTACAGCTATATCAGAAAATGAATGATTGTTTGGTTATTTCATTTACCAAAGGTAATTGAAGCAGATATTTATGAAGTCACTGGTAGGTGAACTATCTCCAATTCAACAGGTTAATCATTAATATTTGGAGTATTTTCTTGCCATGTTGAATTAGGAGGAGAACATCACCAGACAGACATTCAAATAGTTTTATTTAACTAAAACAACAACATTATGTATTCTGGATTTTTTTCTTCAATAGCAAACATCTAATATTTTAACAAAACAAACATATGAATTTTTGAATTTAAACATTCAAGTTTTTTAAAATCAGGTTTGTTTTTGTTAAAATTGTTTTAACTAAAATAGTTAAATGAAATATTTTTTAAAAAACAGCCCAAAATTAAATAGACTATGTCAGCCAGGTCAACATGAGAAACTTAAAATATTGGCTTCTGCAACTAACTCGGTCGTCTTCACCTTCATTTTCCTGTTTGTTCATAATCTGGAAAAGAAAAACAAGCTTTCCTGCTTTTTCAGGTCCCAAACGATTTCTCAATTTGGAATGAATTAGTCCAAAGGAAGAAAACATTCTTTCTACACCCGCAGAAGAAGCTACTGCAGTTTAAAAGTGAGATTATCACTTCAACAGTCTCTGAATCCAAGTGCTTAAGTGACTTCCACCAGTTCACTGGTGTGACTTTCTTTAAAACATCATCAGCAAACAAACATTTCTTGAATGGTTCTTATTCCCAAACTGAGTCTCTCTTGCGGCCTGCTGCCATTATCGTTTTTCCCTTCTAGTGAGAGAATGGTATGTGGGGTGACCAGACAGCAAATGTGAAAAAGTGGGACGGGGGTGCGGGGTAATAGGAGCCTATATTTAAAAAAAAAAGATCCAAAAATCGGGACTGTCCCTATAAAATTGGGACATCTGATCACCCTAATGGTATGGTAGATCTCAAATCAAAGACGGCTACACTCAGAAAGACCTCAAGACTTTTGGAATATGCTGCTCAAACAGTTTCACTTTTGTTTTTACTGCCTGTCCCTCCCTTGTCACATTTCTCTCCAGACTTCTTCTCCTTGTCCAGATCTATTTCGCCCCCAACAATCTTCTATTCATTGAACTTTTTGAAACTTTGCACTTTTAGAGAGAGGTCAGGGATTGACTCTGTGTACACAAATTTGCAGAGGGACAATAGGGTTGAAGTCTGTTATTTCTCACCTCTATACATTGTTTATTTATTTATTTAAAATCACTTTTGCTATTAACAAGCATATTATCTCTGGAGACACAAATCCAGTGTTTGAGAACTGCAAAACTAAGCATCTCTGATGGTATCGTCTAGTCTGAGCACTGAGTCCCATTGCGTAGATAGAAAGATTAACCTAAATAATCTATACAGAAGCCCCTGGAAGATTGGGTCCCTAATCCATGAACTATTGGAACTCATTTACAAAACTTTTCGTAAACATTACATGAATATATTGTCTCATACTATAGAATTAGAATTTATAATCCCTATTCCATGATGAGATACCTTAGTTTTAATTAAGATATATTATAGCTCTATCTTTAGATAGGTTATTTCCTCAAAAAGCATGTTATAAAAAAAATCCAATTTAAATTAAAAAAAATCCAATTTTTATTATTATTTTGTTTTTAAAAACATCATTGATTTTTTTTTGCACCCTGGACTTGAATTACTTTGATTAAATCAGTCCAACATGATATGACCATGGGTCTAACTATTTCCAAATAGTTGAACCTCTCAGGCTTGAGGCATACTGTGGTGCAGATATGTATATTTTTACTATTCCTGCTGTGTAATCACTGGGTGGATATCCGTATATACAGGTTAGGGAGGTCTTTGCATCCTACTCATTGAGAAATTAAAGTAATACATTCCAGCTGCAACTGTTGGTCTATGCATATCCATCTACCAGTGCCATAAAAGAACAAAATAATTTGGAAGCAAGGAAAGTTCCCCCATGTCTATCTCCAGAAGCACAGGATCCAAGAAGGAGAATCAGATCAAATGATATGTTCAGAGAGGCTGATTTACTGGTAGGTAATTTTCCCTTCTCTGCATTTAATAGATGAAGAAAATAAGCCAGACAGGTTAGAATTGTTCAAGACCAAGGCTGCAGATGGAGGCAGTATCAGCAAGATATTCATGAGTCACTAGCTCCAGAAATTGTATTCCGACTATTAACTTGCATTTCTTCTGATCCTTAGTATGTGGCCTTAGGCAAATGACTTAACCTCACTGTACCTGTTTTCCCATCCCCATCTACTTGACAGGGATGTTTTGTGGATTTCTTAATGAATATTTGTACAAATACTTCAAAGATAAAGAAATATACAAGTGTTAACTATTTTATTTCTATCTTTAATGCCATCATTTAATTTCTTAATAATGCTATTATTTTTGTAGCTGGATGATGAAACCATATAGTCTTAATCTGCACCATTATTTTTGTGGTGATTATCAAGCAACTGAGGGCCAAGTTTCAAGCTTTCTTGTTGTATGCCCTGGTGCTTTTCTGCTCTAAGCTCCATTTCATTTCTGTAACACAGGCCACATTTTTATTCTTCCAGACCTCATTGAAATAAAATAAACTCCTAAACCTAGAAATTTAAAGCTGACTTTCATTGAAAAATTTGCTTACCAATAATAATAACCTGTCATTTTATAGGGCTATACATCTTCAAAGTGCTCCACAAACTTTAGCTTAGGTTGTAGAGCACTCAAACCAGGCCTTTCAGTTTACAGCATTACTTCATGTAACAATTTCTGTTGTTCCAAATCTTTGTTTATTTTCACATAATTTACTGCTGTGTTACTTTGGAGAGTGTTAACAAGTACGTGTGTTTATTTGTTATAGGATTATGCTATCGAAGATGAGCTCCGATTGTTATTGGTATCTTTACCTCAGACTGATCTTGAGCAGTGTGTCCAGTACTTCACATCTCTGGCTTTAAGAGAAAGCAGTCAGACTCTAGCTGCAAAAAGGGTGAGCTCTTAACTCCAGGATGGAATTATACAGAACATTCTCTCTTTTTTTAAAAATATTTATTTATTTAAGGTATAATTTATTAATTTTATAATATTAGAGTGGGTGAAGCTTTCCCTTTCCACACCCCATGCTGCTCCTGCTCCACTAGGACTGAGACTGTTTGTGGGGTTATGCAAAGATGAGGGAGAGCTTGTTCCCTCCTCCCTTCCTGTTTTTGCAACTGAACAGGTTGTTGTAAAAATGAGACATGGGGCAGGAATGGTATTGTTGAAAAATGAAAAACCTGCAGTGTTTCCCCGCTTTATTATATTTTCTGTAGTTAATAGGCTCTCCTTTGAGTGATTCGCACATATACATTTCACTGTAGGTTAGGGTTGCCAACTGTCTAATCGCAGAAACCCAAACACCTTTGCCCTGCTCCCTGTCCTGCCCCTTCCCTGAGGCCCTGCCCCTTCTCAGAGGCTCCACCCCACTCACTCCATCCCCCCCTCCCTCTGGGGTTTTCTCTCTCTCACTTTCACTGGGCTGGGGCAGGGGTTTGGGGTGCGGGCTCTGGGCTGGGGCCGAGGGGTTCAGAGTGTTGGAGGGGGCTCTGGACGGAGCCTGGGGCAGGGGGTTGGGGTGCGGGAGGGGGTGCAAGCTCTGGGAGGGAGTTTGGGTGCTGGAGGGGGCTCAGGGCTGGGGCAGGGGGTTGAGGTGCAGAAGGGGGTGCGGGCTCCGGCTGGGCTGCGCTTACCTTGGGAGGCTCCTGGTCGGTGGTGCAGTGGGGCTAAGGCAGGCGTCTGCTGTGGCCCCGTGCCGCTCCCGGAAGCGGCCAGCACAGTTCTGGCCAATGGGAGCTGTGGAGTTGGTGCTTGGGGCGGTGGCAGTACACGGGGCCCCCTTGGCCTTCCCTCTCCCTAGGGGCTGCATGGACATCTGGCTGCTGCAGCGTGCTAAAACAGGGAGCCTGCCTTATCCCCGCTGCACCACCAGACTTTTAGTAGCCTAAAATCTCCCAGTTTGGCTTCAGGAGCCTCCGGGAGGTAGAGCCTGATTTCGGGAGACTCCCGGCGAAACCCGGAGGGTTGGCAACCCCACTGTGCGCCCAACGCACTGAAGTTGGAGATTTTGCCAGCAGTGTCACTAGGCAGCGCTAGTGCCTATGTGCTGAGCTGAGGGCATAAAAGGAGTGTGTCTGTTGCCTCCATCTCAGTTCTTTCTCGCCTCCCGGGGTGGCAGTTGGAGCTCCCTTTTGCTCTTTAAAGCTGGTGAACTGAAGCTAAAAAAAATTACTGTACATAGTTGTAGAGCATTAGCTTAGTCTTAGTTAGTGTACAAGCCTTTTTCCAGACATTATGCCAGTTCTCAAGCCTCCTGAGCTGATGTCAGCTTTGCCAAATTGGTATTCCAGTCTCTTTTCAAATAATCTGAAGTCCAACCACCTGTAAGGAAACTGCTGGTGAGTCACCTACAGAGTAATGTATATGTGCACAATCAACATAAGTGTTGAAACTAGGGGTGAGGGGGGTGCTGTGGCTTGAAGTGGTTTCCATCGTATACAGGGTTTACAGTTTGGTTCAATGGCTCTCAGCACCCCCACTATAAGAATTGTTCCAGCACCGCTGGTTATTTACCCGTACAGGAACTGTTGCTCTTTGAGATGTGTTGTGCACACATACATTCCGTGACCCTCCCACCTTCCTTGCTGCTGAGGACTTTAGATAGACAGTGGAGAGAAGAAATGGAAAGGGGGGCAATGAACACCCCCCTTTTATGCTCTCAGTTTAGTGCAGCAGAAGAGCAGGGATTCCTAGTGGTACTGATTGCAAAAGTCTCTAGCTCAAGTGGATTGAGCGTACAGACACCCACAGTGGGATGTATATGAGCACAATGCATATTGAAGAACATATTGCATATTGAAGAACAATACACATAAGAGCACGTGGTATAACAGCTTTACAGGCTGTTGCATGCTTCGCTTTTTAAAAAAAATAATTAGAACCATGCTTCTTATTTAGCCATTTGAGATTTGATTTGCTTGTTGTTGATTCTTATTGCAGGGGGGCTTGTGGTGTTTTGGAGGAAATGGGCTTCCTTATTGCGAGACTTTGAGTAAAGTCCCTTCAGAGACAGTAGAACTCTTCTGTTTACAAGCTTTAGTGCAACATTCCAAGGTAATCCATATATACAGCTATAATTGAACAGCTGTATCGATAAACTTCCCTTTCTGATCTTGCCTTGTGCATATGTGGGATGGGGTAGGGGGGAGCTGCCTTCACAACCTTCCCGATACTGTTTTCTTCCCAAAACCTGCTGAGGTCCTGTTCACAGGATTGGAATCCACGTATGAGTGGGGTGGAGTGGAAGGTTTGTGGGGACTGTCCACAGGATCTATCATTGTCTCCCACTACAACCATGGATATTCTCCCTCAGTGATGGAGATTCCCTTTTAAGGAGTTCCCCAGGGCATCTATGGCAAAGAGTGGGGGAGGTACCTGGGGTAGCATAGATCTTCCAGTTTTGGTGGCAGGCCCAAAAGTTCATTTCACAGTGGGGCACACCCCCACCAGCACCAGGGAATAGTCAGGGATAAACTTTATGAGGAGGCCCTTGTGAAATATTCCTCTACTACTCTGTTGTTCCGTCTTCTGACGCCAGTGTCCCTACCCTGCATAGAGGTAACAGCTATCGAAGGCTGTACATGTCAACTCCTCAGTGGAGGAGATAATCAGTTATGTGGAGTCTGGGTATATTTTAAGAGTAACTTGTTTTATTTACACACACGCACACATCAGTCCTGGAACAGAGATGGTCATACAGGCAGTCCCTTCTTTCAGGAATATCCACGCTTGTCTACACAGCAAAGCATGCCAGAGGGGTAAAGTGCACTAACGCTTGGTGTGTTCTAAAAGCTACTTAGTTTGCATTAATGTAGCAGGGCCTATATGGGGCAATTAGAGCACTTAACAAATCACACCTCTCTAGTGCATTTTGCCAGTGCCCTGTAGACAAGCCCTCAGTCTAAGACTAAGGTGGACTTCGCAGAGAGCAACTCTGTATTATGCATTAACTCTGATCAGAGAGCTGCAGCACTTTCTCCCAAGGATCATTGCCTCTACACAGAACCTTGCATAACAAAAACTAACAACAATACAGCATGTCTTCCCAACATTGAACATTTACTTGCACACTCAGAAAAAGAAAGTGGAAGACAATGTGTAACAGCATCACCTGGTGACACTTGCCATAACAATATTAATTGCACAAGAAAGACTGCAGGTAGAACATAGAAGCCCCAAAATCAGAAGTTGAATAAATACATATTGAAAAAAATCCACTAAGCTAAATGTGTGGTAGGGAAGGGCAAAGAGCACAGTACTCAGCCATAGCACAGTACTCATCACTGTAATAGAAACTTTCATGTCACCAGCATCTATTCAACAGCAGTGGTCCACAGTATGGCTCATAAATGTGCAGTCATCTGCCTACATTGGTTTCTGTTGCTGCCATGAAGATCTGTAATGACAGAAGCACTATTTAGAATAATGTTACCTTTTTTAATGAAAAAGGATTATAAGAGAGTGTTCTAGCAGGTACGTGTGCAGAATAAGTGGCCTCAGTTTACACAATGCTTTAGAAAAAGTGGGCAGTTGTGTTATAGAGAATTGTGGTCTTAGGATCTGATCCTGCAAGGTGTCAAGCATCCTCCAGTCCCATTAACTTCAGTGGGAGAAAAGTGGAGGTACTCAGCACCTTCCCAATACTGGGCTGTCAAGTTGTAATGATTGTGCAGTTCACAAGCTAAAATTTTTGACTCCCTTTCTGAGTTTGTGGCATTCAATAAAAATAAGTATTTCATAGTTCTTATTTCTTCAATTGTTAAATGGAAAGATTTAAGCATAACATAAAAACAAAATCCTAGATTAAGTAAGAATTTCTGTGTAGGATGTGGATTTTGTACTTAGTACCTTTAATGGAGATTGTATGTATTGAGAGCTTCTCAGGAAGCTTTTGCAGATGTCGATGTTTGCATGACTTCCACTTAGTATCACTGAATTTACTGTAAAATGCTAGGTTTCTACTCATTGTGATAAAATTGAAGCAAATGGAGGCCTGCAGCTACTACAGAGGATATACCGGCTTCGTAACGATTCTGCGAAAATACAAAGGAACATAATTCGCATCATTGGCAATATGGCTTTGGATGAACGTCTTCATTCATCCATAGTACGTGCAGGTAAAAAGAAAGCAATCTTGATGCAATATTAATATTCTAAATTTACTTTTGTAAAATACACCGGATCAGTAGTGCTGGAGGCAGAAGTCCTATTCATTTACAGCCCAAAGCAGCATGGTCAGTGTTACTGCAAACTTGCCTACTCTGTGCAGCCAATGTGCCTCATCCCTACAGTCAGAGTCATTATAAATCATTGATGAAGGTTCAGAATTTGGACTTAGTTCAGCTAAACATCAGAATTGAGATGTTTTTATGAATTTCTTGGGGCTCCTCCTCACAAACTCTATCTACCCAATAGTTCCTAGATTTTGTTATTGGCTGTGATTTCTTCTTGTAAGGAAGCCAAGTAGGTCTGTTTCTCTGCCGTCTGGAGTGAACAGGCCAGTCCATCAGTTTCCTCATTTTGAAGTAGATCTAGTAACTTCTACTTGGTCTTGCTGCTCTGCCTCTTTTAACAGGCTCCCTGTGGAGTTTGTGCCCCAACATGCACCTGGGGATTGTGGAATTCTTTATGTTGTGAAATCCTTCCTTCTATTTCTGTGAGAATCCCTGCTCAATCCTTGAGAATGGAGGAAGAGATTGTTAGAGAACAGATATTCACAATCCTTTAATGCTTTCTGCGGCATACATTTCAAAGGATGTACAAAATTTTAAAGAGAACTCCATAGAAGAGCTACAGGGTCCTGGCAGTCCAGAACTGAGAAGACTACCTGTTTGTCCCCATAAAATGCTTAACAGGGTGGATAAGAGAAAAGGGCCAGTGTCTTTGCCCACTACAATTCACTCTTTGTCTTTCTTTCTCCTTCTTCTCCCTGCCCATCAGATTTTGGAGGTCTCTTATTCTACTGGGCTACTGGGGAGGTGCCATTTCTTTTCTCTACCTTTCTCACATCTTGACTGCTTGAGGGATTTGGGGATTTATTCCTTTGCTCCTTTCCCCCTCTCTCTTCCTTTGTGTGATGGGAGAAATTGAAGAGGGATACACACTCTTTTTCTTGAGAGAGAGCTCTTGCTGCAAATCATAAACTGATCACCAGCTGGAGTCTGAGATTAATTGTGTACCACATCACTGTGGAATATTTTTGGCACAGTTCAGTACATTACACAGGTGCTACCATCCAGCACTGGCTACAGTCTGAGGCAAGATACCTGGATTGAAATAGGTTTTGTTCTAGCATTGCAATTCTTATGCTCCTACAATTATTTTGGCAAACATCATTTTAAATGAGAAAAGCCATTCTGCAATTGTAGTTCAGATAATAGTTTCTTAGTAATTAACAGCCAATGCGAGATGTGTTTTGTTTTATTTTTAAACTAGGTTGGGTTTCCATACTAGCTGAAGCAATGAAGTCTCCTCATGTCATTCAGTCTTCACATGCATCCAGAGCCCTGGCTAATCTGGACAGAGAGACAGTGCAGGAAAAGTATCCAGATGGCGTATATGTTTTACATCCACAGTACCGTAGCAGGTAAAGAGGAGGGTCCTTACTCTAGCACGTGCTACATCTTCTATTATTCACTTAAAAAAAATTTGTGAAGGTGGAGTTAAAGTTGCTGCTGCACAACAGTGCTGTCTGCTTTGCCTGTCGGTCTGGAATGTAGGACTTCCACATCTTAAACTCAAATGTTAAGACACTAGGAAATACTCAGTGAAAGTCTGGTCATATCTCCCTGAAAAGAATGTGAGTGTTACAAGGGAAAACAAACGCAAATTTACAAAAATCAGTATATGCACATTTAAGGTATTGCTTCACATGCAACTCAGCCCTGTTGGGATGCCAGCGCCATGTGGATAATTGTTCTTTTGAAAGCAAGGAACATTTGGCAAAAATGCAGGAAAGTAATTGTAGGAAATCCCCTAGAGTATTGTTAGTAAAACATGTAATTGTGCTTGTGCAGCTGGAAACAAGGAGGAGAAGCAGGTGTCAACCTCAACTAGCAGCAACTACTCCTTCTATTAATGCCATTGCACAGGCCACCTGGAAAGTTCTGTTGGATTTTATGAATAGAAATCCTGATTTAGAGTTGTAGTGGGCAAAGAGACTGGCATTTTTTATTACAGAGGGTAAGGTACTATGATGATCCCATTTCCTATTACTGTACCTATGGGGGCATAGTTAAGATGGTGCTCTGTAGGAAGCAGCATCTTAAAGGTGCACTTCGTTTTTCACTTGCTCTTGCAAAATTTGTAGGGATTTTACTGTCTCCAAACATACCAGTAAAATACTCTTTGGCCCACTTGGTGAGCAGGCTCCTTTTGGGTGTCTGGAAGGGACAGATACACTCTGCCACCTTGAGAGTGGCAAAATCTATTACAGTGCCTCAGTGTAGTACCAGGGATACCTCTATCCTTCAGTTTCTTGGTATTGGCTGGATGTAAATTGGAGTTAGCAAAGGGAAACTTTCTTATTGCAGAGGTGAGATTCAGCAATGAGCCTCCTGGTACTTCCCTCATTGGCTATGGGTTCCTCCCTCATTTAATATTCCTGCATGTGTCTTGAAGGGTAAGTGGTACTGCCATGGGGTTTAGGTTCGCCTTCCCTCCCTCTGTTCCTTAGTAAATCACATAATTGCATTACTCACAGTGTTCCGGCATGGTGAACATTCCATGGGAATTTCACTGTTCCTTTGGATGCAGTATGAAGGGAATGGTGTTGGTTCAGTTTTCCAGCCATTTTATAAGTTGAAAATGTATCTGTTTGTGGTCCGTTGATGTGCCACTAGCCTCTTGTCGGGTCTGCATACCTCCAATAGCAGCAGTCCTACTGCAGATGGCTTGGATGCATTTAATGTTATCTTGTATGGACCACTTGAACTCCCTCCCCTTTCCCTAGCCCACTGTATTCTGTGTGGTTCCTCAGTTTATTTTTTATTGTGTATACTACATGTGATGGTCTCCGTAACATAGATATATTGTGCAGGTTTTATTTTTTAAAAAGCACTTCGGGATGGTTCAGGATGAAATGGCTTATGTAAATGTAAATTTTAATGTATTAAAATATGTACCCTACTTCTTTTTAAAATTCTTTCCAATATCAGTCAGCCCATTAAAGCAGACGTCCTTTTTATTCATGGTCTTTTGGGAGCAGCATTTAAAACCTGGCGACAACAAGACATTAATCAGCCTTTGGATGTAAAGGCTTCTGAAGGGGAAGAGATTTACAGTGAATGCTGGCCAAAGGTAGGGAGACAATAACTAATTCCCATCAGATTATTGTTTCTTCTTCAGTGAGCATTGTGGAGAGGAAAATGGAAGAGACCTAGAGTCACACAACACATAGTCAACCTGTGGTACTCTTTTCCAGAGGATGTCGTGAAGGCCAAGACTATAACAGGGTTCAGAAAAGAACTAGATAAGTTCATGGAGGATAGGCCCATCAATGGCTATTAGCCAAATTGGACAGGGATGGTGTCCCTAGCCTCTGTTTGCCAGAAGGTGGGAATGGGCGACAGGAGATGGATCACTTGATGATTACCTGTTCTGTTCATTCCCTCTGAAGCACCTGGCATTGGCTACTGTCGGAAGACAGGATACTGGGCTAGATGGACTATCGGTCTGACCCGGTATGGCTGTTCTTATGATCTTAGCAACTGCCTGGTTTTAATCTAGATTACTTCTAATCCAATTCCGCAAGTAGCACTTACTTACTAGTAAATGTTTGTCAACAAGTTACATTTCTGAACAGATTGTTCTTGGGGTGGGATTTCCCCTCTAATGTTAGCCCCTCTGATATCCTTGTTCCCTCCAATAAAAGAGGACGCAGTATCCGCCACACCTCTTTCTAGTATTCCTTTTAGGATTGGGCTAGAATTTGGTTGCCTAGTAGATATCTGTTCACCCTCCTTGCCTTTTTTATTTGCTATTCGGAGACCCAAAAAAAGTCCACAAAATTCCAGATTTTTTGCAAGTATACTGTATGTTTATAAATAAACTGATTGCTGATTAACTAAAGCTTTTTGCTGTTGAAGTTTTATCAGTAAATCAGTAACAAGGGCCTTAAAGAAATCTCGTTTGGTGTTGTGTATTTTATAGCATAATGTAATCAGAAAAGTAACTCTATAAAAATGGTAGTTCAGGGTTCCATTTTTAATCTAATTGATTTTCCGTGTCACACAGGAGAAGGAGCCAGAAGCCTGAGTCCTCATTCTAGCTCTGGCACTCCCTCTCTCCCTTTGTGGCTTTGGGCGGTTTCCTTAATCTGCATGCCTGTTTTTCAGTCTATAGAAGCCTTGGCAGCGTTTTATCGTGCCTTGTGTGGTTGCAGCGCAGTGCTGGGAGACAGCTCTCCTAGTGCTCTTAAAAAAGCCACCTCAACGATTTTGTCAATAATGCATGAGTCAAAACCGAATCCAACTCACTCTCCCATTGTTTTGGTAGCTTTGTGATGTGCTAACAGTAGTAAAAACTGTTTTGTCATTTAAAGTAAGTAGCTAGGACATAAAGGAACACCAGCAGCAGATATTTTCAGAAGGGTATCCTTTTTACATTTCAGTCAGTTTTCTGTCCATAACTGCACTTTACTTTATTTAATAGGGTTTTTTTATTTTTCTTCTAATTAACTATCAATCTTACAGCAGATTGCTGGTCTTGATTTTGATGTTTGAGAACCAACTGGTATAATGTAAATTCAAGTATGCTCCTTTGTTTTGATTTTATATTTAATTTAGACATGGCTAGCCTCAGACTGTCCTTCGCTTAGAATTGTATCTGTGGAGTATGACACCCACCTGAGTGACTGGAAAACAAAGTGCCCTATTGAGGACCACAGGTAACAAATGAAGTGCATGTAAATTGGGGAGGAGGGAAAAAGCTATACAGTTATCATATAGGATCTTATAGTCAGGAGCAGGTGATCTTATTTTTCCTGTCATGTGCTGCTGTGGAGGAGATTTGGGTTTGAAAAAACCTCTTTCCATCTGTTCCTCAGCAACAGCGTGCACACTTGATTTCCCTACTGCCTGGGTAGGTGCTTGTGTCTCTCTAAATTCTTGTGGTTCATTCAGCTTTGCATTAAGGAGAAATGTGTGAAGAACTCTAGAGACTGGCCTGAATAGATTATTTGTGGGGTGGGGGATTTCTTAACTTCAGACAAACAATTCTCCACATGCACAACAAAACAATCTTCCGATTAAGACTTTATATGCCTCGTTTTGGCCTGGAGATAATTTTTATTCAAGAGTTATAAATCCCTGAAAAGAGAGAGATACAATTCTGTGGCAGATAAAATATAGTGGCTGTATAATAGTTTTGGACAGGAAGTGAAAGAGACCCCATTCAGATGAAACTCAAGTTGGTATTTGTCAGGACATGTTTGCCAAAAGTGTTGTGGGATCTTTATTGACCGCAAGCGATGAGGATTTCTGTTATGTGTCTCATTTGAACAGCACCTCCAACTCAACAGGGTTTTCTAAAAGAAAAAACAGTAGTACAGACTAGGGGTATGTTCCAAAGCCCATTGAAGTCAACAGGAGTCTCTCCATTGACTTTAATGGACTTTGGATGAGGCCGTAGGTCTCAATCCTGCAAACATTTATGCATGAGCTCAATTTGAAGCGGGCGAGTAGGCCCAAAGTTATGCCTAGGGGACTACTTGTGTGCTTAAAATTAAGTGTTTACAGGATCAGGGCCCAAAGGATTTATATTGCATAGTAGGGGAAAACTTTCATCACAGTATAGAAAATTAGGGGGCACAATTCTTATTGTTTTTTCTCCCCACTCTTTGCTCCTTCTATTTCTTGGTATTTAGCAAATTGATACTATTATTCCAATAAAGGAAGCATATGTAATCCACTCCATTAGGGAAACAATAACAATCTCACCTACTTCTTTGAAATTAGTTGAAACAAAACAATACAGTTCAATAACAGCAAAAATCTGTGTAGACAGGTACCTCTGTTTCTTACTGTGTCCAATCAGAGTTATGGAAGTGGAAAGGAGTTAGAAAGAGGAAAAAATATATTTCTCAACAAGTATTATAGTAATTTTTGTCCGCAGAATAAAGATCACCTGAGCATACTATATTTGGTCATTTTGCAGTTCCATATGGATGCTGAAAAAGGAAAGCTATGAAGGAGGATTTCTTAAGAGTATCAAGAAAGATGCAGCAGTAGAATTATAAGCCTTGCATTATTATTCATAGATACGCTAGCTGACCTTTTAAAAGTGAGCTTATAGTGCTGTCATTTAAAGTGTCATGGACGTGTAGGACAACAGTTAGAGTCTCCATGTAGCTGTGAAATCCCACGTGCCATTTTGGACTTGATTCTCAGAAGGAGCAAATCCCTGCAACTGTCTTAAAGATTTAGGTCAATTGAAAAGATACATTTGAATCTCTTTTCACAGGTATTATAGCAGAGTGATCTTTAACATCCATTCTGAGAATTGATTGTATAAGGCTTTTTAAATGTGGCTGTTGTTTAGATCTTTCTATCAGGATCTTAGAGTATCCTGATATTTCTGCTGCTCATTTAATTCTCCGAGTTCTTATCTTGTCCTGTGGTCCTCTTTGCTCAACTTTCCTTCTGCTATGAGGAAGGAAGGTGATATGGTTTAAAGCATGGGACTGGGAATCAGCAGATGGTCTTGCTCTGCTACAGACTTGTTGACCTTTGGCAAGTCATTTACCTTTTCTGTACCTCAACTTCTCCATCTTCAAAATGGAGAAGATTATGCTTTACCACTCTTTTAACTATGAGATTATTGGCTGGAAAGTGTAATAGAAGAACAAAGTATCAATATGTATTATTTTAGAAATTATAGGTAGATCAGACTTATTTGTTCAGAACCCAGGTTTCAGCTTTAGCATTATCAGTGCATTGCTCCATACTTTAAGCGCAATTTAGCAAAGTATTTGCTTGTCAGACCTTGTTTGCTTCACAAGAGAATAGAATTCATTACACTCTGATGCTTTGAAAAGAAAAATATTTTTATATGAAAACCAAGCTGTTTAAAATCCCAAAGCATAACGAGACATTTAGAGCTAATTCTAAATGCCAAAACTAAAGGAAAACTCCTGTGCTTCCAGAAAATGTTCATTATCTCTGTCCCTGAGCTCCTGTTGTTCCTAGTGGGCCCAGTCCTACAAGGTGTTTGGTGTCCTCAATTCACAGTGAAGATGGTAATAGCTGACTGTGTTCAGTAACTTGCATGATCAGGTCCAACATGAGTTATCTGCCTAATTCCCTTTTCATAATACTGATGTACTGAAACTCCACGCCAGCATGAGATTGCCCTTTAATATGTTTGCCTTCCGCATTGCATCTCTTTCTTCTGCAGGAAATCTATTGCTTATAGGAGCAATGAGCTTCTTAACAAGCTTAGAGCTGCTGGTGTTGGAGACAGACCTCTGGTATGGGTATCACATAGCATGGGGGGTAAGTACTTTGCTTATGCTGTACAGATCAGCGATGTATTATCTGCCATTATGCTTTAAAATGAGTAGCTAAATTAGCCTGAACAACCACAGTTCAGATCGAACCCAAAAGTTTGCAAAATGTGGTCTGAAAATATAAAACTGATGTTTTACTTTAGTAACTATACTGCATTGCATAACCAATTTATTAATAAACTATATTGTTATCTCTTTGTACTATGTTGGGGAAGGGCACAGAATGAATGAATGAATGATTTAGCTGAGATTGTAAGGAAGGTCATGTAATTGGGAACCTGTAGGCTAAATTGTCTCCATGTTGGATCTTTAGTGAACATCACTGTTTAAATGAAACCAAATAAGTTTGGAATATTGGATTTGACACCAAAAAGTAACAGTTTACATTTCCTGCCTCATTATAGTTTTCTACTTCTACATATTTTTCAAAGTAGAAGAGTAGACCTAATTAGTTGAGGAATATGATAATCTGATTTGTATGTATTGTAATATGAACATTCTCACAATTATTTAGTTCCCTGCATAAATTAATATTTTTGTTGCCAGGTCTTCTAGTTAAAAAGATGTTGGTGGATGCTTCCAAGAACCCAGAAATGGATAAAATTGTAAACAACACCCGAGGAATCATATTTTACAGTGTACCTCACCATGGCTCCCAGCTGGCTGAATACTCAATGAATGCTAAATATCTTCTCTTTCCTTCTGTGGAGGTTAAGGAACTCAGCACAGGTATGCTCACTTTGTAGCCACTTAGCATAGGAGTTTCTGTTTATGATTTTTGTCACTCCCATCTGAAAATGCAAGATAAAAACAGCAAAACTCTTTTTTATCTTTCTAAGGCTGTCAGTTAAATTGACAGAATAACTGCTGTACTTAACTGTTTGTAGAAGAGGATAAAGCTGTGGGCAAGTTTACAGAAGAATCGTCTCAGCTGTTCAGAAATGTAACAGTGCAGTATGTGACCCCTCTGTAGCATACCTTGTAATCAAATCCCCGGCCACGTAGGATTAAATGACAGAGTTAGCGTGGCATATTCTGGGCTGCTGTCAAACACCTGAAAACAGGGTCTTACGATGGACGTGCTGCTGTTTTTACTGGAGTTATAATTTTGCCAAAACATTTCTTACAAGATAAAATATTGAAGATAAATTTTTATTTTCTGAAAATGAGTTAACACAATTTACACAATATACAGTATTTCTTTTTCTCCTTCAGATTCTCCTGCCCTTAAAGAACTGAATGATGATTTTCTTTCATTTGCTAAAGATAAGAAATTTCCAGTCTTGAGTTTTGCAGAAACCTTACCAACGCATATAGGTAGCATGGTGAAACTTCATGTGGTACCTGTGGACTCAGCAAGTATGTCAATTAGCTATTTTTTTTTTCACATATTGATGTTGGGGGATAGATAATGCAGATACTGTAATAGAAATATCTGGAAAGATAAATAAATAGGGGATATTGTATGAAAAACCATTGATGGTTCCTTTTGTTTAAACTTTTGACCAGATTTTGACCTTGGATACATTTCTAAGTACAAACATGTGACCCTCTTATTGAAATCAGTGAGAACGCAGTGCATATCTGAGCATATTACTTATAGAGCAGTGTGGCAAAGGTTGTTCTTATGCATCTAACAGGGTCCTCTCCTTATTTTAAAGGTGGGAGATCACTGCACTCAAGCTCTTACAGTAGAGATCTCACTCATGGTGTTCACATGGCCTATATTTCCTATTTGGTTCAATGCTCAGTCTCTCATACAAACCCACCACACTACTCTAGCATCCTTTTGGATGACCAAATATGGAAAACTTCAGGCAAAACAAAGAATTGCTCAGAAAGTTGTTAACATATGCACATGGGATTAGAATAGAAGACTCAGCATAACCTTAACTAGAACTTTCACTAAAGTGATCAGGATTAGCTATAAGGGATACCTAAACACCATGACTAGCCTCAGTGTAACTAAATTTGCTGGGAGTAGAGCACCTATATTGTACACTTAAGTGATGGGTTTTTCCCTTTCTTGGGGAAACTCTTTATACTGTAGTCCATGTTTGATGTCCAATCCAGCCCAGTTTTAAAAACTCTAAAATCACAGTTTTTATAAAAGAGTTCATTTAATTATGAGTAAAAACCTTCTGCAGTCTTTTAGACTTTTTCAAAATGCAGATATTTTGACTTCAATAGGGCCAGGATTTAACCCAATGACATTAAACTCCCATTGAGTTTAATAGGTAGGATTTCAATCTTTGACATTAAATGATGTGTTCAGTAGATAAAGCATATGTTTGTAATGTTCTCCTTATTGACTAAGCTGGGTGCTGATGCCTAAATCAAAAAGGGAAAATTATATGGGAAGGAAGATGTTTTCTAAAGCCCTGATCCTGCAAAGGGATCCATATGGGCAGACACTTACATATTTGTGGAATCCCACTGAAGTCAGTGGAACTCTGCTGGGTCTAAGGGTCTGTCCAAGTGGATCCCTTTGTAGAATCCGTCTAAAGCTGCATCTGCTTATGCACTATGTCATTGTGTTGATAATGCTTTCAGCACATTTAAAAACAACCTAGTTTAAGACAAAATGAATAAATAGCAGCTCTGGAGGGGTTGGTTTTGGGTGACTTTAATTGTTAATGCAAGAGCTTTTTCTTAATCTACACTTTTTTTCCCCCCCCTCCTCCAGATTTAGGCATAGGAGACCTAATTCCAGTGGAGGTTAATCATCTGAATATATGCAAGCCAAAGAAAAAAGATACTTTCCTATACCAATATACTGTAAAGTTTATTCAAGATGCTTTAGCAAGAGAACTGGGAAGTTGAGTCTTGATCATCCTTGCTTGCTTCTCCCTCAGAGTGTAATGCAACAGAGTCTTTCCACTGAAACTGTTGGCAGGCCTCCAGAACTAGACACAATATTCATAATAAAATCAGCTGTCCAAGGGGCTTTGAATACATCTTCTACTTGGAAATCTACATTGTCTATATCTGAAATGCATTCAAAATATATACAAACTCAACCACAGACCCAGAAATCTGGCAATAAAAGGTGAAAGTCTGCTGTGATTCACTTTGACTTATTGACTACATGTATGTAATTCCTCTGATGATTTGACCAGTAGGCGATGGGAATGCAGTGGAGGAAAGGCTTCAGGTATCCTGTAGCTACTCTTCTGAAGCAGCATGGATGGGCTATGAAGGGTCCCATGGTTCACTTCTTAGCCAAGAAAGGTTGCTATGATTGAGACGAATGTACATATGGTACACTAAGGACCAAAAACAATAAACCCAGATGATCTTTTTCTATAATAGCATAGGGAAACAAATGGCTGTCTCAGAGTACACATCTGCTATCCATGTTTGGGAGTTTGAACCCAAGTAAGAACACGTGAATAATTCAAGATATTGTTTTGATTGATGGACCAGTTTATGCTGCTTGCCTTTCTGTTTAATAGGCCCAGACATTCCTCTAGTTTAATTCACTTTTTACCCGTTGGCATCAATTGATAACAAATGCAGGAAACAGAGTGCTGTGTGAGAAAGAGAAGCATCACCTAATCTATTGATCTCTGGTATGGTATCTTATGTAAAGGAGACAGTGGCAGTTTAATTTCGTTTTAATCAAAAAGATAAATAAATTCTTGTGCTGTTCCATTTTAATTCTGTCAGCGTTGGGCTTCAAAATCATAGAAAAAGAGCCCTAGTGTGAGATGTTTTTGACCTAGTTCTCTGCTCTGCCATACACAGGATCTGGGTAGGGGACCTTTTGTGCTGATTTCTTGCTGCCTACTTAGGAGTGCTGAAAAGGCAGCAGTCTGCCAGAGGATCTGCCTCTCCCTGAAGACATGCCATTGGATCCAGCACTTCTGTCCTTGCCCTCTCTGAATGACTCAGTCATTCCAGGTTCCTTTTCTCCCCGTGCAGCAGATTTTAAGTCCTATCAGGACTCTCTGCAGAGAATAGCTTCAACTCTGAGTGTACACACTGAACTGGTGCAAGGAAAAAAAATGCATAAATTGCTGGATATTCTTCAGGCAACAACTCCAGGAAGGACTGCCCTCCTGATTAATTATGCCTTGTTACAGCCAGTGAAAGCTTTGTGGCTGACCCCAGCCTGGCTAGCCCTGACAGCTAAACATATAGATAAACATACCATCCAAAGGCTTCAAATGGTGTTCTCACACCCAGGGCCTTGGGAAATTTAACTTGATCCTGAAGTAAAAAGAGCTAAAGAGATTGGACTTGTTAGGGAGGAAAATTTACTCTGCTGCCTCGCTCCAGAGAAAACTAGCCAACCAGGACTAGAGTAGCCCTTCTATCCTCCAAGACAGTGTGACCCCTTCAGAAGAAGACAGAAACCTCAAAAGAAGTAGGCTAATTCTCTAAGCAATTGTCTTCCACTCAACCTACTGTAGGAAAGCAACCCTTTGACTTCAAGGGCAGGGATGCAAACAGAAGTGATCTTTCCATCCCTGCCCATTTTGGGGACAGACTCTCTCATTTCCTCAGGTCTTAGGAGGTGAAAACCTTAGAGAAGTGGGTCCTACATACTGTGGGACTGGGATATTTGATCCAATTCTGTTCTGTCCCTTCTCATTCTCCTGACTCATCTCTTTTCAGTGACCAATTTCATGCGGCTGTGCACCTCCAGGAAGTTTGGGCTCTGTGCACTATAGAGAAAGGATCTCTACAGTTTCAAGGGTGGGTTTTTACTTCTGCTACTTTCTGATCCCCAAGCCAAAGGGAGGGCTGAGACCTATACTGGACCTTCATTCGGGCACCAAATTCATCAAGCAAGATTCTGTGTGGTTATCGTAACATTGATCCTCCCCTCCCTAGATCACAAGGTTGGTTTGTTGCCCTTGATTTTTTGGATGCATACTTCCATGTGGTGGTGCTCCCCAGCCACAGGAAATTCCTTAGTTTTGTCATAGGGGGCTGCCATTATTAGTATATGGTTCTCCTCTTTGGCCGCTCAACAGCTCCTCATGTGCTCACTAAATGTGTGGCAGTGGTGGCAGCCTGTTTAAGGAAGAATGGGGTCCATGTTTTCCCTTACCTCGATGATTGGCTTGTTTGGGGATCATCTGAGAACCTGGTTAGTTGCCACATCAAGTTCATCATCCACCTTTTCAATCAACCCGTTCTTTCTCCTTGATTTGTTTTGCTAGAATAGTATATGCCGTCACTGACTGTATGAAGCCTGTTTGCTGGAGGGATTCTCATTTTAATGCATGGGTCACCACTCGCTTACGCAGAAAAAAGATATAGTTAGTGCTGAAGGCCACTTAGTAAAGTGGAGTAATTAAACAAGTTGTAATTGACATGTATAAATCCACTTCAACTGGCTTTCCTGCTAACTCTTTCATTAACATAAATTAGCTGTCCCAGGGCTGTTCAATTCTTTGTTGCACAGAATGTTGGATACGGTACTAAACGTATTTTATTTTTTACAGCCCTTAATGATTTATGGTGAACTATGTCCATAAATAGCCACTGTTGCTTTTCTTTTTTTAAAAGGAGGCTGGGGGTTGTGATGGGCTAGGGAACTAACTAGCCAGCCTCTTTCAGAGTGGCTCACCTTTGTGGAACTGAGCACTTCAAAACTATCTCTAGCCTCTCTACTACTAAAGAAATGTGCATGGAGCAGGAGCGCGAAGAGCTTAGATCTACGGGCAGCATTACTTTTATACAGACTGTCTTTTTTTGCTTAGAATTCAGCAGTAGAGATGAGACGGCTTGAGCGAGCTGGATAGTAATAGAACTGAACTTGGCCGACGTCCCAAATAACCTAGGCAACTGAGAAGAGAATTAAGCCAATTAAAGGTTTGTAGAAAAGACATTTAATTGACATATTTACAATTTAAGCACAAAATAGGTCTAGTTTAAATACAAGACCCTGGATTTTCCCCAATTGCTTAAAAATGTTAGCATCATTTTAGTAATTATCCAAAAAGGGGCTTCATTCCATTTATAAGTTATTGAGCCTGAACTGAAACATGCGTGTAATAACTTTTAATTGCCTGCTTTCCATAGACCATGTAAATGCTTCACACATTTAGCACAGGTAATGTGTAGCTAGCGCACACTAAAAAGCCTCATTTGAAATCAAGGCTATCTTCCCTTTAGCTAAATCTTGGGTTGAGAAGCATAAATGCTAAAGTGGTTGGCAAATGCAGAAGTGACTTTGCAATGATGACATCAGCTGTAGCATTTTGAGAGACCTGCATGTTAACTGCACTGTAGTTCCACTAGAAACACTGGTCCTGTAGCTTATGATGCCCTACCAGAGCGCTACCTAAATATAAGGAGGAAAGTAAAGCAGCAGTTGCAGGACTATTTGTTTGAAGAGTATCCAGGGAAAGTCCCTGTTCAAGATGCTTTCCCCAGACTATTATTTCTGAAACATGGACCATGATATTGTATCTTTAAGCATTAAACCATTCAAGTGTTTGCAAAGACTTGTATCGAATAAGCTAAAGTTGAGTGCATTTTAGTTACCCTAATCTCAGATGCACTGTTGGTCTAGCTGCAGCCCAGTCATACTGCTATGTGCTGTTACACAGCATCCATCACTGTCATATCAGTATTTTCCTTCAGAGTTGATCCTAACAAGCAGAGGACCATGGCAAATTCTGTATTTAGTTTGACAAAACTCTTTCATGCTCATGGAATTAGTTAGTTTTACAGCCTGTCTTTTACAAAACAGTTGCATAAGTAATAGCATTTTCTTAAAGGTTTTTTTGCTACCCCCATCCTCTCCCTCCCACTGAAATCTTGATGTCCTTTAGTTCTACTCATTGCCTCAGTAATCTGTCATTATCTGGGGAGACAAGTCTGCACAGAGCATTCCACTTCTAAGTTTGCTCCTTGCCTTATTTTCTGGTTTCCTCTCACTTCCCCATTAGTAGCTCCCTTAAATAAAAAGTTAACTGTCTCCCTTTACCATTTTCTTCATGGAATATAATTCTTGACAAATGGTACTGTCACACTGTTTCTCAGATTTGCCTGTCCCCCTGCTTTAGGTGCTACAGGTTCATTTCCAAATGGTATATAGTGCTTTAATTGCCTTACACCTGCTAAACTGGTAACAAGTGTCCAGCACAGGTGAATAAGTAAGGTGCATCTATACACTCTCCAGGGGCCAGCACACACCTTTATCATCAGTGGGCAGAAATTAGTTAGTAACCCACCTTTCCACTCTAAGGCTAGATTCTGCTACCCTTGCTCATGCTGAGTCCTGCTGGACCAGTGTAGCATTCATGTAAGTGTATAGACAGCCTTTGCTCATCTGCATTTATTATTTCATTAGTAGCTAAGCATGAACATGAACTTCCTTGCAAAGAAACTGAGGGGAGCAAAGGTGGGAGTAGTGGTCAAACATCGTGTGTACTTCCACCGGAGTCGATCATGACTATACATACAATACACAGACAATTGGAATGTTTACTAGCAGGTTGCCTGCGCTGTCCCTTCCAAAGTTATAGACAGTCGTCGTCCATATGCCTTTTAACGGGATAGCAAGTCATTTAGCATTAGGTTGCGTTGACCAGAACAGAATCAGTTAAATCTGAACGTAAAGGAGACGATGCATTGAAAGAAAACGTGAGTTTCTAGAATAATTTTTGTAAGTGTATCATTATTAGTATCACACACGCTGGTAAGGGGCCCATCATAATATCAGTGTGCAGTTGCATGATTGAGATTAAAAACAAGCATGTTCAACAAAATAGAGAGCACCTAATCCGTAACGTCCTCCGCCCCTCTTACTTAACAATAATGGCCAAGGATTGAGGAATTTAGACTCCAGGCTAACACCAGGAGATTACAGAACCTGCAGCTAGTTGTAAATCAAATGAAAGAGATGCAGCATAAGAGTTGTCTACAGCATATTTACCAGCAGAATTATAGTGGTGTAATTATACTGCTAAAGTTATTCCAGGATAATTCCCCTTGGGAACACTATTCCCTCAGAATTAGTGTAGTCGTATAATTATACTGCTGTAGTTCTGCTGCTAAATTTTACCATGTAGACAAGTCTTTAAATGTTAAAAACTGTTTTATATAAAAAATTATACCTATAAACTTTATTCTTGTTTTCTTCATGCATCATTACATACTTTTAAAGAATACTCTGTACCTGAAATATCATTTTACTTTTCAGCTGGATTAGAAAAAGGGAAATAATTTAGACTAAAGATTTTTTTTTGCAAGTTGTACAGTATTGCCTGATGTCTTGTATTTTGCCCCCAGATCATACTAGAATTTTTTTAAACACAAAAATAAAATGTGGCCTTGCCACACTTCTACAACTCTGTATACAAAGCAGATTTTTATCTTGTACAGTAATTAGATTTCTGTAGCGGAAAAAAGAAAAAAATCAAGGAAAAAAAAATCTCACAACTCTAAGTTAGCATTTCTGTCCATCCAGGTATTTTTGTTTTCCTCTAAGACCAGCAGTTTGCTGACTCCCTCTGATAATGTACCATTGACTTCATCATCACTAAAAGTAACCCAGTGACTAAAATCTTTTGGGCTGGGGAGTTTCAAATTGCTCGGAGTGTGTGTTGGGCTAGTTGTTGCTGGTGTGGAAAAAGGAAAGGAAATATCGGTGTCCAGGTCCAAGAGATTGATGCTCTCTGTTAGTGAATTGGTGGCTAACAGCTGTGGCTGCTGGATGTCTGGGGTAGGAGGGCCTTGAAGGTCAGCAAAAAAGTCCAAAGCAGTTGGTGTCAAGTGCTTAGTGCCACTGCTGTCTGGGCTGGCAGTGGATGTTGGAGCTGAAAGATCAGAGTCTCCGGGAGAAAGGGGGAGGATGTCAGAGTCCTGTGTTGTAGGGTTGTACTCAGAAGGACTATTGTTGTTGTTGGAATTGAATGTTAAGCCACTAAGAAGCAGACTGTTACTGCTCTGAAGCACCTGCTGGTGAAGGGCAGCAGGAGCAGACTTCTTCCTTCGTGGTGGAACCTTTGGGGCAAAGGAGTTCTGCAGGGCCACCGCACTTTCCTCTGAAATGCCTAGGCTGGGCGGCTGCCTATCGCTGCTGCTTCTTCTCTCAGGAGCTTTCCCGGGCGGCGTTGTTCTCGGCTTAGGAATGGGGGTGATCCTAGTGGGACTGGTAATGGCTTTGGTTTCAAGGCAGGACTCGGACAATCCAATGTGAAAGCGGACGGGCTGCTGGTCAAGCTGCTCTTCCAGACACACACACAGAGAGAGGGGAACAAAAGGAATACGAGTCAGAGCGGTGTTTTAGATTTAGACTCGGCCGCTGCACTAGCTCTGCCCATCCAGATGGGAAAACGCTCAAACAATAGGTGGGATAAAGAGGATGTGAATTGTGTTGGGTGCATTATTGAAAGAAGTTGGTGGAATCACTGAATGAGATGAGGAAGTGGAAAGTGAAGGCATGAGAGTAACAGCTTTAAATCAGCCCTGCCCTTCACTCCCTGTGTTAAAAAGACATCCTTTTGTGACCATTTGCCTTTCCACTTTAGAATTATGTGTGGGGTCAAATCTCCAGACAACACAGTTCTGAGGAGTTCTTTTACTGTTACATTTTCCTGCTGCTGTAATAATATTGAAACGATAAGGGATGACAGGGATTGCATTAATGGGGCATTAGGCTTGTGTGCCTTGTGATACATGAGGCTGAAGGACAATTAGCTTCAGCTACCCCAAAAACTGCATTCATGTCTTACTGTGGCCAGGATTTGTACCATAATGTGGAATTTTGCATTCTTCCTTAATGCCTCATATTCCACTTAAAAAAACCTTGCCTAAGCAGAAAAGGTTAACCGGGAAAAAATGTGAAATTGCATATGTTTTTAAAGGTGGTGTTATGTTACTAGTGCCACTGTGGTCCCCATCCCTGCCATTATAAATTCCTGGCCATATGGATTCCTCCCTCCCTGGTAAGGGAAGCAAAAGGTCATTCCTGTTGCATTTTAGCCCAATATGCTTAAACTGCATGGCCTGGATCACTAACCAGGCACACTTGCTCGAAGAGCCCATAGATCAATGTATTTTGGGCCCAGATTAAATTAGTGCTAGCTAATTAGCTTGATATAACTATTATTCCCGATCTCCTATTCTTAGTACTTCTGAGTGAAACCACATGAACTCCTGGCTAGTCTCCCTTAGTATAAAACTATGCAAAGCCAGTCTTTTTATATGCTCAGAAAATGCATCTTACATTGAATACAGGGCAATCCCCCTTTCATTTATGTCTAGAGATCTTTCTCTTTTTCGGGGGGGGGGGGCAGGGGAGGTGGAAGAGGTGGAAGGGTTTTTTGAGGTACTGAGCTCCCTTCTAAACTCACTTCCAGATGGGGGAAACATCACATTAGGACTTGTCTACATTGTACATCAGTCTGCACCAGAAGGGTGTAAATTTTAATGCGCAGTAGGTTGTTGTGCAGTAACTGGCCTGTATGGACCCTGCTGGTGCGCACTAGAAGTTCCCCAGTGTGTGTTAATGCAGTCCCCTATGTCAGCACTCACTAGGGAACTTTTACTGTGCGCTAGCTGGGTCCCATGGGACAATTAGTGTACAATATACTAATGTGCGCTAGAATTTACACCCCTCTAGTGCAGACACATACTCTGAGTCTGCTGTGGACAAACAAGTATATGAACTTTCAGATCCTATACTGTTCAATAACTGCAGCCTTTCTATTTTGAGATCTTTCAGGAGTACGTGGATGATGGGCGTGAGTTAAATATAGGGAAACAGGTGGGGCTGTTTGGTTTACTTCTCTTTCTTTTTCCTTTGTGGTTCTGCTCAGTGGAAGGCTGTGCAAACTGCCTGAGGGGATATAGTAAGTGCCCTTTCAGAGCGAGGTAGGATGGAGACCCTAAAGACTAACCTTTAGGGAAGAGCTGTCTAGCAAAGGCGGTCACAGAGGAAGAATATGAAAGCGCATATTTATGGTACTTAGCCTGCATTACTGTACTGTACTATATGAGCACCACAATCGTTAACGTATTTATCCTTACAACACTGCTGTGAGGTAGGCAAGCACTACTATCCCCATTTGACAGATGGGGAACTGAGGCTATGTGACTGCCCAAGGTCACACAGAGTTTGTGGGAGAGCCAAGTGTCTGGCTAGAACCCTAACCACTGGGCTCCTGCCTCCCTGGAGACCCTGTTTTACGATTTATTGGTTGTGGCAGGCCATTGCTCCTGTGAGTTTTCAGGTATATTTTGTTCATGTTAATAAGTGCTGTTTAAATGGCACATGCTAGAGTAGTGTAGCTGGCACCAAGGGCTCTGGTGACTCTAATGAACCAACTTTGTGATTTGTAACTTCATAAATACATTATTTTTGGTTCAAAGCCTGACCTACAGATTCTCGGTTCAGAAGGGACAATTGTTAGCAGATATGAACAAAACTGATTGGATGGACTTTGGGGGATTTTGGTTTTTTTCTCTAAAAAAGCAACAAATGATGTCCTAAGTAAATATTTTTTAAAAAAATCTAAAACACAATTTCCAATCAACTTTGACTTCAGTTTGAACTAAGGACTTTGGATGGAGATAAGAACAATTAAAATGGAATTTCTGCATTTGCCCAGGAGGCTAAATTCTCAGCATTTTAGCAGACTGTTTCCTTCTATCTTACTGAAGGAAACCTACACTGTGGTGATGTAGTGTGATTAGCAGAGCAAAAATGCAGAAACTTCGGGTTGAGAGTAGTCACTAAACCAGATCCAAGTTCACAATGAATTATCTCAAGTTTAGGATGCATAAGAGGCAGATTTGGTGAGAGAATATCTGGAATTCTGTGTTCAGTTCTTGACAATTCAGAAACATGTAGCCAAGATAGGAGTTCAGAGGAGGGCAAAAACCACTAGGAGGATGGACCATCACAGCGGGAAGTTAAAGAGCTGAATATGGATAGCTAAGTTTAGTGATAACTTTGTCAAAATGGGAGATAATGATTTCCTCTACTTGATGTTCATTTACTGTGCATATAGGCCACAGTAACTGCTATATGCAAAGACACTTACAGGTGAAGTGAGCTGTAGCTCACGAAAGCTCATGCTCAAATAAATTGGTTAGTCTCTAAGGTGCCACAAGTCCTCCTTTTCCTTTCACAGGACAGAAGAGCTCAAACAGATGCTTGAGCCAGTTGATAGAACTTCATGTGAATTGTTTAACAACTTGCCCCCTCTGCTAAAACACTCTGCAAAATGAATAGCTGCTGTGGCTATCTTACATTTTCTGATTTGACTCCAGTTCTTTGCTGGGGCACCGGCTTCTTTATGGTTGGAACTTTGGGTGGAGGGCGATGGGGCACGAGCACTGGTCCTGATTGTGACCCCTGAAATGATGCTGACTTTGTGATGCTGGGAAGGGAGTCAGGCTGGGTGGTTTGGGTTCTTACTGGAGCAAGCTTCAGAGCATTCTCTTGTGTTCCTGAAATGCAAAAACAACCATTGTTTGAATCTGTCTGAAGCGTAGCTCAAAGATCTCTTTCCTTTGTGGTCTTGTTTTCCAAAATGCTTTTGCCCATTATCGTACAGGGACAGCATTCAGGTTGAAGATGAAGGTTTTGGAAATAAATACAGAATTTCACCAAAAATGTATCATTAGAATGACTTTAATTTTATGAAAACTAGTCATTGCATATTCATTATACTCCTTGCCAGCATTACTTCTAACCCAAACACAGAAGCATTGTGCTAGTGTGTGACCTAGGTGATAGGTCAATGGAGGGAACTCGGGAGAGATGGGTTAAATTCCAAACTCTGCCACTGGCCTGCTGGATGACCTCTCCATGCCAAATATTCCCCATTTGTAAAATAGGGATGATGATACTGATCTCCTTTGTAAAGCACTTTGGGTTCTATGGATGAAAAGTGCTGTAGAAGAGCTAGGTGTTACTAGAGCATGAGAATCCTAAAATGAAATTGACCAGCCTAGTTTTCTTAGCCAAGCGAAATATAAAAAGTAAACAGTAATAAACTAGTGCAAAGTAAACTTGATTTCACCCATTCTTTCTCCTTTAACGTGCAAACGGGCTCTGAAGAGCAAATATAAAAATGGCATTCCAGGGTTGTTCTCTCAGTGATTCCAGATTACATTTACTCAGTTTTACGAATGAAAAAAAATTTTTTTTCTAATTGCCAGCCCTATAAACTTGGGCTGGGATGTGAGAGTAAAGCTGAAATGTTTCTGGTTCATGCTTCATCAACAATAAAGACTCTGCATTTGTAATTTAGTTAACAATTCTGTTGCTGATGTGTGAGCCTGGATAGAATCCAGCTCACTCTACTGGTGCTGTGTAGGCTCCGCCCTGCTATCTGCAGAAGCGAACATTGTTGTTACTAAAGCAAGCAGCTACCCCTCTGGAGTCACAGAGGGAACAGATATGTTGAGAAGGAAGGTGACATCTGTCTTTCTCAGAGTACAGCCGAGTACCATAATCTATGATGTTCTTAGTAACAGGAACAGCAAGGACATATTTTAAAATACGACATTTTATGGGGACCCTTTAAAAGTCAGAAATTAAGTAATCTTGAAACAAAAAGGCTAATGGTATCCAAGCTGACAGAAAACATTCAAAGAAAAATCTTGCAGGACCCCCCAAGGTTGTATTAAGGTTAACAGGAGCGTTTTAAAGGTAATACATGTCTTATTTAGGTTATGGTCAGGGAGGATGAAATGCACCTACATTTTATTTGGAGATTTTAAAACTCCATTGGAAAGCTCTGCTTACCGCCTTTTGCTTCCATCAGACATCTAATAGCTTCCTCCGCTTCCTGAGCTGTGGTGGTTTTGATCTGCTTGACGTTATAAGGCTTACTTATTCCAGTCCGGGCTTTAGGCTTACAACAAGAAAAGGGGGAAAAGAGTAGGTGAGTGAGTAATTCTGAAGGAAAAGGCTTTTCCTGTGAAACCCTTTAACCCACAGGCTGTACGCTGTACCGGTGTAATCACTTCCAGCGATTCATGCACCTGTCTCCACAGAACTGCACTGGCTGCCATTTAACAATCTACTAATATTTCAAAATGGCTTTATTTTAATTTTTCTTTGGCAGCTATCATATCTTTGCTACTGGCTGTAGCTGCCCCAATTGATCTCATTACCTGTCTCTTGTCTGACGGGGGGAGAGGGAAATATTTTCACAGCATTTATGTGTAACTTTACTTTCCATAAAAGCCCCCAGTCACAGCCCCGAGCCAAGTCTGAAAGTACAGCACAAGGAACAGCAATGCAAAGATCCCCACAGGGTCCCACTAATGTGCGTCCTCTTGACTAGTGGGGGTCCTCTGTGTGAGGAAGGAGAGTCTAATCCTCAAGTCTATTCAGCTCTGGGCCTCTCCATTGAAGGTGCCAGCTATGGGCGTGCTGGTCTCCCGTGTGCACTTCACGTATACACTCTGCACTGGACAGAGGCCATCAAAGCAGTGGCTGACATAGGAGCACAGCACAGCCTTCAACCCCCTCAATCTTAGACCAGGCCTATACTAAAAAGCTGGGTTGACCCAGTGGCGTGAAATACCCACTGCCCCGAGTGGCACAGTTAAGCTGACCTACCTCCTAGTGTAGACAGTACTACGTCCATGGAGCCCCTCCTGTCGCTGCAGTGAGTGGCTACACTGACGCACTACAGCAGTGCAGCTGCGGCTCTGCCACTGTAGCCATTTCAATCTACACATAGCCTTAGGGGTCCTCCAACCCTAACCCTAAAGCTTAAGTTGATCGAATTTATGCCACTCAAGAGTGTGAAAAAGACACATCACCCCCCGAGTGACGCAAGTTACAGAGACCTGAGCACTGTCCACACCAAGCTATGTCGGCAGGAGGCACTCTCCGGCTGACATAGCTTCCACCTCTCGTGGAGGTGGAGTCGTTATGCTGATGGGAGAGCGCTCTCCCATCGGCTTAGCACGTCTTCACCAGACGCAGTACAGTGGCGCTGAGGTACTGCTTCCAGTGTAGACCTGCCCTTAGTATCAAATGATTGTGGGCCTGCTGGCCCTGTAGCCAAATACTAGAGCATGGTTGTTTCAACTCTGTAGTTCCAGATCAGACCTGTGCAGAATCCCTACCTGTAACACTTGGGAGCTTTATGCAGATAATATTCCCTCGGAAATGGGGGAAGGACGCCGGGAGCTATGGTGTGACCACTCTATAGGCCGATTTAGATGGATCCTGGGGCCTGTCTAGAGCAGTCCTTCCCAACCTTTCTAATACCAGTGACCAGCTGGCTGCCTTCCTAAATTGTGTCAGGGAGATCTCAGGGACTGGCACCAGTCATGGATCAGTCGTTGAGAAACACTGGTCTAGAGGATGCTGAATATTAGGATTTGGCATTGAAAAAGAGCCATTGGCAGAGAGCTAAAGTAAGTAAATCTAGAATGTAGCAGGCAGGCAAAGCTGACAAGTTCAAAGGGGAAATTTGTTAAATAGCTGTAGTTTATTCATTTTCAAGTTGTGAGGCAGCCATTACTTATTAAAGTAAGTCTCCCTGTGTCTATATGTACATATACACACTTGCCTAACACATACTCTGTTCTGATTATGCCCCCCCAGTTACTGATCCTGGGTAATTACAGGGAGAAAACTTGGAGAGTGGTCAGTTTAGATGAGCTATTACCAGCAGGAGAGTGAGTTTGTGTGTGTATGGGGGTGGGGGGGATGTGAGAAAACCTGGATCTATGCAGGAAATAGCCCGACTTGATTATGTAAAGAGTTGTCACTTTGGATGGGCTAGTACCAGCAGGAGAGTGAATTTGTGTGGGGGGGTGGAGGGTGAGAAAACCTGGATTTGTGCTGGAAATGGCCCACCTGTTGATCATTTTAGATAAGCTATTACCAGCAGGACAGTGGGGTGGGAGGAGGTATTGTTTCATATTCTCTGTGTGTATATAAAGTCTGCTGCAGTTTCCACGGTAAACATCTGATGAAGTGAGCTGTAGCTCACGAAAGCTCATGCTCAAATAAATTGGTTAGTCTCTAAGGTGCCACAAGTACTCCTTTTCTTTTTGTGTATCCTTACTGCTTTGCTCAGCACTCCTACGTAAATTGCATCTGCTGGCTGGTGGGTTCAGACTCTAATTAGCACCTGATCCCCTTTTTAGTTAATTGTGTGGCGCAGTGCTGCTGAGGGACTCACTGGTTGCTGAGGCGCCCCTGGGAGAAGCTTTGCCGTCTGCAGGATGGAGCACAGGGAGTGACCTCCTGAGGAGATGGAACCATCGGATGGAGATTTTTTGACAGATACTCCAGCTGCAAGGGAAATAAGAATGAGTTTTCAAATGCAAGAGCCTGTGCAGTGTTTGTTAATAATAAATAATAATAATAATCTCAATTGGGCATTAATACTGCAGCCCAGCTATGACTATTTCAATGGCAATGTTGTTAACTATTCATTTCTGATCAAAGCACATAAGAAAGGAAGGACAATGCTGAAGAACTGAATGTATTTCTAAAAGAGAATTTCTAGTTGCACTCTGGAGCATATGTGCTGCATGAAAGTCAAATGCCTGTGATCTATGCAGGAGTTCAGACCAGAAGATCATAATGGCCCTTTCTCATCTTAGAGTCTATGAGTGAATCTGAACAATCTGACATGACTGGCCTCTCATTTTGGCATCCCAAGTGAGTAGAGCTTTGAATACCATCACTTCACCCTCAGAAATCTATGCCGTGGCTGAGGTCAAACTATCCATCAAATGAAGAAAAACAGCTCTATTATCCTCAGTGCTATCCCAAATGTGGGCAGTGCGTACGTATGTGAGGTAACCATCTAATGGGAAGGGATGAAAATCAGACAAATATTTTGTTTAAACTTTTCAAGGGAATATTGCATAAAAAATTAAACCGAATAAACAAAAAAATGGTAATAAAATGCTTTGAGTATTAAAAAGAAAAGACTCAGGGAGATTAAACACTGGTGTCTTTTACTGTACCAAAGCATCAGTTATTTGCAAATTCTCCCCCTTTGCTGTTGGGTGGATGTGAGACATACACGAACTATTATAACTCCACTGAAGTGGAGAAAGGACTTTCATTACTAGAGTACCTTTCATCCCAAACTATTTCAAAGAACCACTTCACCCATCACTGAAATGCAGCCACTGCTGGAGTGAAACACAGCAGTTGTTTAACACCACAAGAGTTTAGGGAAAGAAATGAAGGCGAACACTGTGCCTGACTGAAACAGCAGGTGATGGGGATTTAAACAGGCATAGGTATTTACCTGTTTGTTATTACTAGAAACAATAGGGTGGCAACAGAGTCCAGCTGACATGGGACAACATTTAAAAAGAAACTGAAATTTTACCTGGAGGGGGAGGTCTCTGGGGTGGCTGAGGCGGGCGAGGCCTGTCAGGAACAGACAGAGATCTGCTTGGAGACCGATGGCGAAGCCCCACACCTAATTCCAGCTCCTGCTTTAATTCAGCTAGGTCAGCATCATCTAGGGGGAAATTTCAGGGAAAAAACAAACAAGAGAGTTTTGCATTTGAGAATTACGGCAGAGATGGATCAAGACTGGAGTGTCAGGAGACAGGCACCTGTGATTTGAAAACAAGAGCTGGTTAACTGAGGCTTTGTCTACACTGCACTTTCGTCGGTAAAACTTCTGGCGTGTCAGGGATACCCTGCAGCTTCTGGCTGCCCCAGGCGGCAGCGGGACCCTGCAGCTCCCAGCTGCCTGCAGGCTAAAGTCATGGAGGTCTTCAGAAGTCATGGATTCCATGACCTCCGTGATAAAATTGTAGCGTTAAGCATGGTTAACTGCTAAGGCAACCTGGCAGTTGCTGAGATAACTATACCATGTTACCTCAGTATCTGCAGTATTCCTTAGGGAATCCCAATACTAAGGAGAGGGAACACTGTAGATACTGAGATTAACATTGTACAATAATTTTAAGCAACTGGCAAGTTTTTCAAAGCAACATTGTTTAAGTCAGAGGGTGCCCGAACCTCAAAATTGCCAAAAATAAGTAAAATCAGAGCACAGAGGGGTAAAGCAAACTCTTAGTCTTGGTCGTAATAGGAACTCGTTTGAAGTAATTCACTGGCAAGTTTCCGGAGAGTTCAGATTCCACTGCCACCAATGCCTATGGTTTTAAAGCCTGAATTAAAGTCCATCGAAGTCAATGGGAGTCTTTCAATTGACTTCACGGACGAGGCCTCACTGACAAGAACATAAAGTAAGGACAACTCTGCATTGTGTGCGCTGGTGCTATGTGATGCGAGATAGATAAGGAGAATTACTGCTATTTCCTATGATTTATAATACATACACACTTAGGCACAACTACCCTACCCTGAACAGAACAGCGTTAAGGCAGGGTTACGCTTAATTACTTGTTTATTTTTTGTATGGCAGTAGCATTCAGAAGCTCCAGTCATGGATCCTAGGCCCCTCTGCACAAGGCACTCTTATGAACCAGAATAAAAATCTGGTCCCTGTCCTGCAAAACTTACAATCTACGTATAAGCCAAGAGAGAACATGTGAACACAACAAACAGCCAAGAGATGCAAAAGGAAACAAGCTTTAAGGCCTTCCTTTAAAGAAGCCATGTAACTTACCTTTATATGGATGTGGCTTTCCTCCAGTAAGCAGTGGAGATTTGCTTGAAGTTACTGTGGGTGCAACCGTAAAATATTCAGGACCCTCAGGTAAGCCTTCTGTCATCTCTGCTACCGGGTGCTGAGGCAGCATGTCATCCAAATAATCATCCTCATCATCATCTAGTATATCACCTGAAACAAAATATTTGAAAATGCAGACAGACATTGTCAGAAAACACGTTCTCTTCTCGCTCCCATTTTCTATACAGGTTATTTTGTTAGGCAACATTTTTGTTGATTCCATGTGTTTTAGGATTGCTTTTTGATCAGGCGTTCTCAAACTTTTTTTGCTGGAACCCCTTTGAAAATATTTCAGGCTGTGATGACCCCCCACCCCCCCAAAAAAGTGATAGCAAATTATGGTACATACTCATAGGTGCATACTCATGGCGTCGCTACCCTTATATCTGCACCGTTGCTGGCGCTGTCTTCAGAGCTGGGTGGCTGGAGAGCGGCAGCTGCTGGCCAGGTGCCCAGCTCTGAAGGCAGCGCTGCTGTCAACAGCAGCAGAGAAGTAAGGATGGCATGGTATGGTACTGCCACCCTTACTTCCGTGCTGCTGCTAATGATGGCGCTGCCTTCAGAACTAGGTGGCCAGAGAGCAGTGGCTGCTGTATCCCCCACAACTCCTCTTTCCCCCAGCGACATTGTTGTGATCTCACGACCCCCCTACAATAGCCTTGCAACTCCCTTTTGGGTTGGGACCCCCAGTTTGAGAAACACTGATATAGATAATTTTAATGTATTATGACTGTGATAGTGTATTTTTTTAGTACTGAGCAGGTACGGATAGTTGATAGTCAATGGGGCTCTGCATGAGAACTGGGGTCTACCTGAGTAGTTCACAGTGCCAGATCAGGGCTCTGTTCACAAACCGGTTTCTAAGAATTGTTTTATTACAAACTAAGATAGTGATCACATGCAGATATCTACCCTCTCCCCACAGTGAACAACGCAAATCCTCATAGTTCAGCCTAGAGTTGTGCTACTAACCTTCTGATTCATAGTCCAGACTTGAAAAATCAAAGTTTTCCTCCAGCAGACAGGAGTTTGCGGTGGGTGACATGGGTGCAATGCTCTCCCGTTTTCGAGCAATTTCCTCCTGAAAGCCCTTCAGCCAATCCTTAGTCTTAGGCCGGATATTCACTGCTCTGCCTTTGACCTAGAGTCATGAAAGAATTGTTTTCCCTTTGTTAAGAAAATGAGAATAGTGCCCCAATAGGCTAGTAAATGCAGATGTTCCATCTGACAAATGCTTCAGAAATCTAGATGGCATCAGGTTCATTTCAGAAGTTCAGTGATAAGGAAATACTCTTCCTAGTACCATCACGGGGAAAAAAAACCCCAGAATTAATCCTTTGGATGTAACAATACTCCAGGTATTGACTGAACAACTCTGCTGCTCTTATTGGGCTTGTTTATGTTGTGGCTTCCTTTCTTCAAAGTTTTCATACTGAAATTAGCCTTGTAGTTCTTGGTTACTCAATTCTGCACTCAACAATCATTTGCTATTGGAGAGAAATGGTAAAATATCACAGCAATTATGCTGTATAATTTTTAAAATGATAATCATAATAATTAGGGGTGGTATTTTCAAAAGTGCCTTAGTGACTTAAGAGCATATGGGATATGTACTCGTAAATCACTTAGGCCAGTGGCTCTCAACCTTTCCAGACTACTGTACCCCTTTCAGGAGTCTGATTTGTCTTGCGTACCCTAAGTTTCACCTCACTTAAAACTACTTGTTAACAAAATCAGACATAGAAATACAAGTGTCACAGCACACTGTGACTGAAAAATTGCTTACGTTCCCATTTTTGCCATATAATTCAATTGGAATGTAAATATTGTACTTATATTTTAGTGTATAATACACAGAGCAGTACGTGTACCCTTGGTTGAGAATCACTGACTTAGGCATTTTGAAAAATCACACCAGCGCTCTAGCAGCCTGATATCTAACCATAAAGCAGGCCCCAAATTGCCTCCCCAAACGAACAAACATGACTGTTGATCCATGTGAGAAACATACCTTAAAGCAGAGTAGAACCTTAGCTGCTGATACATTTTGCATTACTGCACATGTTGGCACCATTACGCATGTTCCAGTTCCAGAGCTCTGTTTAGAAGCTCCTGAAGAAGCAATACCTGCCTTCCTTATATGGCCAGGCCTTAGAAGTGATCATTGTGGGTATTCAGCTTCTTTGAAAAATCAGGCCATAGATTCAGGTGCCTAGATATGGACTTAGGTATCTAACCTAAGCTACCCATTTTTGAAAAGTTTGGTGTGCATTCACTAAAATAAACCAGAGATGGTTTTACCTTGCTACCATCCATATCCAGAACACTGAGAGCTGACCTGCTGTCTGCAAATGTTACCATCATCTGACCTCGATTGATCCTAGTAAGAACAGAGAGACGAGACAACTGTACAGTTTGCTGTCCACAAGGAAATAGTAGGACTAAATGGTGACTATAGTAATTGTGCAATTTTTCATTTAGCTCTTTCAATAACACAATTACTAACAAGTGTTTTTGTGACAGGTGGGACCAAGCATCCCAGCACTGACTCTCCCTCACCACCCATCCTCCCTCATGTGGCCCCACCAGAGTGGACGCTACTGGGGTTGTCCTCAAAGCAACAGTTCATCCCTCTGAATAAAGGTTAAGAAAATGTTGCACACCTTCCTGCATCCACAGTATTTTCCCCATCCCCGTGTAACATACCTCTCCCCTTCCATGTACCCGCTTCATCTGCTCTGTGTGAACTCTGCACGAAAGCTGCCTCTCAGAGGGCACACAACCTCCTCAAAGGCTACTACTCTGTCCTACAGCAAGCTGCAAAGGGGTGTGAAAAAAGCAAAGCACATTTCCTTCATGCTCCTCTCAGCAGCCACGGAATGCTCCAAACCTTCATAAACCATGCGGTGGTGGGGTCCTAGGGCTGCTCCTGAACCCATATCCCCTACTTAGTAGTATGCAGGGCTAGATAGAGAGAGCCAAGCTGACAGTATTTAGCAAAACAATCTCCTGAAATAAGTAGGTCAAATGCCTCGTAATTGATTTGTTGGTCTTGCTGTCAAGTCACAACTACTGCCACAAAGAAGTTAGATTCCAGGAGGAAGCAGCAGGCATAGCAGCATTTTGTGGCCAGGCACGACTTCAGATGTATGCCCCAGCGGAACAGTCTAACATCACTCCCATTTCAGTGGCACACTCGGTTCTGCTAGCCCTTTTCCCACTTTGGACAGGTACTTTTGATGCTGTTGTTTTCTTCCACTCATGGTAATGTAAATCAGATAATGCCAAGCTGTGCTTGTTTTCTTCAACACAGAAGTACCATAGCTACCAGGAGGCCCAAAATAACTCAGCTGGAAGGAAACAAAACTCCTCCAACAGGGCTTAGAACGAAACACCCTCCCTTGCACTCAGTAGGTCCAGGAATGACAAAAGAGCCTGAGCCCCCAAGGATAGGCTAGAGGCTCTTAAATCCAAAAGAGGTGGAGTCACTCAGGAGAGCCAAATGGGTGTGAAAGATTGCCAAGGAAGGCAGACTCTCTCAGTCACAGGAATGGGAGGCACAAATTAGAAGTACTGCAAATTGAGGCAACACCCAATGCATGAGGATAAAAGGGCTGAGCCTGAGCAAGGTGAAGAGCTGGCCCCAGGAGGCACACTCAGGGCGAAGCCTCTGACCTGGAGCACTGCATACCCTTCTCCCCCACATAGCCAAGGAACCTGTTAGGATATTTCTTTAGTCGGATAGAGAGAAATAAAACATAAGTGCTAATAATTTCTAATCATTAATGCAATCCGAATGCAATATGTTACAGTCTAAAACGGTTATTCGTATTCCACACAGTTAATGCATTTTAATTAGGATTTTTTAAAAAATAGATTGCACGTGTCAAGAAATCAACATTTACCTGACAAGAACAATGGTGCCATAATTCTCAAATATTTGCATAAGCTCAGTCCGCAAGTCCTCGGGAAATTCGTTTTTCTCTTCAGGGGTTGGTGACTGGAGATTTACCATTACGGTGGCATCCAATGGTCCCTGGAAGGATGACACTTCCTGGAAAACGCTTTCGCGGGCAGCCACGTTAACTTCCTGGACTTCCACTTCTACAATAGCTAACACGGGCCTAGATTTTATACACACACACAAACATTGCTTTCATGTTATCTAAAATCACCCTCAAATAATAGGACATGCAAAAGATTGGTTGTCTGAAAGCAAGCATCTATTTTTAGATGTATTTCTGAAGCACCTTTCATCCCGGGATCTCACAGCACTTTGCAGATATTTTAATTAAGCCTAACAATACCCCTTTGAAGTAAATAACTGTAATACCCATTTTACACATAGGGTATGTCTACACGGCAGCTGGGAACATGTGTCCCTGCTCAGGTAGACAGACGTGTTAGCTCTGCTAGAGCTAGTATGCTAAAAAATAGTAGTGTAGCTGGGGTAGCAGCTTGGGCTAACTACCCAAATACATACCGATGGGGTCTGGCCGGGTTTATACTCAGATGGCTAGCCCGAGCTGCCACCTGTGCTAACCCCAGCTATGTTGCAATTTTTCATGTATTAGCTTGAGCAGAGCTAGTGCATGCCTATCTACCCAAGCTGGGAAGCACGCTCCCAGTGGCAGCGTAGACATCCCCAGAGAGAGAGAGAGAAGTTGAGTAGCGGGCCCAAGGCCACATAATGAGTAAGCAGCACAGCGGGCAACAGAACCCCAGAGTCCGGACTCCTAATTTATTACTCTGTCTACTCCCTCATATAGGGTCTCACAGATTTACCACCACTACATTTAGTGAAAGATAGTGGTGATAATATACTGTAGTAGCAAACATAATAATAATACGAATATAATACTTGGCACTTCCATAGGACCTTCCATCCCAAGATCTCAGAGTGCTTTACTTATATTAATAAATTGTTTCCCAACACCTCTATGAAACAGGGAAGTGTTATTTCCCAAGAGGCATAGTGAGGTTAAGTGGTTTGCCCGAATTCACACAGGGTGCCCAAGATAAAGCAGTTTTTCTTCTTGACTTCTAGTTCTTTTGCCCAGGACAAACAGTGAGAGGACAATGTACCCTTAAGTGTGCAACATGTTTGTGTAGCACAGACAATGATTTTCTAAATAGAGTGAATTTGTGTGGGGGGGTGGAGGGTGAGAAAACCTGGATTTGTGCTGGAAATGGCCCACCTGTTGATCATTTTAGATAAGCTATTACCAGCAGGACAGTGGGGTGGGAGGAGGTATTGTTTCATATTCTCTGTGTGTATATAAAGTCTGCTGCAGTTTCCACGGTAAACATCTGATGAAGTGAGCTGTAGCTCACGAAAGCTCATGCTCAAATAAATTGGTTAGTCTCTAAGGTGCCACAAGTACTCCTTTTCTCTTATGTGTTAACTCTCTGTGTGTGTCAGATCTACATAAATAGGGGCACGCTGTCCAAAGGGCTGAGGCTCGGCCTCTGTAGATGCAATCTGCACCCTTAGGATTGTACTTGCAGATGCATTGAAGGCACTCATTGGACACTTGCATATCTAAGCTCTTGTCATTGCTACCCGCTATCTGCACTACAGCTGGTTCTGTAATACGCACTACCAGACTGAACAAAAAGACTGAAGGTTGAGATGAAGGGGAGACAGAAATTAAAACAACCCTCTATAGGAAGTGTTAACTATTTCTGAAAACACTGTTGTTGCTTAGTACGTTGCTGGATGTTAGAAGAGATACACTGGAGTTTCTTTTTATAGCACATCCTGGAAAACCCAACCTACTGAGTGTAACTAACAGGTGTTGTTGAAACATGGTTACTGCAGTGGTGGTTGCTGTAACTGGGAGCCAAGGTAAAAGAAGCCTTGCTTCAAATGTTGCATTTTATAATGATTGTGGCAATTACACTGTTAGCTGCAGGAGCCAGTAGTGTCAGTGCGAATGGGCTAGTGCCTTGACATAGAGAAATGGTTTGTTTGTGAGAAGCATGTTCTTTCATTGCTGGAGAAAGGTGAAACAGCCCTCCAGAGTAACAATGCTGTGAAAAGCACTTTTGTGATTCACTGAACTCTACTGTGAGAAACAAAACAGCATTTCCATAGAGCACCCCAGGATAATTACAGAAGCTATTTTGAAAACAGACAAGCTTTTGAGATACCTTGATCAAAGCACTCATAGCATTCATTTTCAGAACAAGTGAAACAATAACAGTGAGCAAAGAAAGTTAATCTGTATAATTTTTCTTTAGGGAGAAGATCTATAATCAACGTGGCTGTCTCAGCTTTTGATTTTGTTCTCTTCCCCTTTCTCCGTAAGTGGGGAGGCTTAATGTGTTTGCATCTCAGAGAAGCTCATTAACATTCACACACCCCAGCTCTACACACACAGTTTATGCCGCTAAGGCAACACATCTCAGCTGCCTTCATTCTAGCAGAAGACTGGGTGGTGCCTGTCAATGCTGCACCTTTAATTGGTTTGAGCTGTCAGAAATGAATGAGGAGAGGCATCAAATCATCCAGCCCTTGCCTCTGCATCTTGTCCAGCCCTTGCTGATATCATAGTACAGAGGAAAATTAATACAAGGCCCACGGGCATTGCCACCCTTTGGCTTAGAACCATGATGGGGTTAAATGTCAAAGTGCTGAACAGAGAATAAGCATGTAGCGTCCATTAACAATCATTCTTGGCCCTTCCATTGAATATATACTTCAGTGAGCCTCAATGTAATCAGAGAAAGATAATCTAAGCTAGGACATTACCTGTGATCAGATGCCTGCAGCTCCGCTCTTCCATAATACATCAGGGCACCAGGAGTCCAAGTGTGTTTGACTTTTGTTTCAGCACTCAGATCACTATCTAGGAGATTGATCTCTCCAGCTATACAGCACAAAAGAGCATTAAAGTTCATAGACTTGTAATAATAATTTAAACTATTTTAACTATTTGCATTTCACAGAACTGGTTTTCACCAAAACACACTGTTCCTGAAGCACTCCATCTAAAGGATGGCTTATATCCCTCTAGACCTTGAATTTCCTAATAGAAAACAAAATGTAAAAAGAAGTGCAATCGATAGCACAGATCATTAGAACAAGACAAAATGCAAACCAATAACTTTTCAGAGACCTATATAATTTAGCATCACACACCGTCACATTAAAGTATAGCATTTTTCTCCAGCCTGAAAACATCTATATTTTGAAATAACCACATGCAGTTAAGAGACCAGACAGAGGAAATCCTGTATGGCTCTAGCTTCTCTGCTTTCCACATGGTTTTTCTGGGTGACAGGAAGTGTTCAAATCTGGGATAAGAGTGTAGTATAGATTGTTGCTTCCTTACCAGCTAGTGCCACTCTGGACTCTCCCTTTATGCTAGGGGAGGCCCTGTGCTGCACTCAGAAACATGAAGAAATGGAGGGAAGCATTGCTAGGCCTGGGGAGAAGGGTTATTTCTCATCTCCAGAGCTCACGATGAGTTACTGTGGGACATGATCACTTCTCCTGGCTGCCTCATACTAGCTATACATCTCTTCCCTTTGATCTAGGAATTGAATTGTAAACAACCTGCAAGGAATGTCTCCCCACCTCTGCAAACAGCTCTCTGGCCCCAGTATCCTCCACTGTCTAGAACAGAAATGGAAGTTGGACTATTCGGCAGATCAGCAGTAGAGAGAGAGAGAGAAAGAGAGGAAGCTTTGCCACCAAATCAGAAGGGGTAGTGGAGTTTATAGGTGGAGAATGGAACCAGAAGGATTGGGTGGGGCTCAAAGGCAGAAAATGGGGAGGGGGAGAAGATGGATCTCCTAGCTGTGTTACCACTTGGGCTAGCTCTGGAAGGTCTGTAAGTACAGGAGAAAGAGGTTTCATTTATTTGCTACTTTCTTCTGATATATGGTGGGCTCTTGCAGCCCTGCTAGATCATCCCATCTACAATGTCTGCTCAGCCAGCTGAAGTCCTCTCTGGGGCCACTTGAAAGAAGAATTGAGAGAGAAAGGGAAATTTATTGAATAGCTGGGGATATTTTTTTAGCTGAAAAGATGCAATGGAATTACTGGATAGTCTGCAACAATCATAAAGCAGTTGGGAAATATGAGGAGAGTTATTCAACTTCTGCATGCATTTAGAACAATGGCAGACCTGCTACAAACATGAAAAAATGACAAAAGTTGTAGAAACGTGAAAAAAATGGAAAGGGTGAGAGGTAGATTCTTAAGGGAGGATTTTTAGGCTAACTGTGGTCTACAAGGTGGAAGGGGAAAAAAAATTGGGTCAATTATTGAGCAGCCAGAAGTGGAGAGAGGGTGCCTCTGCTAACTGTGAGAAGTGTAGGGAGGAGATACCAGCACTTTTATCCTCCCATCCAAGTGTTATTTTCTTCTTGGTTATTCAGCTGGGATATTTCGATTATCTACAGCAACACAAACCCCTCTATTCCTGTGTGTAGGACCCTATTGGCTTAGAAGAACTGCAGCCCTACCAATATTTGAGCTTATTTCTCACACAAACTGAAGTTCACCTATTGTTATCCCCTGCATCTCATCCCTTCTACGGTTTTATTGCTTTGTAAGCTCATGCCTCTATTTACTGGTCATGATCCTCTTTTTACTACACCATCAGATTTTAAAATCAATATGAGATTATTTATGTTACATTGACATCCTCTCTGGAAACCCTCACTTTCCTTCATGGTATTTATACTGAGGCAGTCCACGGGATGACCCTTGTATCTTAAGAGGTAAAGTCACATTTGTATGCATGGATCAGATAATTTCTTATGTAACTCTTCACTTTGCATGCGTAAGTGCAGTTTTTACACACACTAATGGATGACATGCAGATTCAGAGGCTGGTATGGAAATATGGCTCTGGCGGCAAAAAGTTTGGTTTTTTTTAAAAACTGTCCTAGTATTTTATAGCTTTTAACTTACAGATAAAGTAATGCACTGCACTTCCGTAGCACTTTCCATTCAACGATCTCAAAGCATTTTACAAGTATGAATTAATAAAACCTCACAACGTTCAGTATTATCATTCCCTAATAACATCTGAGGAAACCAAGGCACAAGGCTCAGATCCTTATTGAAATCAGTAACAACAGGAGCAGGAGTAGGCTGTAGCTAAGTGACTTGATCAGGTTTCAAATGTGACTTCTATGTTCATGAAAGCAGTCCCACTGAAACCAAAGGGAGTACCACCATGAGTAAGGTAATCACAGTTTCACCCAGACTAAAGGCCAGATCCAGGTATAGAACCTAGAATCCCAGACTGTCCACCTTCTTCTCTAACCACTAGACCAAATTCCATCCCTTGGATCCAGTGAGATCTGACTGCCAGGCATCATTATTTAAAATGAGAAATGCAAAAATGAGAAAGACCCTACGCACCTGTTTTATCAAATGAAAGCTTCTTTCTCCACCAAAGCACTCGGTCAGTCCAAGCAGGGGTTCTGCACTTATCGCTTGTATCATAAGCCTCTGAGCCAACGTCATATTTATATGTTGGTCCAAAATGAATAGTGCCTTCATGAAAGTCTTTAAAAATCTATTAAAATAAATATCATTTCTTCAATCAGCTAATTCCTGCTTATGAAGGTTTCATAGTCACATATTCACTTTTATTAATATAATCACACTTTGATTTTTTTTTAAATGAACATACCCATAGAAACGCATTTCTGAAAATGCCCTCATTTTCATTCTTACTTAAAGGCAATTAGTTTGGATCAAAATATGGGTGTTCTGGAAAATGGCTATTTTAAATTTGGAGCAAATGGGATAAATCCCCTTACTTTTCCACTGGATTTCTGCTGCTGTAGTTGATCAAATTCCAGGAGTCTTTTCCAGTCTTGTCGTTTAAGAAAATAAAAGACTTCTTCATATGTCAGATCAATGCGATAGTTAAAATCACCACACCAGAACACATAGTCATGTGAGAACACATTCCTCCCCTGGTTAGAAGATACAGAATTTAAGACATAGTTTAAAATGATACATTTTAATCAACTGAGTTTTAAAACTCAGTCTCCCTCGAATACTATATTTTGGACTTGTTTACGAGGTTTTAATTGCTAAATCCAGTGCAGACTAAAAAAGTGGTCTCTACATTTCTTTCTGCATCCCACAGTTATTTAGTCACAATTTTACATCCATAATTTAGATATCTTAATTCTGGCACAGTCAAGGACTTATATGCCTGCATGATCTAAACTGCAGCCACAAAATGCTCTTGCTATTGTATGCACCCGCAAAAACAGAGGCTTCAGTCAAGACCAGGCTGAAAATTTGCCCCTACAACTGCATAGCACATTTCTGTAAATGTAAAGTAATATTATTATTAACAGAGATTCACTCCAATATTTAAGCTTCATGTGTTATGCTACAGATAACTGCACTTTCAAAAAATAAGCTCTAAACCTCTGAACACAGGGATTCATAAAGGAAACACTTCAGACCTGTATCTCTAGCATCACTAGAGGGCACTGTTAATATATATTACACACACACAAAGTATACACCAATATAGTAAACTTACAGGATATAAAATAGTTAATGAGCTATTGGAAGTAAGGACTGCTATACGCATGATTTTATGGCCATTTAGAATGAATATTCTATGCAGGTCTTCAATACTGGGACTATTATTTCTAACATAAATGGAAACTGATTAATATGCTATATGTGTCAAGCCTGTAAACCCAGGAAACAACAGGGAGTTAAATTTTATGCTCTTCAACCTAAATGCCATTCTTTGCTGACTAAACAAAATAAATGAACACATCATAAACTGGTCCTTTCGTTCCCTGGCTTACAGGCTCTCTGGAGAAGTCTGAAAGAAATGGCAGCTGTGGAAATCTAACGCGGCCAACACCATTAAGGCAAGCACAGGAACAAAGCCACAAAAACCCTACAGGGCCACTTGCTGGCCTTAAACAGAGACAACTGAGAGGTGATCAACAGAATACCATCCAAAAGATATCATATCTGATATAAATACAGAGGAAAGGGATCTCAGAATGTCTGTGTGCGCCACATTCTGATAAAGATAAAAATTAATTGTGCTTGTTGGTCTTGGGAAATGGGACTCTAGGGGAAGTGTAGGGAGGAAGGATGAAGAAAAGCAGGAGGCATGTAGGCTGTGTGCAGGAGACTGAGAAGTTGTGGCATGTCACAATCAAAGAGAAGGAGCAGCTGGAGTATGACACACTCTGGGTATGCTCTGACAGAAAATGGTCTTTTTAGGGACTCTTGCTAACTAATTCAAATTAGAGCAGCCCCAGGGTGAACTAAACTGTTCTGGGTCTGAGCAGAGAACCAGGGAGCCATTACTGTCTGTGTGATGCCACCACACCTGGCTCTTAAAGCGTAATCTTGGCAAACTGGTCCACAATGCATAAAGTTTTCAATCTGTGAATCAGGTGGGTGTGATAGTGAGTGATGAAGCATTATGATGGTGGGAAACTGGTTATATCCCTTCATTGTTCACGTTCAGGCATTCTAACATCTGGGTTATTTAAAGGTGTAGAATTTTTGTAAAGAAAGTATTGTTTGTTTTTGGGTTAGCTGTTCTCCATGGAAATATGCTTTCAACCTTACTTTCTTTTTTATTAAGTTCTTTTGTGTGAATACTCTATGACTTTGAATTGCCTCCCGTGCTGACCTGCCAGGTACTATAGATTGCTATTGACTCTCACAATTAAAAATTTAAGGATATAATTTTCACTCCCATTCACAACATTTCTGTCTGAGACATCCTAAATACTTACCATTGGGAAGCTGAGTTTCTGTGTAATCTCTTTATAATCTTCATTCCTCTCTTTCACTTGAGACTGACCAGCTGTCAAGTGACTGCATATGAAGCAAAAACTGGTACTGTGGAACTGGAAACGGATGCCTACTGCACCTTTATTCCCAGCTTTCCCTCCCATCCCGGTTTTCACTATGTCTATTGCTACATCCCTGGACCAAAAAAAAAAAAAAAAAAAAAAAGGTGGGGGTTGGGGGGAGAAACAAAAAAATCAATCAGTCATTACTGGAAAGTGGAAAGGAAAACCCCATCTTATTTAGAATGATGCTTTTATTTTCCCTCCAGTTATTAAATACATGAATGAGCAGAGATTCATGTTGTTCAATGGATCTCTTAGGGTCTTTTGCTGCAACATTACTATTGGCGGTATAGATGTTCTAATGTTTCAGATTACCAGTTAAAAAACAACAATACAGTAATAAAACAATCAAGTGAAATAACTTTGTCCTTGGGCCACCCCTCTTGGCATCCTTTCCAAACTATTCAGCATTCTTTGCATGAAAACATTTCTGTACCTTTTGTAACTTATATGAGGTTTACTTTTGATGTTTGTCTTTATCAAAAAAATTCCTTTGAAGTAGTGACAATAATTAAGGGTCACTTTTTACTCCCTTTTATTTTCCATTCTGCTGACATGAATCTGCTGACAGCTGGTTATCTACTGAAGTGGCATTTCCATACCATGAAATGCAACTTTTGTAGTGGAGAGCGGGCCACATCTCTGGTGTATCAATGCTAATATAAAAGCATACAGATTATAAAATCTGTATTTATCAAACTAGTTGATTGTTAGAAACAAATACTCAGACCTTGAGCACTGAAATGGCATCAGTTTTGATAACAAATTGCCTGTTGCATCCATATTATTAATTACATGGTATTTCAATTACATCTTAGCAATTAACATATCATTGTTTTACATTATATTACAACTTGGCAAAACAAACCACCTGTTAGCAGAGTAATTACTCCCAGATAGCCAGTCTATTTTGAGAATAATGCATGCCTGTCTTTTCAGATAAGCAAATAGTGAGATCATAATTGTAATTGCCCCAGTCCTGTGTGAATCCTTCCTATTGAGAAAATTTCCAGTTACTTTGTACATAAAATCATGAGCACTGGATTAGAATATTTGTGTCCATTGATGCAGGGCAATATCTGGAGGGGACAAACGTTAAGTCTTTGTTGACTTTTGGTTACACACATTCTTGGAGGTTCTAGAGGTGTTGGGGCAATTTCATACCACAACCCGTGCTTTGCTTCTCTTTCCTGGCTGGTGAAGGCCAGTGGGGAAATACTAGGTCCTGGGTTGGCTGATGGGGAACATCAACACCTTCTCTGAGAGAGTTTTGACCATTTTAAGGAATCATGTGTTCTGTCTCTGCTCTAAGAAGCCATCCATTGATGTGCCAACCTATACAACTATTAACTGGAATCTAATCCTCCATTCTTGGTTAAGGTTATAGGAAAGGTTGTGGTGAGACAGCCTCATAGTATCCTGAGCCTCTGAGTTCCTTGACCCATTCATTGTGATATATACTTCAATCACACCCCATTTTATTAATCTCCTCTTTACACTAGTCTAACCTTTTAATCTCCCTTAGCATAGAAATCTTTCTCTGCCTCTGATGATTTTTGTTGTCCTTTTCTGGATTTTTCTTTTTTATTTTTAAACTACAAAATCACGTGGCTAGGATTGGCTGTGTCCATGTATACTGTAGCAGCTCATTAATATTAAATAATGAAACTCAGCCACTTATTAAAATCAAAACCTTTCAGGACTTTCAATGGCCCACTGCTGTATATCTGAGTGCTAACAGGTTGACAGTTGCAATAGAACCAATCTGTAGAAAGAAAAGGAGTACTTGTGGCACCTTAGAGACTAACCAATTTATTTGAGCATGAGCTTTCGTGAGATACAGCTCACTTCATCGGATGTATACCGTGGAAACTGCAGAAGACATTATATACACACAGAGAATATGAAACAATACCTCCTCCCGCCCCACTGTCCTGCTGGTAATAGCTTATCTAAAGTGATCATCAAATTGGGCCATTTCCAGCACAAATCCAGGTTCTCACTCTCCTGCTGGTAATAGCCCATCCAAAGTGACCACTCTCTTCATAATGTGTATGATAATCAAGGTGGGCCATTTCCTGTGCAAATCCAGGTTCTCTCACCCCCTGGAGAGTGAGTTTGGGGGGGGGGGGAGGGTAAGAAAACCTGGATTTGTGCTAGAAATGGCCCAACTTGATGATCACTTTAGATAAGCTATTACCAGCAGGAGAGTGAGTGTGTGTGTATGGGGGTGGGGGGGGGTGAGAAAACCTGGATTTGTGCTGGAAATGGCCCACCTTGATTATCATGCACATTGTAGGAAGAGTGGTCACTTTGGATAAGCTATTACCAGCAGGAGAGTGAGTTTGTGTGTGTGTGGTTTTTGGAGGGGGTGAGGGAGTGAGAGAACCTGGATTTGTGCAGGAAATGGCCAACCTTGATTATCATACACATTGTGAAGAGAGTGGTCACTTTGGATGGGCTATTACCAGCAGGAGAGTGAGTTTGTGGGGGGGGGGGGGTGAGAAAACCTGGATTTGTGCTGGAAATGGCCCAACTTGATGATCACTTTAGATAAGCTCTTACCAGCAGGACAGTGGGGCGGGAGGAGGTATTGTTTCATGGTCTCTGTGTGTATATAATGTCTTCTGCAGTTTCCACGGTATGCATCCGATGAAGTGAGCTGTAGCTCACGAAAGCTCATGCTCAAATAAATTGGTTAGTCTCTAAGGTGCCACAAGTACTCCTTTTCTTTTTGCGAATACAGACTAACACGGCTGTTACTCTGAAACCAATCTGTAGAGTAATTCTGCTATTGATCCCTTTTTATTCAAGCTGGAGTACTCAAATTTCACCTAGTAAAAGTTATTCTCCTTCTTTGGACTACTTTTATCAGACAGGTTAGTTAAAAAAAAATAAAAAATAAATAAAATAAATTCAGGAATTTAGTCTTTTCCCTTTAGAACGCAGAAGGCTGCAGTAAGGGAACACTAGTGTTACCTGGATTCCATTAGTCTGACTGCAGAGCTAGGTACGACATGAAGACTGCATGGACCTTCATGGTGGATATTTGACTAGTGAAAGAGAAAGTAAGATAGCCCAGCAGGGTTTGAAACTCTCGAAGGTTTTAGTGACCCAGCAGTGCATTTGGTATGGGGTGGATGATATTGTTCTAGTCTTCTCTGGGAGATGCCAGTGGGTAGTTCTGGCCAATTACTCCGCTCCCACCTGCATATCCGTAGGCATGCTTCATTCCACTGCACAGGCACTTTCATGCAGGCTCTGTTCTGTTATCCACCCTACCCAATGTGTATGTGAGTCTGTTGAGATAGACAGGGAGCTGGTTTGGGTTCCCCTGTCATCACTACTGTACACAGAGGTCACACAACTCTGTCTCTGTCAATTTAGGCCCAGATGCTGTAGTCTATTTGGTTCCACAGCGCTTGGTTGAAATGGAGACTTAATGACAGTAAGCTCGCTGAAGCTAAATCTAGAGAAGAAAGGAGTCCTGGTGGCAGAAGCAGCATAAATATACGGTAGGAGAGTTTTCTCATCTTATGACCAACAAGATTATCCACTCTCTAGCCCAAGAGTTTTTGGATTTTAGTGTACTTGGAGCCCTGATTGCTCCTGGATCTCAGATGTCATCAGTGGCCAAAAGCATATTTTTTCCCAGGTGAATCTGCCTTTTATCTCAGATCTGGACCTTGTAACTCCAGGTTGTATTACTACAGCGCTCTCTCCATGAGACTACCCCTGAAGAACACTCCAAAGCTGCAGCTGGTGCAGAGTACCACTAGCTACCTGTTTGGCAGTGTTGGCCACAGGGAGAATATTATGATAGTTCTGCAATGGCGAGGTTGGCTTTCTACTTACTTTAGGGTGCAAGTCAAGGTGTTGGTAGGGATCTACATATGGCTTAGTTCCTGGGTGCCTCAGAGACTGCTCCTCTCCCTTTGTGCTACTACAACAATTGGGGAAGGCGCTCTTAATGGTTACTGTAGTTAAAAATCTGAGGTGAAATCTTGGCCCAACTAAAGTCAATGGAAGTTTTGCCATGGTCTTCAATGGGGCCAGGATTTCATCCTGGGGACTGGCGGCAGGACAGTCTATCTAAGGATCTTATACAATCCCCATTACCACAGCACCTGAACGTCACACAATCTTTAATGCAATTGTCCTCACAGCGCCTCCGTGAGGTAGGCCAGTACTACTATTCCCATTCTACAGAAGGGCAACTGAGTCACAGAGAGAAAGTGACTTGCCCAAGGTGACACAGGAAGCTTGTGGCAAAGTAGAGACTTGAACCCACGCTCCCTTCCTCTATCAAAGGAATGATCTTCTCAGAGGAGAGATCTTGACTCTAGGATTTGCTTCCCCTGTTGGTTCTAGGAACTGCATTAGGCCTATATCTTTTCTCCAGCTTTTGTCTGTGTTGGGGATGGGTGCAGGGAAGCTTAGCGGGGAGATATTTATAAAGGTGCCCTCGACAATTAGATGGCTCGCTCCAAGTGAAAGTCAAAGGGAGCAAGTTGCCTGACTCCAATTTGTGCTTTTGAAAATATCTCCTCCTTGGTCTATTTTTGATGGGAGTCTTCTCCTTTTGCCCAGTTTGGCATCAGTACAGCTTACGTTGTAAAATACTGTACAGATGTCCTAACTTGCTCGTTTCTATTGATTTTATTTCAAATAAAGAAATAAAGTAAAATTATTACTTCTCATGTCTGAAGAATTTGTTAGCCAATGAAATTCTGTTTTTAACAGGAATTTTTATCTCTATCCCTAGCCCAACCTCACGTTTACAATTGTACGGGTTAATGAGCTTACACGAAATGAAGAACACATTTCTGCAGCAGGAATTCTCAGCAAAAACCAGGCCTTCACCTCAGGGCTAGATTGAAGAACTTTGGGGCCCTGTGAACTATGGCATTTAGGTGTCCCCCACCTTTCCTTCTCCTATAGGTTAGGAAGCCTTGGGATGAGGGTCAGGTACTGCCCCAGAGGGTGGGACAATCTGTGTGTGTGGGGGGGGGAAGGGGGGGCGGTCAGGTTCTGCCCTGAGGGAGTGAGAGGCCCTGGAGGGGCTGTTAGAGAGTGAACTCACCCTGCACTCAGCTAGCAGCAGTTCCTGTCCCACAGGGCTGGCCCGGCTCCCCACTCCATCCCACTAGTTCTTGCCACAGCATGCTGGCAGAGCCCTCCCTCCAACTCCTTCCTGGCCCATGATTTCTGTGTGTGTGTGTGTAGTTGGTACCCCTGGAGTCAGGCCCCCCACTGAAATGGCGGCACTGGTTCAACTGCACTGTGTGCACATTGATTAATCCAGGCCTGCTTTCCCTGCTCCCAACTCCAGGCCACAGGAAACCATTTGTGAAAACATGACACCCTCGTACCTAATGAAGGGGACGTGATAAGGTCGTACAAAGATGAAGAGACAAACGCCAACAAGCTGTGCCGATGTCAGCAGAATGTACCGGTGAGTCCTGGAAACCGCTTTCTGAAGCTGCTCCCCCCACATCTTCCTATTAGTTGTACTGGAACAAAAACAAACGCTGAATGAATTGAACAGAAACGAAATAATAAAAATCATGTTGAAGCTTCTTTCTTTGCAATGTCTCTTTCCCCTGCTCTTGCAACACGAGGCAGAGGGCAGTAAGGTGAGAGCTAAATGGACTTTAACTGCTTAGGAGGTGACCGGCTACATGTGCTCAATATTGAATGCACTGCTACTCTCAAGTGATGGTTGGGCAGCCATGGTCTGCATAGATTTGACCTTGTAGACCTCCTTATTTTTCTTGTCCTAAAGATCCACTGATACATGCAGATGAATACTGACCCACCAACCATGCTACATACTACTGTAGCTTTGCTATTCCTAAAGATGATATCTCAATGTTAAGCTAGAAGAATCAGCAGTGAAACGCTACATTCCTTGGTTGTTTTTGCCCCTTTCCCCTTGAGTCCTCCTCCAGCCTGTCAAGGAACAAATTTTTTCACATGCACGGACAAGAAAAGTTCATTCCTTACCTCTACTTCCTACCCTAGCAGTACCTTTATGAATACACATACATAAATACTTAAGCACAGAGAGATATTGCTCACATTGTAAAATTCCACACATACATTTCAGTTGTGTGTAGAGACTTTGACAGTTTAACATTTCAGCATCAGACAAGGATACTGAGAGCACAGTGCTAAAGTAGGGCCCTGCATTGGCTTAGAAAGCTCAATGATATGCATTGTATAAAAATGAGAGAGTGCACATTTGGGCTGGTAACCTTGGCATTTGTTAATGACAAACACATTCCCACACAGAGTGACCATATGCAGGTGAATGTACAAAGCACAGCTCTGTTTTCACCTACCTGGTATTTACAATATTCCCTGCATTTAATTCCACCATCTCTTCAAATCCCACAGCAAACATGTCAGCAGGACAGCTCTCATCGTCTGCGTATAGAGGAACAAAAGTCATTCAAGACTTACCACTTTATTTGTTGTTTCGTTTAATCATTTGCATACTTGACAGAAATTAGAAAAAGAGACGTCCTATAGTTAATTTTGTGCATCCTCTGCCAAATTATATAATTATAGCTCTTTTAATCTATCTTTAGAAAGCATCCCTTGCAGTTCCTTTTATCATTTTTCTGCTTGTCTCCTTCTGGTTGTCTGCATCTTTCTGGTAGGAAGGAGCCCAGAACAAAGCACTTTATTCTAGGTGTGGCCTCAGCAATGTTGTTTAGAGGGAGATCCTCTCTTCCCAGATTTAAGATATGATGCCACTGTGTACAAAACCCAAAAGTCACAATGGTTTGCCCCATCCCATCCAGTCACATTGAAATCTCATACCCAGTATGCGGTCCAATATCTCAACGTCTGTTTTTGACACAGATAATTTATCTAGCTGCAACTATTGTCCACTACCAGCATGTTTCTTCCTCCCCACCCATGCCCCCAAGTAAGATTTTCCACTACTTTGAGGAAGTCTTGGAGGTTCCTTGCTAACTTTCTTCCCTGTCTTCTTCAACAACATACACCACGGATTGTAGCCGCTTACCAATGAAGAAATGTGTCTTGACAACAGTGCTCCTTAGACCAACTGGTACAGGAGTTGGGGGAGGTGTCACTGATGGGCAACCCACCTAGGTGTGAGCATGCTCCTTGGAGAGGACTCAGACAATCAGACACTGATCTCTCATGGGGCGGCACAAAACTACATCTACATCTGCTTGTTCACCAGGTTTGCCTTACATCTAAAGGGTTTTCATTATTATTCACCAGACAACAAGAACTTCACTCAGCCCTTAGGGCTATACAGAAGAATATTGTAGGAGCCTAAATTAGGTTTGCTCACAAATTAAGAATAAGAAAAGCAGAAAAGTGCACATGCAAAAATAGTAACTGCATATTTTACATGCATAATTTTGACACCCATTTTCCTACTTCCTGGGCCTTCTGAGACTACAGTAGTATGGGCTCAAGAGAAGTAATGCTCACGTGAGACAGCCAGGGATACATGGAATTTATTTGTGTGCTACGCACAGGAATATCTCAGCAATGCCTGCAAAGGATTATGTATTACTCTGTAACAGGGAAAGTGAAGGACAAGCAGTAATTTTAGAACCACTTCATTTCTGAAGGACAGAACACTATCTTTGCTGTTTTCTTTAGTAAAATCTGTAAGTCAGTTACAATCACAAGCCCTGTTTTGTAAACTGGAAAGTCAGCAGCCAGTTCAAACAAGCCACAAACACAACAGTTTGACACACTACTAAAAAAAATGACCCTGCTTTGTAATGATGTAATGTAATAAAATGTTACCCTTACTGTATACAATTCCTTTTGTCTGAGGGTCTCGGAGTGCTTTATAAACACTAAAGGATTAAGTGTAACATTTTCAGAGGTGCCTAAAGGCCAGACTTTTAAAGATATTTAGGTGTCAAAAGATGCAGATAGATGCCTAGTGGAATTTCTAAAGGCACCTAGGCACCTAACTCCCAATGAGATTGAAACACAAGGGGAGGAATGGAGGAGCATGAATAAAAACTGATATTTAGGGACAGATTTTGTGCTGTCTGGTGAGAGATTCAGTGCAGAAGGCCACCTCAGGGTGAGGTGATTTTACGCCACCTTCACACACTCTGGATTCTGGGATGCTGTAAGGGCCAAAACACTCGTCAGCATCAGTTAGTGCAGCCCTGAGGGTTTCTCTAACTTATAGCAGCCTTCCCAGCCCCACCTATGGACTGCTACACCAAGGCTTGTGAAGGGGTGCAGTATAAGGCCAAGTGGGAGCAGAATCAGCCACTTAGAATTCCCCACCAGATGATATATGAATGGCCAAATATGGGACCTAAACTACTTGGCAGTTCCATTCGACACTAACAAATAATAGATTCATAGTTTCATAGATGCTAAGGTCAGAAGGGACCATTATGATCATCTAGTCTGACCTCCTGCACAACGCAGGCCACAGAATCTCACCCACCCACTCCTGCGAAAAACCTCTCACCTATGTCTGAGCTACTGAAGTCCTCAAATTGTGGTTTAAAGACTTCAAGGAGCAGAGAATCCTCCAGCAAGTGACCCGTGCCCCATGCTACAGAGGAAGGTGAAAAATCTCCAGGGCCTCTTCCAATCTGCCCTGGAGGAAAATTCCTTCCCGACCCCAAATATGGCGATCAGCTAAACCCTGAGCATACGGGCAAGATTCACCAGCCAGATACTACAGAAAATTCTTTCCTGGGTAACTCAGATCCCACCCCATCTAACATCCCATCACAGGCCATTGGGCCTATTTACCATGAATATTTAAAGATCAATTAATTACCAAAATCATGTTATCCCATCATATCATCTCCTCCATAAACTTATCGAGTTTAATCTTAAAGCCAGATAGATCTTTTGCCCCCACTGCTTCCCTTGGAAGGCTATTCCAAAACTTCACTCCTCTGATGGTTAGAAACCTTCGTCTAATTTCAAGTCTAAACTTTCCAATGACCAGTTTATATCCATTTGTTCTTGTGTCCACATTGATACTAAGCTTAAATAATTCCTCTCCCTCTCCGGTATTTATCCCTCTGATATATTTATAGAGAGCAATCATATCTCCCCTCAACCTTCTTTTATAGTTAGGCTAAACAAGCCAAGCTCCTTGAGTCTCCTTTCATAAGACAAGTTTTCCAATCCTCGGATAATCCTAGTAGCCCTTCTCTGTACCTGTTCCAGTTTGAATTCATCCTTCTTAAACATGGGATACCAGAACTGCACACACTATTCCAGATGAGGTCTCACCAGTGCCTTGTATAACGGTACTAAAACCTCCTTATCTCTACTGGAAATACCTCTCCTGATGCATCCCAAGACCGCATTAGCTTTTTTCACGGCCATATCACATTGGCAGCTCATAGTCATCCTATGATCAACCAATACTCCAAGGTCCTTCTCCTTTACTTCTAATTGATGCGTCCCCATCTTATAACTAAAATTCTTGTTATTAATCCCTAAATGCATAACCTTACACTTCTCACTATTAAATTTCATCCTATTACTATTACTCCAGTTTACAAGGTCATCCAGATCCTCCTGTATGATATCCCAGTCCTTCTCTAAATTGGCAATAACTCCCAGCTTTGTATCATCCGCAAACTTTATTAGCACACTCCCACTTTTTGTGCCGAGATCAGTAATAAAAAGATTAAATAAGATTGGTCCCAAAACTGATCCTTGAGGAACTCCACTGGTAACCTCCCTCCAGCAGGACAGTTCACCTTTCAGTAGGTCCCGTTGTAGTCTCCCCTTTAACCAATTCCTTATCCTCCTTTCAATTTTCCTATTGATCCCCATCTTTTCCAATTTAACTAATAATTCCCCATGTGGCACGGTATCAAACGCCTTACTGAAATCTAGGTAAATTAGATCCACTGAGTTTCCTTTGTCTAAAAAATCTGTTACTTTCTCAAAGAAGGAGATCAGGTTGGTTTGGCACGATCGACCTTTTGTAAAACCATGTTGTATTTTGTCCCATTTACCATTGACTTCAATGTCCTTAACTACTTTCTCCTTCAAAATTTTTTCCAAGACTTTGCATACTACAGATGTCAAAATAACAGGCCTGTAGTTACCCGGATCACTTTTTTTCCCTTTCTTAAAAATAGGAACTATGTTAGCAATTCTCCAATCATATGGTACAACCCCTGAGTTTACAGATTCATTAAAAATTCTTGCTAATGGGCTTGCAATTTTGGGTGCCAATTCCTTTAATATTCTTGGATGAAGATTATCTGGGCGCCCCGATTTAGTCCCATTATGCTGTTTGAGTTTCGCTTCTACCTCATATATGGTAATATCTATCTCCATATCCTCATTCCCATTTGTCATGCTACCATTATCCCTAAGATCCTCTTTAGCCTTATTAAAGACTGAGGCAAAGTATTTGGTTAGATATTGAGCCATGCCTAGATTATCCTTGACCTCCACTCCATCCTCAGTGTTTAGCGGTCCCACTTCTTCTTTCTTTGTTTTCTTCTTATTTATATGGCTATAGAACCTTTTACTATTGATTTTAATTCCCTTTACAAGGTCCAACTCTACTTGACTTTTAGCCTGTCTCACTTTATCTCTACATGTTCTGACCTCAATAAGGTAGCTTTCCTTGCTGATCCCTCCCATCTTCCACTCCCTGTATGCTTTCTGCTTTTTCTTAATCACCTCTCTGAGATGTTTATTTTAAAACAGATACACTACCACTCAAAGTCTTACCCTGAAATTCAGAAACCCCAGAGAGCTTGGGAGAATCCAGCAGCCAGTCTGTTAACTCGCTGGTACCAAGGATGTTGCTTCTAAATTGTTTGCCTCCATTTACATTCCAGGTCCCCATGGCAACACGAATCCGCTTGAAGCACGTGAATTCAAACTGACGCTCTGACATGGCCTTCAAAATACTGGGAGTCACTGATGGACAGAGAAAGTAAAAACAATTTGCTGCAGTGGAATAAATGGTACTACGTCAGTGACATGTAGACTTACTGTGAAATAATGATAGTTACCTTACTGGCATCAGTGCAATAACTAAAAAAGTAATTCCAGTGGAAATAACAATAACTGTGTAATTGAAAATGATGCCACCAATTTCTTTCCTGGTAACTGGGTGCAGTCACTGAAATGAGTTGTACTAGTGGAGGGGAAGGGAAAACAGGACTTTCACAGTGACAAACTTGAAGAAAATATATTCAAAATATATGTTACTAGAATTTTCTAATCCTTTCCCTAATAATGACTGAATAATACGGTTTGAGATTGGTCTTTCTTGAGATTTTCAGCTTGGCCCACAAAATGATGGTTGTGTCACAATTTAAGAACCAAACCCAAGACCTATTAGATTTTTTTGGTGCATGCTGTTATACACTAATTCTGAAAAACCATCATGAATTTGGATCTATATTCTGATATGGCCAGGACTCCACATAAGACCCCACCATCTTGATTATTCCTGATTGGTCCTCATTTTAGCCTTGCTTTAATCAGACTTCCTCTCTCTTTTTTTTTTTTGGTGGGTGCAAATAATTAAGAGTGTAATTTTTTGACCACCATTATTTGCAGGAGCAATTTAGATAATTTCAGCATTTAAGTAACTGATTTGCACGTGCAGTCAGATATTTAGACACCTAAATGGCCTAAAGAATCCAGAAATTGCAGGCACAAAAAGAGGGGCCAGTTTGTAAAAAAAATCTGGTCCCAAGACAATTGCCCATGGTCAAACAGTGAGTCAGGGACAAAGCTGGAAAAAAACCCGCAGAAATTCAGACTCCTAATCCACTCTTCTAAACAGTAGACAACAACTTCCATCAGCACAGATTATCATCAGTGAATGAGTCAACCTATGCAGAAGTTTAATTGAATATTTTGGGAAATAAAGCACATGCTGTGGTGACTTGAAAGCATTGCCTCTATACATCAATGCCTTTGTGCAACTTCTGTTTATTTCTAGACTCTTCAAAAGAATGCAACTGGTCATCTAGAACATCTGGAAGCGAACACAAGACAAAGAAAATAGATTTACATCTGACTTACCCAGCAGAGCTGTGTTGTCCATAAGCATCCTTCCTTTGTCTGCATGTTCCTCGCTGAAGAAATCACCCATGAGTAGCAACTTGATGGCTTCCTGCTTCACACTGTCAAAGAAATTTGACTGAATGGTGCGTGACACAGCGCGGGCTCCATCCTTGAGCTTCCCTACCTGCATTAGGCAAAAATGTTCAACACAAGTGACCTTTGCAGTGATAGTGTAGACTTCCTTTAAAGTCACTCATGAATAAGCAGCTCTGATATTCTCCTTTACCTTGGCTTTCCCCTCCAGGGCACGACTGCCTGTAAACACTTTACTTAGATTGTGACCATTGAGAGTCCACATTGCCTTGTAGGACTCCACAAAGCGGTCAACAATAGACTTTGAGTTCAACCCTAGGCTTTCTAACTGAGTGTGCAGAACCTGGAGTGAAGACAGAAAGAGAGGTGAGGAAAAGCGACTTTTCATATTTCATTTCCCCCCCGCACCTCTTGTAAGAAATTTCACCCAGCCATCATTCTATAGTTAAACTAATGCAAGTATCTTAATGATGGAAAGACAGAGCTAGGAGACCTCCCTCTTGCCCTTTCTGGTAAAGCACAAAATACAAGCAGAGTGCGTGTGTATGTGTATGCAAGACCATTAATGAACTCACCTCAAGTGCAATGAAGGACTGTACGCTATTTGTACGATCAAGACAGTCCAGGCAATTCATTCGCAAGGTACCTGTCTGCAGACTTCAATAACCAAAAAAAGAATAGAGAGAGATACAGCAGGTTATTAGGAGCCTCCACATCCAGTTGTTACTGATAAACTATTGTTTTCTTTTATCATCAGAAACATTTAAGTTAGAAAGTCAATAAAAATGGCATTTGATCCACCGGTAGATAAGACCAGATTTTCAAACACTCAGCCTGGATTTTTCCACCCACATTTTGTAGGTGCAAAACGCTTGCCTGCTCAATTTATTTCAAGTACCCAACTGTGCCTGCAAAACCACACCTGCAATTATATGTGCGATGCTTGCAGACCAGGTGCTAGCTCACTCCAAGGCCCTAGGCCTCACTGAAAACTAGTCTGGCTGACCTGTGTGTTAGTATTGCTAAAAAAAGGTATCAGATTTATAAAAATGCGTTCAGACTTTAATCTCACTTAAGACATCTGTATCGTATGTTACACGGTAATATTTAAGTGTTTGGTCTGTAACTACAAGAGTATTTGCTTTAAAACCTTAAACCCCCACAGTCAGGAGAGAAGCACTACTAAGTGTGAAATGCTTGTTTATCACAAAGAGGTGTCATCTCCTCTCCAGAGGAGCCACTGTCGAACATCAGGGGACAAAAGACTTTGTTGATTGCTCCTCCTACACCCATGAAGAGGAGATGTGCACTAATTTATCCCATCAGCTTGAGCTCTGGCGGAAGGGAATAAAAATCCCTGTCAAGAAGAAATTCTTATCTTATGCTGCTTGGACATCAGGGAGAGGGCAAGACTTCTAAGCATAAGAAAGGGATCACTGGCTGTTTAGCTTGGATTAGCCCTAAAGGACATATAGAGCTTGCTTATTATAGAAGCTTCTATTATCTTTGGAACCTAAAACTGTAACTCATTTGTGTGTGTGTTTACCTGCTTTAACCTTGTAAATGACACTCATTTCTTTTTCCTAGTTAATAATTCTTTAGTTTATTATAGGATTTGCTACAAGTGCTGTCTTTCCTGAGAGATCTGAAGTGAAATTGACCTGGGGTAAGTGACTTGTCCTTTGGGACTGGGAGTAAACTGAATATTATTGTGGTTTTTGGATTATCTGTCACAAAGACAAGCTTGCCTATGTGTCAAGCTCAACTGAGACACCCAAGGGCACTGTCTGTGACTCCATGTTAAAGCTGTTATAGTGCTTGAGGAGTTCTCACTTGACACTTGGTTGGTGAAATCTAATTATAGAACACACAACCAGTTTGGGGTTTGTGCCCTGGTTTGTAACAGTCTGCCCTGAGGTTGGTATTCATGTTTGTGAGCTACTCTAGACAGCTTGACAACATGCACAAGCAATTTTCCAGGGTCAAGAAACTGGAGAACTAGTTAAGGCCTGGTGGTAAATTTGGCAGGGGAAAGCAATCTCAGAACTGTTAGCAATTATCTTTGAAACTCCTGGAGGAGGGATGAGGTCCCAGAGGACTGGTAGAAGGGCAAACATAGTACCTATTTTTAAAAAGGGGAACAAAGAGGACCCGGGAATTATAGACCAGTCAGCCTAACTTTGATTCCTGGAAAGATATTGGAATAAATTATTAAACACTCAATTTGTAAGCACCTGGAGGATAACAAGGTTATAATGAATAGCAATCATGGATTTGTCGAGAACAAATCATGTCAGACCAACCTAATTTCCTTCTTTGCCAGGGTTACAGGCCTAATGGTTAGGGAGGAAGCAGTAGATGTGATATATGTTGATTTTAGTCAGGCTTTTGACTCAGTCCCACACAGCATTCTCATAAGCAAACTAGGGAAACACAGTCTAGCTGAAATTACCATAAGGTGGGTGCATAATTGGTTGAAAGACCATACTCAAAGAACAGTTGTCAATGGTTCGCTGTAAAACTGAGAGGGCATATCTAGTCAGGTCCCGCCGGGGGCGGGGTGGGGTGGGGGGCAGTCTTGGGTCTGGTACTATTCAATGTTTTCAAAATGACTTGAATAATGGACCGAGAGTGTATGCTTATAAAATCTGAGGATGCTTGTTTATCACACCAAGCTGGGTGGGGTTGCAGGCACTCTGGAGGGCAGGACTGGAATTCAAAAAGACCTGGACAAATTAGAGAATTGGTCTGAATTCAGCAAGATTAAATTCAATAAAGACAAATTCAAAGTAGTTCACTTAGGAAGGAAAAAATCAAATATACAACTTACAAAATGGGGAATAACTGGCTACATGGCAATACTACTGAAAAGGATCTGGGGGTTATAGGGGATCACAAATTGCATGAGAGTCAGCAATGTGATGCAGTTGTGAAAAAGGCACGTCATTCTGGGGTGTATAAACGGGAGTATTGTAGGGAGGAAACTGTCTCGCTCTACTCAGCACTGGTGAGGGCTCAGCTGGACTATTGTGTCCAGTTCTATTTTAGGAAAGATGTGCACAAACTGGAGAGAGTCCAGAGAAGAGCAACAAAAATGATAAAAGGTTTGGAAACCTGACCTACGAGGAAAAAGGAAAAAAAAAATGGGCATGTTTAATTCTGAACAAAGAAGACAGAGGGGACCTGATAATAGTCATCAAATATGTTAAGGGCTGTTATAAAGAGGCCACTGATCGATTGTTCTCCATGACCACTGAATGTAGGACAAGAAGTAATGGGCTAAATCTGCAGCACGGGAGATTTAGGTTAGGTATTAGGAAAACTTTCTAACTATAAGGATTGTTAAGCTCTGCAAAAGGCCTCTAAGGGAGGTTTTGGTATCCCCACCTCTGGAGGTTTTTAAGAACAGGTTGGACAAACACCTGTTTGGGATGGTCTAGGTTTAGACTTGAAATTAGATCATAGAATCATAGAATATCAGGGTCGGAAGGGACCTCAGGAGGTCATCTAGTCCAACCCCCTGCTCAAAGCAGGACCAATCCCCTACTAAATCATGAAGATGAAGGTTTCTAACCATCAGAGGAGTGAAGTTCTGGAACAGCCTTCCAAGGGGAGCAGTGGAGGCAAGAGACATATCAGGCTTCAAGACTAAGCTTGATAAATTTATGGAGGGGATGGTATGATGGGATAGCCTAATTTTGACAATTAATTGATCTTTGACTATTAGCGGTAAATATGCCCAATGGTCGGTGATGGGACACAAGATAGGGTGGGATCTGAGGTACTACAGAGAATTCTTTCCTGGGTGTCTGGCTGGTGAGTCTTGCTCACATGCTCAGGGTTTAGCTGATCGCCATATTTGGGGTCGGAAAGGAATTTTCCTCCAGGGCAGATTGGTAGAGGCCCTGGGGGTTTTCTGCCTTCCTCTGCAGCGTGGGTTCACGGGTCACTTGCTGGAGGATTCTCTGCACCTTGAAGTCTTTAAAACACGAGTTGAGGACTTCAATAGCTCAGACATAGGTTAGGGGTTTGTTACAGGAGTGGGTGGGTGAGATTCTGTGGCCTGCATTGTGCAGGAAGTCAGACTAGACGATCATAATGGTCCCTTCTGACCTTAAAGTCTATGAGGTTTACTTGGTCCTGCCCCAGCCATTGGGGTTTCTATGATTCTATATGATGGACTCATTGGTCCATGTAGTCCATTATCGTACACCAGTGTCCAGTATCTGATGCTTGAAAGGAATGTAAAAAACAAAAACAAACAAAACTATACACCACCCAGAGACAGGTACAGTGCTGTAACTGCGGGAGGGAGGGAAGATTCCTTCCTGAACCCAGTAAATCAGCTTCCACCCTGAAGCATGACATTTGATTATACTTGTTATCTTGCATAACTATAAATGTTGTTAGTGGTCATGAAGAAGCGTCCCAATACAGACGCTAAACAAGCAATGAAATATCTGCTCTTTTCAATGTACTATCAAAATAGTTTCTTTCTCCTTCCTCCTAAAATTATAGTGGTTATTTACAGGAAGGCTAAATGTTATTTATCAGCTCACTCCCAGATCCTCTTGTACACAACAGGCACTTCCATTAACAAAATCTATCAGCACAGCCAACAAATCAATATTTTCAGCATCACTTGCTACAAATACTTATAGTTGGACCTATAGTAGAAAGATGGACCCTTTCTACCACAGTAGCTCAACAAGTTTTATAAAAGCTAAACTAAGTCTGTGAACAGGATATTTATACTCTATGAGGAAAAACAAACCTGAGATGGATCTGGTATTGTGTCACCTAATTAAAATGATTCCAAGAGAGAGAGCCTCACAAAGTTAACTGAATTTGTGAATCAGAACTACAAGTAGTAAAATAAAATGGACGGGGTCTAAATTTTCAAATGGCCTCTGTCTTCTGGACACAGAAAAATATTTGCACAAGCCCATGTGTACAAATGGAGGCTACTTGAAACTTTGAACCAACATGTTTTTAAAACATAAATAGCACAGAAAGCTACAGCAGTCTCCAAACAAAGTGATGAACTTGGTTCAGTAGATGGCATGATTTGTGTATGGAAAGTGATAAAGGGGCAGGGACACTCACCGGGCAGATACATTCTTGCCCTTTGTGAAGATGCCAAATTCATCCCAGTGCAACTTTAGCTGAGGCCTCAACAAATTCTCCAGCTTCTCTATTTTCCCACCTTTTGCAAGCTGATGGTAGTCAAAATTAATCATGGGTGTGTCTGCAGCATGGGAAGAGGCCCACAGCAATTTCTGTTTGAAAAGGGAAGAAGGAAAGCAAATTCTACTTACTTCTACAGCCCAGATATCAATACCTGCATGCCTTATACTGTTGATAAACTTTAATCATGGCTTTCATGTAGAGAAGTCTAGAGGGAAGTACATTATTTTGTTGTATGCTTTTCTAATGCAAGTTCCTTGTTTTTTACTTTCCAAGAGTAAATTGGACTGTTAGGGCCAAATTTTCCTATGTGGGAACCTAAGTTGTAGCTGTAAAATATAAGCGTAAGCTGGTTATGAGTGTGTAACACAAGCAACTGTGCACATAAGTACCTATATGGCCTCAACAGTCTAGCTTTTAGAGCAAAAAAAATTTAAGACGTTACAAACCAAAAGCATACAATGAAATAATGTTAGTGATAAAGATAAAGCATGATACTTTCCTCATTCCTCATATGACTGCACATGATGTATGTACGATCATCTTATATTTTATTAACATACATCATGCACTTTTCAGAATTCTATCACAAACCCATGAAGTAGTGAGAATAGCTTTAACCCTGAATATTTATGGCCTTTTCCCCGGCATGGACACTCTTATTCCAGTTCATGAGTGCCTTTTTTCCATGTTGCTTAAGAAGGGATTTAAACTAAACTGAAAAACAAACAAACAAAACAAAAAAACGCTCCGATACCAAACTAAGAATGTCTCCACAGGGCTATAACTATATCAGTATAACCATTAAAACTTCCCTGCATAGACAAAGACAAAGGTATTGTATGTAGTTTAGTGAAGAGGTGTATTTCATTGTATTGTTATCAGAGTCAAACACACTAATAAATTTGTTAGTCTCTAAGGTGCCACAAGTACTCCTTTTCTTTTTACGGATACAGACTAACAAGGCTGCTACTCAAACACACATCTGTTTCTCTGGTAACTGTCCACATTTCAGTTTGTACATTTACATTTGACTGTACTGGTAGTATTCTTGGGAATGATCTCTCACTACTACCTCAGTGCAAACCATTGTCAAATGTATTGCACCCCATACACTGTGGCTTTGTTTTTAGTACAAACATAATTGCAGTCTGTTATAGTGGTTAAGAAATGCTTGCAAAATCACTGGGAAAAATACTGAATTTCATCTTCTGCTACCAAGTAATGGTGGAAATTCAGAGGCATGGTACTGAATTAAAAAACAAACAAACAGAAAAGAAAAAAAAGATTTTTCTGCATATACTAATGATATTGGAGACCATCCTACTCAGATCAAAGGAAACTAGCAGCAACTGCAATGAACATATTTTAAAGTGATTTAAATAAAACTTTAAGACTGAGGGAAGAAATGAAAGGGAAGGGAAGGGAAGGAAGGAAGATGGGAAATTAAAGTGGATAGTGGAAGATAGAGAAGCAAGGAGATAAGCTTATGACAAAAGGGAAATGAGGGTCCCATTACTTATACTGCCTGTAATTTTTAATTTGAGTATTCTGAAATGCACCAAGTTAAACACTGATAGCACATCCCTCCTAACCATTTATTTATGAAGAAACAAATATAATGAAAATGCCCAAGGGGTCTCTGTTTTGGATAAATACAGAATTTCAGTATCCAGTGCTGCCAATGCAGATCCTTTCACCCTCACAATAATTCACTTACAATTCTGTTAGTCTGACATACAGTTTAAAAAAAATGGAAATCAACCCAACCCTTTATTTAAAACAAATGAACAAATGCATACAATCTTTATATGACAGATGCACTAAATTCTGATTTAGTAACCAATTTCCTGTTCTATGATCATAACAAACAATGTAGATAATTGTAAAGAACTTGTCTAGAGAAAGATGGATCTCATATAAAATATGGAAGACGTTATTTTTGCACCCATAAACTGTTAATAAGATAATAGTCCGGCCATGAGTGCAGGGGACTGGACTAGATGACCTCTCGAGGTCCTTCCAGTTCTAGGATTCTATAAATGGTGAGGATAATATCTTCAAGAATGTGGATATTGCATATGCACTACCTAAAATAATCAAAGTAAGAATTCACCAGGGATGTCAGTTTTAGATTCCTGTAGTTCTATCTTGACATTTGTGAGAAGACTGTAATTTTAGAGTAGCTATATTCAGCTCTTAATTATAGATCTCAAAGTACTTTATAAAGGGGAGTAAATAATCATTATTTCCAATTTACAGATAGGGAAACTGAGAGCACTTATGAGCTAACTCTGGGACTTAGGTGGCTAAGTACTTCTGAAAACCCTACTAGTTGCCTTGCTGCAATTTTAAGTGCCTAACTACCATTAAAAATCAGGCCTTAAGTGACTACATCACTTTTGAAATGGCATTTCGGTGCTTTTGAATATTTACCCTAATTCTCTTGAGAGGTTAGTAAAGAAAAAGTGAATACAATTTGAAGAAGTAAGGAAAAAGACAGCCTGATCATCCATTCAGGAAATATTACACACAAAGAGAAAGATGCAATATAGGCAGTTCAGTTTCCTGGACTAACTTCTTCAGATCAGGTGCTCTGAGGCCGATCTCAAGTGATTTTCCCTCTTGAAGAAGCAGGACTCTGACGCTCAGCAATTTAACAAAAGTTGTTGTTATTGTTTTTACCTTGAAAGCTCTGTTGAGCACCTCCTCTCCTCCTCTGCTTCCCAACAGGTTAACAATCACTTGTTTTCCATATTGCTCTTTCAGAAGCATCATATGCCTGCAACAGTAGCAGCAGCAGTACAATCTGGTTTAATAAATATCACGTACCAGCCACCCTTTCCAAAACACTTGCAGAAGAGGTCGCTGGCTGCTTGAAGGTTTCAACAGCAGTAGCTCCACAAATATATCTTAGCTTCCTTTTAGTCAGCTTTTACAGTAAAGAACTGCTTTATAGGGCCCTCATTTTCTGTCATCATAGTAACTGTGGAATTAATAACTGGAATGATACTTTACTTTTATTGAGTGTAAAGACTGGAGAGGTAGGACAAGGATACAGAGCTCAGATGATCAATAACATTGTTAGTTTTCATACAGTCCTACGTATGCGGCCTTTTTATGACCCTGTAACTGCAAGGACTGAGCAAAGCCAATGGGAGTTGAGAGGACTAAGCACCTCCAGGAATCGCTCAGCATCTTGCAGGACTGAACCCTTAGGCCTTGTCTACACTACAGGGGAAATTCGATCTAAGCTATGCAATTTGAGTTATGTGAATAGCATAACTCAAATCGACGTAGCTCAGATCTACTTACCGCAGGGTCCACACTATGCGATGTTGACGTGAGATGCTCTCCCGTCAACTCCCGCTACTCTTCTCGATTAAGAGTCAACGGGAGAGCGATCTGCGGTTGATTTAGCGGGTCTACACCCGCTAAATCGACCGTCGATTGCCACTTGATCTCCCAGGCAGTGTAGACAAGTGCTTAGAGAGTCAGCTATGGTCTGGGATTCCAGACCCAAGGTCAGCAAATGAGTCATTGCCAGATAAATGTCATCAGCCACACCGATCAATTATTTCTGAGCTGCTACATAATTCAGGTTTGTAAAACTATTTGCATTCCACTTGTATGTTTTTAGCAGGCAGGTTGGTGGTTAAGAGTCAGATATTAGGTAGGTAGATACATGGGCATAAATAAAGCTCAGCAAGAGCCTTGAAGGGTCCAAACGTAAGAAACCCTGCAGCAGTTAAAGCTGCTAAAGCACTAAAGCAAAGGCCAGGTATTAAACGCACGCTAACACAGCGCGAATGAAAAGCTTGCTTGTGCTGCCAGTGCTTGCATGGCCTGGCGATAGTGTTGTTACAAGGTTACTGTCTCTCTAACTGGCAAGTACATGCCATAGGCTGCATTGATGAGTCCCATGAACAAGAAATAATGTGCCCTGTAAAGACAAAAAAAAATTGGCAGGCTTTCCTGAAAGAAAAACAGCCAAAGATGCTGGAGCTATCTTACAACCCCGATCCTGCACTTGGATCTGTGCAGGCAGAACCTTGCTCCACACAGCCAGCCAGCCCCTTTGAATTCAGTGGGTCTCAGCAAAGCTCCAGTTGAAGCATTGGAGCCTATTTATGGACTAAGAATGTGACTTTTCATTTTTTCCCCTTCAGATTTGTGATAAAGGGCATCAAAGTGCCCCTACTGTGAACTTAATAGTTACACCAAAATGCCCTCAAGTCCACTTTTAAAAAACAAACATATAAAAAGGCGAATCCAAAACCTTTCATGTGAGCCCTGCATTGGGATTTATCAGAAACAGATGCTAAAACAGGACATTTATATTCACTGCTCCCAGTGTCTTTTCAAGATGTCAAGGTGTGAGCTGTGAAAAATTAACAGACTGTGGCCATGCCAAAACACATGAAAAGGCTGCAGTGACTTTACAGGCTTCAGTGAATTTTTCTGTATGAATGTTCAATTGCCCCTTACCAGAAACGCTCTTAACACAATCCTTTAAAAATTTAGTTTGGGCTGGACTGTCTCATGCAATTCTGATCTGGCAACTGGGCTGTGATGTACACAAGTAAGAGAGGAGCTAGATCCAAGCCATTCTCCCACTTCACTCTACCATGAGGAAGCCACTCAGGGGTATGTCTACACTGTAGCCGGGAGAGAGCCTCCCAGCCCAGACAGACAGACTTGCGCTAGCTCAGCTTGAGCTAGTGAGCTAAAAACCACAGTGGGGACAGTGCAGCTCAGACGGCAGCTCAGGCTCTCAAGCCCTTGGGTTGTTAGCCTCAGTTTCTGCTGAAGCCACAACATCCACACTGCTATTTTTAGCATACTGCTTGAGCCCCACTAGCACGAGTCTGTCTACCTGGGTTTGGAGGCGCACGCCATGCTGCAGTGTTCACATATTCTCTGTGGTTGCTCTGGGGTAGGGAGAACAGGGTTTGGGGTTAGATGGGGTAGTGGGGTCATAATCTGCAGCACAGTTTCCCCTCAACCTTTCGTGGATTATGCATCCTCATTATTACCTTATGTGGGTTCCCTCTCTGCTTAGTGAAACCCTCCAACGTGAAGGCAGTTCAGGGAAAGTGGCAGGCAGAGACTTCCCAGAGTAGACTACCACAGGAACCAGAAAACAGTAAGATCCTGGGGCAGGGTATCCACCATCACTTCTTAGTAGCGAGTAAAGAATAATAGGACCCTAATCCCTGACCGGAGTCCTGAGGTGCTACAAAGTGATCGATAATAATCATCTCCACTAAAAGCTGCAATAAGTGAAATCAAGAAAATACTGCGGCCTATTAAAATAGACATGTAACTTGAATATAAATTTTGATTTGTCACTTAAAATCACATGACGAAGGCAGACTAGGGTGTGGTAATTCATCAGAGGTCAAATCCTCTCTCAGACAAAGCTCCCAATATGAATTTGCTCCCAAAGGACTGCAGGGTTTTCCCCACTTGATGATCATGCACTCAGAAGACCCACATTAATGTATGGATTTTGGATATTTGGATAGCTTCCAGCAGAGTTGCAGAGGCTTATGGGGTTAGATCCATTCCTCTGGGTCGGAGCAAAAGAATGTTACCAGGAGAGCATCTCACAGGGGGGCGGAGAATGGGCTGCTGCTGTTACTCTGCAGCAACAAGCTCCAGTCATAGAAAAACAGGGAGAAAAATAAACTCAGAAGGCAACGGGGTTTGCATTTAGCTTCTATTTGGTTGGGACAAAAGGAGAAGAAGAAAGAGCATGGAGAGGCTATTTCCAAATGTAAATTTATCGTTTTTGACTTGCAAGTGGTTACATGGCACTTTTTTGCACAGTATTCAGAATTTCATAACTCCTTCAGAAATAGGCTGAGATCATTTTGATTCAATTTCCACCAAAACTAGAAAGGACAAAGCACTAAAACCATACCGTAGGGAATAATTGTGCAAAAGCAAGGGCGATGGACTAGATGATCTAATAAGTGCTTTCCTTCTCTAACAGCTCTGGTTCGCTGGGACGGAATACCGCTGTGAAATCATGGTTACATGCTTAGCTGATGTGTTACTGACAGAGTCTAGTGAAGCCTACCTGTCAAAAGCAGGAGCATTTGCTTCTAGGCCCCTGTTAAGTCTCAGATGATGGGAGCCAACCTAAAAAAAAAACAAAAACAGAAGAAATATTATGAAGTAATTCTCTAAGCTGCTGAAATCCTGAATCATTAGATGTCTATTTCCCTCAAAGAAAACGTCTGTTTATTAGCACCCAGACACCCCAAACAGATTACATACACCCATACACATAATGCACTTAGTACAAAAAGCTTAGCTACAGCTTTTATTAGAAAACAACATTTACAATTACAATGAAAAATAATGAATAATTAACATTTGTTAATGGAACACCTACGCCCTTATTCTCTATCCTGGCCAATACTCTAGCAAAAATCTCACTGCACCACAGGAGCGTGCTCTGTGCTCAATCCTCCTTACTCCTGTAAGTAATCAGGAGGCACTGCATATCCACCAATTCTATGGTGAGACTGTGGACTGACTAGTTCTATCTTTTGTTTTTTAGATTAATTGGATAATACTTGCACGGTGCTTTCTAAATATAAAGGATTATGGGCTACATCCTGTATCACTTATGTCAGTGGGAGTTTTAACACTGACGTTAATAGCAGTAGGTTTAAATAATTTATAAGTACTGGTATTTCTATTCAGTGCAGCTGAATATATATATATTTATTGTATTTTTTCCAATGAATATCTGAATCCTCTAAAAGACCCAATCAGAATTTTCAAAAATCTTCTTTGGTTAACTGTTTGTCAGCATTTAATCTGTATTTCTTTCTACATAAGGGCAACCCTTCCTCACTTTGGTGCCAGCACACGTACACAAGGAGTGAATGAATGCTCCGATGAGTAAGTGCTCACATATGCAAGTAAAGGTTGCACAATCCAGCCCTGAATGAGCACAAATGTGTGCCATTTCCTTCTTAGAGAGAGAAAAAATTCTGTATTAAAAAAGGCCATAAGCACTAAATTCAGGGATAATCTCCAGGTTTTAGAATATACAAAGCAATATAGAACTGTCATAATTCATATCCAAGCAAACCTGAGGCATTTAAATCAGTCTCAGACATTATTATAGAATATTAAAAAGATAACTTATTCTTATTACATATTATGTACATACTTAAATTGTTTTTTTTCCTCTATTCTGACAATGTGAAAATACCAGGCTGCCTCTTGCTTGAGCTTTTCAATGACATCTCATTGAAAGTGTGGCCAGTATAAATGGTTGGGTGGAAACGGGTTTAAAAACAAAATAGTTGCTTCAGGAAGCGGCCCATGTGGAAAATGTGTTCTAGGATTGGACTTGTAGAGTTAAATTCTATGGTCAAGCTCAGTGCGGCCGGTGTGCGTTTGGCATGACGACTGCAGGTAGGTTCTGGCCCAAAACGTCAATATCATTTGTAGGGAGGTGTTTTGTGTGTTTGTTTTATTCTTCATTGTATTTAGATGACATTCATCTCTTTTACAATACTGACGCACAATGCTGGATCACACAGCTACTCTAAACAAAAGAATTTTGGAAATGAGATTTTGAAAATTATGGGGAAGTATGTATAGCAGAGGTGGGCAAACTTTTTGGGCCCGAGGGCCACATCTGGGTATGGAAATTGTTTGTCAGGCCATGAATTCTCACAAAGTTGGGGGCTGGGGTGCGGGCTCTGGGGTGGGGCCGGAAATGGGGAGTTCAGGGTTCGGGAGGGGGCTCTGGGCTGGGGCAGGGGTGCGGGTGGGAGGGTGAGGGCTCCAGCTGGCGGTGCAGATCTGGGGTGTAGGAGGGTGGGACTGAGGGGTTCGGAGGGCAGGAAGGTGATCAGGGCTGGGGCTGGGGCAGGGGTGCTGGAAGGGGTCATGGGTGCAGGCTCCGGGCAGTGCTTACCTCAAGCAGCTCCCAGAAGCAGCGGTATGTCTCCTCTCCAGTTCCTATGTGGAGGCGCGGCCAGGCAGCTCTGCACACTGCCCCGTCCGCAGGTTGCCGGCCCTACAGCTCCCATTGGCCGCGGTTGCTGGCCAATGGGAGCGTCAGGGGCGGTGCTAGGGGCAGGGGCAGTGTGTGGAGCCTGCTTACTGTCCCTACACGTAGGAGACAGAGGGGGGACATGCTGCTGCTTCCAGGAGGCTTGCGGAGCCATGGCATGTGTGGAGTGGGGCAAGCCCTGGGCCCCGCTCCCCGGCAGGAGCTCGAGGGCCGGATTAAAATGTCTGAGGGGCTGGATGCGGCCCCGGGCCATAGTTTGCCCACCCCTGGTGTATAGCATCTAACTGTGCACAACTGTTAAGCTGCTGGGCTGCTGAGACCACTGCCTGTCATGCTGATCAGTATGGTCTCATTGTTTCCTTGCACTCCCCCATTGGTCTTTCTGTAACCATTTCTTGTCTTAGTCTGCAAGCTCTTTGGGGCAGGGACTGTCATTCTGTTCTGTGTGCAGCACCTAGCACAGCACCTAGCACAGCAGGGTGCTGATTCAGGACTGGGGTTCCGAGGTGCTACGATAATACAAATAATCATAAACACATTTTAACTTTCAAATTGTTATGTAAGTTATTGGAGTTGATGCAGGAAACACTTGGTAAAATTCTCTGGCCTGTGGCATGCAGGAAGCTAGACTAGATGATCATCGTGGTCTCTTCCGGCCTTAGCTCATGGTCCCTTCCAGCCTATGCATCTATGAAATCTATTGAATACACCCATATACCAATTATATTTATTTTAAAATCATACAGCTCCTGCACTGGAGCCCTCACCTATACTATGGGGGACTAAGACACCATGCCAAACAAGCATTTCAGATGGAAAGGTTATTCTGGATGAAGTAAAAAAAACATTATTAAGAAACATCTATGTAAATAAATTATTAACTCTTCTCTGGAGTTATCTGAGCACTTAAAATATTAATCTTCAAAAACTAATCACTGGATAGATATTTGCCTATTCCTTTTAAAAACAGCTTAACTTTCCCACAAATAGAAACAGAGTCGAAAGAGTTCAGTACATCACAGAGCAAGTCTCCTAGTGAATGAATACCATTAATAAACAAATCCTATGCAACTTTTAGTAGCGCTAGTGACAGGCCACTTGATTTTTCATTATATTTACCTGAAGCCCTGGTTGCTCCCAAAACAGTGGGACGGAGCCTCTGATTTGAACAAAGGAAGAGATGTCATCGTCCAAATAAATTGTCTGCAGCAACAACATAAAGGAAAAGAGATTCTTCAGTGAAAAGTACTGTTCTCACTCCTCAATCAGACAACACAAGTTAAGATACAAATACTGAAGAAAAGGCGAATGGTGGATCTCAGTTTATCTTTATCTCAATCTCTGTCAGTATTCCTGACCTCACAGAAACGGAAACAAAATCATGCCTTGTTTGCTTTCATGCCAACTCACTAGGTTTAATTTGCTACTCACTGGTAATAAAAGAGAATTTAAGGCACAGATGCTTGTATGACAGAGATTTCCCTCACACTGAAGATGAACTAGCTACACTGGTGGACAGACTGAGACAGGCCACTTTCTCTTTCATAGAATTTTAATTATGGAGATGTCATCACTCCATGTGACCAGTGATGGTTAAATGCCAGGTTTGGGATGAGCTTATCTGCTGCTCTGTTAAACTATTTTCTTTGACCACACATTTTGTCTGGTCAGTGTGGCCAATAAAATGTGTGTGAAACCTTCAGCTTTTCCGCTCCTATTTTGAGATGGGCGGGGAATAAGATTATGTGCACTATTTCTTATCTAGGATGTTTATAGTAAAATCTTTCCAGTCCTCTTTTCTCCCCAGCCAGCACTCTCTCCCACCCTTTGTATTTATCTCTGTGAACAATGCTAGTAAACTAATCTTGCAGCAAAGCTGACAATTAGACGCACAAAGGATGTACCCCATCCTCCCCTCTAAACCTACCTCCAAAAGTATTATATTTTCAATGAGCCTAGTGTAAAAGGATGTATGTTCATACATAGTATTACCACAGGGCAAGAGTGTAAAGCCAACTTCACTGCCCTGGCCTATACTTAGCAATGGAATCCTGGGCCTTTTGCATTTGTGACATATAATACAAGTCTCAGTTTTCTTGTACATCACAATGAGCCTTCCAAAGCCCAGCAGATGAATGGTATCAGTCAGCTCATTCAGGTGCCTTTTTTTTGGTCACACTCTATCATTTAGCTTATCAGCTAGCAGCTTGGCAGTAGTTCCAAAATGGGATGAACAGCAGGTGCCAAGAAAGAGGCTGCATAAGAAAGAGGTTTAGGCAACGGGAAACCAGTTACCACACGACTATAATGAGGTTCTATTCCTGGCTCTGCCCCTGGCCTGCTGGGTGACCACGGGAAAATCACTGAAGCCCTGTGCCTCAGCTTTCCCATCTGTAAAATTACCTCTTTTGTAAAGTGCTTTGAGATGTACAGGTGAAAATATTATTTTTACATATATCACTGACAAACACTCGCAACACTTTTGGGAGGTAGGTACGTGTCTATTATTATCCCCATTTTGCTGAGAGAGAGGTTAAGTGACTTCATCAAGGACACAAAAGGAGACAGTATCAGAACCAAGCTTAGCCTGATGGAGTTCAGGTCATGATGTAACACACACTTGTTCAAAACGGCTTTTCAGTCAATGCTCTTAATTGTGGGCAATGCTTGGTTACCATGGTGACAGGTGCTCTATAAAAAACTAAGATTGATGCTGTTCTCCTTCTGTTTCTGCCCTAGGAAGTACTCGGTGTAATGTGAAGGGGCTGCAACATGAGAAGTAAGTAACCCCATCCTCGCCTCTCTTTCTTTTCCTCACTGAGCAGGCCAGTCATAAAAATTAAATGACTCAATGACCTCTAATCATCTGTGAAAATAAAGTCAGACAGAGCAGGCCTGATTCTCAGCTGGTGTAAACTGGTGTAGCTCCATTGACACTAGCAGAGCAACGCTGACTCACACCAGCTCAGAATCTGGCCTACAATCTAAGAAATTCTGGAGTCGGATCTTGACTCATTTATGATTTTAAGAACAGTCACCTGCTGACAAATGGGATGAGTCAGTTATCAGCATAACTTGAAATGAAATGTTAAAGCTACATTATGTCATACACAGACAAAGCTCTTATAGAAGGAGATCATATACATACAGTATCACATATATAGTACAATTCTGTGGATAGTGGTGGATAATCAGCTGTGCATGAGTTCCTGGTGCAATGCTGAGAAAAAGGGCTAGTGTGATCCTTGGATGCATCAACTGGAGAATCTCTAATAGGAGTAGAGAGGTCATTTTACCTCCATATTTGGCACTGGTGCACCCAGTGCTGGAATACTGTGTTCAGTTCTGGTGACCACAATTCAAGAAGGATTTTGATAAATTGGAGAGGGTGCAAAGAAGAGCCACAAGAATGATTAAAGGATTAGACAGCATGCCTTAGAATGACAGACTAAATAAGCTCAATCTATTTAGCCTAGCAAAGGGAAGGTTAAAGGGTGACTTGATTACAATGTATACGTATCTACATGGGGAAAAATATTTGAAAATGGGCTCTTCAGAGAAAGATATATCACAATCCAGTGGCTGGAAGCTGAAGATGGACAAATTCAGACTGGAAATAAGGCACAATTCTTAAATAGTGAGAGTAATTAACCACTGGAACAACTGACCAAGGGTTGTGGAGGTTTCTCCAGCACTAGCAGTTTTTAAATCAAGATTGGAAGTTTTTCTAGAAGATCTGCTCTAGGAATTATTTTGGGGAAGATTTATGGCCTGCGCTATACAGAAGGTCAGACTAGATCATCACAAGGAGCTTTCTAGCCTTGGAATCTATGAACATATGAACAGTCAGACTAATCTACTCCTAGGAGGCTAGTATTCATCCAAGTGGATTAGGATCAAGATCATGCCATGCCATTCAAAAGGGCACTTCCTCCTAGATTATTGCACCTACGTTAACTCCTCCTAGACCAGTGGTTCTCAAACTTTTTTTTTCACGGACCACCTAAAAATTGCTGAGGGTCTCAGGGACCACTTAATGATTTTTCCAAATGTTGTTTCTACCATTAGCTAACTATTGTAAAGCGCTTTGGATAAAAGGGCTACATAAAAAAAACTTAATAATAATTAACTTTTTGTTCTATAAATAAAAGCACACAACTCATTTTAATATCAGTAGTCTTACCTTTCTAATGCGATGGATGTGCCCTCTTTCCCCTGACGTAGCAGCCCACAAGCTGGGGCTAGGAAGGGTAGGGGAGTCTCTAACCTGCCACAGAGCTGAGGCTGGGAAGGGGAGGGGGTGTCTCTCCCCAGCAGCTGCGGAAAGTCACATCTTTCTCTGGCTGCTGCAGACCTGCACATCCCAACTTCCCCTCACCCCCTCTTCTCACCCCACTGCCCCCTCCCACCTACACCTTATTCCTCCCAAGGCCACCACCTCATCTTACATTTGCATCTTCTCCAGGGTCCACGCATCTAATTAGTGGAGCCTCGCCGGCACGGCTACACAAATTAGGTGGGTGGCCCTTCATTCTCTCACGTGCGGCTGCCCAGGCATGCACCTTAGAGGGAACTATCCGCGGACCACCTGAATGGAGCTCGCGGACCACAGTTTGAGAACCACTGTCCTAGACAACTGGGAGTTCACAGTCATGCCAGGTCATTGAAAAAAGCAGTTTTCTCTAAATTTTGCAATAAAGTCTCACAACTTCGGTCCCTGCCACACAGACTAGAACAAATCACAGCCCTGATCCTGTAAACACAGGCAGAATCCTATGCCCAAGTAGAGTGCTGTTGAAGTCAGTAGGACTCTGTGAAGGAATGAGGAGCCACCTGTGTGGATTCCATTATAGAATCAGGCCCACCGCTGTCTTTAAGCCACAAACTTAGATGAGGCCTAAATCTGGACTACCATTTTGGGGAAGGGCCGTAACAGTTTTCAAAAAGCAGATTCTGACAAGGATAATCAGGATGCCAAAAAAGAAAATCCTGATGAAAATTTCTCTGGAAAAAATAGTAGGACCCATACACAGCTATTCACATTTCTAAATATTAAGGCCTCAATTCAGGAAGGAACGTAAGCATGTGCTTAAATCCATTCCTATTCAGGGCAGCAATCAAGCACTACTGTAATTGCTGTCATGAAACAGCAAAGCTTTTCTGAATTGGGGTCCAACACTATTTTTCTTAAAATAGGGAAGGGAAGGTTAATTGAAAAAGATCCTATTTTCTTTTATGGTCTGTAAAATTTCAATTTTAAATACACCATGTAACATATATATATATATTCACATACATACATATATATATATATACACACACACACATACACAGTAGAACCTCAGAGTTATGAACTAACCAGTCAACCACAGACACCTCCATTTGGAACCAGAGTGCGTGATCAGGCAGCAGAAGAGACCCAAAAATTAATTAAATAAATAAATAAATAAATAAATAAAGCTAATACAGTACAGTACTTTGTTAAACACAGCATTTTTCTTCTGCATAGTAAAGTTTCAAAGCTGTATTAAGTCAATGTTCAGTTGTAAACTTCTGAAAGAACAACTATAACGTTTTGTTCAGGGTTATGAACATTTCAGAGTTATGAACAACCTCCATTCCCTAGGCGTTCGTAATTCTGAGGTTCTACCGTACAGGGGAAAACAAAAAACAACCCCCCCACACACACTAATTAATCTTTTTGATCATTCTTTTTGCTTAAAAGCAGCCAAAATCATACACCAAGAATTTAATACTGGGGGGAAAAAAGAGGTCCGCTCAAGAGTTGACAGTTCCCTGGAAGACAAATGCAGAGAAGGAGGAGAAAAATGAAATGTTAACACTGACAAGCACATAATCTAAATAAGGAAAGCATACTTGCTTCTTCAGTACAATCTGGAGAAAAGAAAGGAATGGGGGGTGGGGAGGAATGGGGAGAACGTTGAATCAAGTTAACTTTTGTTCTCAGTAGAAATCCATCAGAAAGATGTCTTACTTTTTTCCTTGCTATATGAAACATTGTGAACAAAGCGAAAACGTGTTATTTAGGCCCCTTCTGGGGAACAAAGTATCATTTCAAACCCTTCTCAAAAGGTTATTTACAGCATTGTGAGTAGGAAGAGGTGCCCCTTTTTTTACAAAATGCTGGCTACAGTGGTTCAAGTGCACACTTTCAGAAGACTTTTTCACAATGCCCCTCACCCTCTACTTCTGCTGTGTCAGCCTTTCTAACGGCTTTTATCTTTCTTGTAAAGTGATTAAACTAAATGACCAAGTAACTAAAAGATTGACTGGTGGCCCGATTTTGAAAAGAAAAAACTAAAGTGAGATATTTAGCTCCCCCACTCCTTTTCTGCACAATGAGTCACCGCAGTTCAGTGAGCCCACAAAAAATGACTCATTGCAGAGCTGAAATGCCACAAGGCTAACTCAGTGGGAGACAAAAGAATCCCATCTACGCATTAAAGAACTGCCTGGAGAGAAGGCTAATTGTTTCTTCTTCTTAAAACAGAAAAATATTAGAATTAAAGCTTTGTAAAGGGGGAAGAGAGTCTGGCCTTTTCAGAATCCTGGGGTGATATTTATTCATGAAGCACAGAGCCAGCATGCCAGTACTGTACAGGCTGCTGCAAATGGAAACAAAATGTTATTCTAATTACAGACGGCCAAGATATTACCTCATAGCTGATTAGTCAGTAGTCTACTGTGAAAGCAGAAGAGAGTTTAATTTAGGGCTTTTACTTCCTAATGGTAAGTGGATGCCAGCTTGAACTGGACCTCATGTATCTTGATGTTTAGTTCTCACTTTGTTTTCGTAGGACAGTTAGCCTGACAAAAATTATACCTATTACCAATGACAAAGTGAACTTTTTTTTCTTCCTTAAAAACAGCAGAGCACTCCTATAGTTATTGATCTTCCAAGTCCTTGAGTCACCCTGTACTCATTTCCTCCCTGCTTTGGCTTTGCCTCTTCCAGTTCCGAATCACTCAAAAACCTTTAGTCTTCCCACTCTTAGATGACGACTTGCTGAACTGGAAGAGAAGTACAGCAGGCCCCACGAAGGCTGCACGGCTCCTGACGAACCCCTGTCCCATTCAACTGTCAGCAATCTATCAACATTTTGCCATTCCATCGGGGGCTGAACCCCACTTTTGCTGTGATGCAATGGGCATTATATTTTTATGTTAATCATTTCCAGCATGCAAGAGTATAATCAAATAAGCTAAGGAACCTTGGACCCAAATGGCTGGCATACTGAGAAACAGTAATTGTATACAGGACTAGCAACTGAACCTAGGAGGTAGCACTGCGAATTTGGGGCTGACCTAAGAAAGGTTGGCTACTCATCTCAACATCTAACTTTCCTTCCTTTACAAGAAGATCAAAGCATCCCACACTTATTTGGGTGAGGAGGTACTATACTATACTTGGTATGGTTTGCGGGGATTATATATTGCTTTAGAAGGCGAACATAGTGACATTTCTCTTTTTTCTGTTCCCTCTGCCCAGGGGTAAATTTCACCTACATGTGCACAAATCTGTGCGCTCCAACAGATATGTTTTCCAATGGACTAGGCACCAAAATTCCAATCTTCAAAAAATAGATTCTCAAGCTTTGAGGGCAGAGTTTTGTATATTTGCTCCTCAAAACGTTGAAAACTGTTGACCAAGTTTAGAGGTGATGTTTTGTATGCTGGAAGTTATGGCCTTCTCATTTATCTCTGTTCTCCCATATAGATGTACCTCTTTGTGAACATTAAAATCTGCATTTGTTTAAAACTATCGTTCTTTTGGCTGGGAGTAGCTTCCAAAAAGGAAAGAGAGGCTATAGCTGAATACGAAAGTGCTCATTTCAGCAGACATAGGAGGTCTCAGGTTCTTCAGGGTCCAGTGCTTTTTGTTTATTTTAAATGTAGCAAACCCAGCAGTAAACATATGACTGCCTTTCCTTGTTTGCTTTGCAGTTGTAGCTGTGTTGGTCTCAGGATATTAGAGATCAGCTTTCAAAGCTTTCTTCATGTTCTGAAAAAGAAAGTTTGAAAGCTTGTCTCTTTCACCAACATACGTTGGTCCAGTAAAAGATATTACCTCACCCACCTTGTCTCTCTATTATTTAGCTTTGTCATGTTAATTTAGGGACCCAGATCAAATTAACACATTTCACCCTCGTGTTTGTTATCAGCACCAGTTGGAATTAGGGTTTCCACCTTTCTGCTGGGCAAACCTGAAGCCTAAAGTCCTGCCTTATCCCCTCTTATCAAACCACACCCCATATGCAAAGCCAAGTCTATCCCAATGGGGATGTACTGGAATTTGCCTCCTGGCCACTGACCAGATGACAGCTTCTCTCTTTGTCCTCTTTGCTCTACTTAGTTGGCTGGAGGAATTTTTTAATCTCTCACCCACTTTCTGGTTTCTTTGTCATGCATCTTCCTTCTGACTAGTGCATTGCATTTCAAAGCTCCAGAACCTTTCCCTTATTATATTCTGGAGATTATTATGGTATCTGAATGCTGACAACATATTAATTTAGGCTTGCAAAAGTCCTGGGGGGTAGGAAGTTGTTAGTATCCCTTTTTACAGATGGAAAAATTGTGACACAAAAAATTATGACGCTACCCTGAAAACACTTATCCATAAATTAACCATGTGCATGCACATTGTCCTGGGACTACTTATGCAGGTAAATGCTTGCAGGATCCACGGCTAAGTGACCTGCTTAGGGTCACAAAGGAAGTCTTCGCAAAAAGAAAAGGAGTACTAGTGGCACCTTAGAGACTAACCAATTTATTTGAGCATAAGCTTTCGTGAGCTACAGCTCACTTCATCGGATGTATTCAGTGGAAAATACAGTGAGGAGATTTATATACACACAGAACATGAAAAAAATCGGTGTTATCATGTGTCTTCACCACAAGACCCCTTTCCTCTTAAGGAGATTAAGGCCAGGTCCACACTAGAAACATTTGAAAGTATAATAATGTTGGCTAGGGATGTTATTTTTATGACATTTTTATGCCAGCAAAAGCCCTAGTATAGACACAGTTACACTGGGGGGAAAAAATGCTTTTGCTGGCACAGCTGATTTTGTTTCGTGAGCTAGTGTAAACTGTACTGGTTACAACACATTTTTGCCAGTAGAAGCAGTGTCTGTACCAGCAAATCTTTTCTAGTGTAGTCTAGACCTAACAAAACAGACTTAAAAAAAAAAAAAAAAAGGCCAAAAAAAAAAAGCGTGGAATAAAGTTACATGAGCTTTCAAAAGAACTTCTGCTTTTTTTAGGATGACCAGATATCCCAATTTTATAGGGACAGTCTCGATATTTGGGGCTTTTTCTTATATGGGTGCCTATTACTCCTCAACCTCTGTCCTGATTTTTCACATTTGCTATCTGGTCACTCTAGCTTTTCTCCCACCTTCTCTTGCATGGGGAATCAGTCGTACTTTAGAAGAAAAGTGCTTTAAAAAAAAGATTTTATTTTCAGAGCAAAATTCACAGTCATTTTATAATAACTGTATTTTAAAAACCTTCTTCTTGTGATGAAGCACTGGCCTCTTGATTGATTAAATACTTGGTGCCATTGAGAACCTTGTGGTTTATGTCAATGGTTCCCAAACTTTAGCAACCCCAGGACCCTCATTTTGATTTAAAAAATTTGTGGACCCCCCAAGCCCCCCCCTGCTCAGCCCCAGATCCTGCCCCCACTCCACCCCTTCCCCCAAGGCCCCATCCCCGGCCCACCTCTTCCTGCCCCCAATCCACCCCTGCCCCTCCTCTTCCCCGCCTCTTTCTGCCCCCTCCCTGCTCCTTCCCTCCCTCCAGACGCCTCCTGAATGCCGCTGAACAGACGTTCCCAAGCGTGCAGGAGGCACTGGGAGGGAGGGGGAGGAGTTGAGGGATGGAGGGGGAGGAGTCGATCGGCGGGGCCAGCGGCCCCAGACATGATTCTGCCCCCTTCCCTGAGCACAGCCCATCCCTGCTCCTCCCCCACCTCCCGCAAGCCACTGAACAACTGCTCCCCAGAGTGCACGAGGCATTGGAAGGGAAGGGGAGGAGTTGAGGGAGGGAGGTAGAATAGTTGATCAGCGGGGCCGGCAGGCCCCCTGGAGTACCCTTGTGGACCCGCAGGGGTCCACGGACCCCAGTTTGAGAAATGGTGGTTTGTGTGTTGATTTTGCTCATGAGTGATTGTTACTCAAGACAGGAATTTCTGAATCCACTGAAAAATGCACATTTATAATTTGACAGAAGCCTGGGGAGCTAGAGCTTCCACAGTGGGAAATAAATCAAAAACATAAGTTACGAGTGCCCAAGAAGCTAGAAGTACAGAAGGAGAACTGATTGCGTAGGAGCTTAATGAGCAAGAGTGAAGAGACACTTCATGCATAACAGCATCTTAAAACATTGCATGCAGAAAGCATTTGCCGAGCTCCTCTGATTCTTGCCGTAAACGATTCCCCAATTATACACTGATGTACTGAATTATTTAGTATCATAGGATCCATTCAGTCATTTACCTGCTCTGTCTCAACAAAATTAGATACGTGTCCATCATCACTGACCCCTCGAATGTGAAACCTGGCCCCAGCTCGTTCGCAGCTGATCCGGGAAATGAGGCAGACCTTCGCCTTCTTGTGAGAGGCATAAACCGTGTGGATGTCCACTATGCCACAGATCACTTTTAGCAGCCAGTCGGAGCAGCTCACCTGGTTGTGTTTAAAGGGCACATGCAGCAATTGGTTCCTGCAAGATTCAACAGAGCATAGATTCATTTACTCAAAAAATGAGAGAGAGAAACAAGTTGTACCCCACATTGTTCACTAATTAAAGCTTATAATAGGAGGTTATTCCTTTTTTATTGCACCTCACTTTATCTGAAACTAATAATTAATAGATGGCAATCCTGGTGAAGGCCATAATTCACAGAAACTGGGAGATTTTAACAGTGTGACAGCCACCATACTTTTGCCCATGTGTCCAGAAGACTTTGCCCCGGCCATACAAGTTCATATGCAAATCTCACCTTTCCCAATTTTCTGATCTCTGGAAACATGCTGGTGGTCATTAAAAGGCTCTTACCTAAATTACAGTGTTGTCCAACTAACTCGTTCAGGCAGTGCTGCCTGGAACCTGGTCTACACTATAGTTCCAACAGGTTTTAAAACTGGTTTAGCAGAACTCTTTTTAAAATCTGTTGGAATTTTGAAGGAAGTTTTCCCAGCATAGACCAGGCCTAAAAGTGAAAGGAACTGTTACAAACTGAGTTCTGCATGGTTTACAATGGAAGTATTACCTTTGTGGGTTTTTTTTGGTTTTTTTTTTGTTTTGGTTTTTTTTTTAAAGCAAGCCAGTCTGTGACCAGGTCTGGGAGGCATGCATAGTTTCTCCAACGTACTTCCATCAGACATCAGCAATTCCCTATTACAGTTACTATACCAGTGGAATTCTACTAAAGATTTGCGCTTTGCAAAGCAAAGAATTTGAAAAAGGTGAAGAATTGTTCTACTATTTTTATATAGCACAGCTAAAAAACAGCTACAAAAGAATTACATTTTCCTCATTCCTTCCATATCTCCATGTAAGAAGAAAATCTACCCATCTTATCCAAGGCAAACTCCAGTAGGATTTCTTTATTGGAGTTCATGTTACAAGGTCCACAGATGGCACTGCCTACAGTTAAGGTTGCCTGACACTGTTATAAGAACCTTTTTTCAGCTGTTTTTATTTTTTTCCCCAAACTTTGGAAATTGGGGATGAAATTTTCCATGCTAGTGGCCTATCTTGGGTTTTTTTAAAATTTCACATTATACATAATGTTTCACATATTCATATTAGAAATACAAGGGATCTTATGTTAGACAACATATAAAAGCATAGGGCTTCCACATAAACTAAGATTAATCTAGCGAGACACAATAGATGGATACAGAAAGCAGATGTGCCACTGAATTCAAATATGTATCTTCTGAGAGCAAACTATCAAAAGAAAGCCCTTAACAACTGTATATATTGTACTATTTCTATATTAAAGATAGACCTCTAATTTGGCAGTTTAATTCTGTTGGAACACAGCTGGTTTGCTGTGTCAGCTGTTCCATGAGGAAGGCACACACAGCACAGTTGAAACTGGGTTTTATATTGCACTATTCTGAACTAAACACCACTTATCAGGTGAAATCCCATCCCAGCTGGAGAGATTATTTACCAAATTGAATTCCTCTGCCTTATCTGTTAATCATCTGTTACAACCCTGTTCAGCTATTGATATTTACCTACTGCCAGCCACAAGAAGTATTTCACACTAGCAGCGTAATTCTGCCAAAGTATTACTTTTCACATGCATTATATAACTTCTTATTTATTTCCAGTACAGTTTAGCTTCCTATGTGACTTCCTACCATTAAAAAAAAAAACATACCGGATGAGGAGGATTGGAGTACCCTATCAAAACTGGTAGGATAAACAAACTGAACTCCCTCTGCAGCAGGCCCACATAGGAAGGATCCTAGTTTCTATGTATTTTTTTCCATTCAACCAACCTTTGCTGCAGTGAGACATATTTTTTACTTTGTTTTTAAAACTGTGTTACTCAGTAAATAAAATAAGTGCACATCAACATACCAGAGGAGTTAGTGTATGTGCAATGGTTTGATTACAGTTTTAATTACAAATTAATTGATTAACATAGATATTTGCAATGTAAAAACTAGGGTACATTACTGCAATGTTAATTTAGAGACTTTAAACCCACAAGAATTAGGAAATAACACATAATGCAGCAGAAGTGATGTATGAGCACAAGTACAGGTTTTTACCACTTAACGATGCTTGTTAAACAAATAATTAAAAAAAAAAAAAGCCTTGGGAAGTAAACTACTTATCACATATAAAGAAATGTATTTATACTGTATGCAGTAAATATAGCAAATTTTTTTTTTTCTTTCTAGAAAAACCAGAAACTCCAATTATTAAATTTGCTTTTGCAGCTAGATTACATAAATAAGCTAGATGTTAGTGGCTCAACCCTGATTGACCATGAATCTGCCAGAGCACATGCCCTGTAAAGTAAAATGTTAGTTAAGCAAAACGTATCTAAGTTTAAATCTATAGCTTTATTTTTCTCCAGGGTTATAGGAGATTGAGAGGGAAGCCAGGCTTAACTAAAGACTTGGAGATAACGTGCAGTACTAACCAGAAGAAGGAGTTACCAGATTCATAGTTGTTATCACCCTGCTTCTGGGCCCGCACTGTCAGGTCAAAGTTTGAGCCTGCATTTGGCCAGGAGAAATAGAACATCCCAGAGTTCAGGATTTTCTTAAGGGCATTAACACGATCCTCTTCCTTGGTTTCTTCCTGGAGGGGACAGAAATCTGTTGCGGTGATTTTGTAAACTTCAGCATCCAGGATTTTTCCCACCGATGTACAGCCTGTCACCAGGACCAGAAAATGCAGCCGCATGTTACCTAGAAGGTGACAGTTACATAAGAATTATATAGAAACACAAGCTATGCCATTCCAAATCAGCCCAGCAATCTGTCATGTCTGCTATCCTGCCTCCAGCCATCAGTATCTCTTGCTTCAGAGGAAATAAAACCTATGCTGCGTGTGGCTAACATGAGATCACAATATCTATAAGAAAAGAAGTACTTGTGGCACCTTAGAGACTAACCAATTTATTTGAGCATGAGCTTTCGTGAGCTACAGCTCACTTCATCGGATGCATACCGTGGAAACTGCAGCAGACTTTATATATACACAGAGAATATGAAACAATACCTCCTCCCACCCCACTGTCCTGCTGGTAATAGCTTATCTAAAGTGATCAGACAGTATAAATAATAAATAACAAATAAATTGGTTAGTCTCTAAGGTGCCACAAGTACTCCTTTTCTTTTTGCAAATACAGACTAACACGGCTGTTACTCTGAAAAATATCTATAAGGATAAGTTAAGTTAAAAAGACAATGTAGTTATGACACACATTTAAGAAGCAGCAACATTTCACAGACCAACCAATTTATTTGAGCATCTCTAAGGTGCCACAAGTGCTCCTTTTCTTTTTGCGAATACAGACTAACACGGCTGTTGCTCTGAAACATTTCACAGACCGTAAACTTTTCTACTCTTCCCTCTGTTATCGTGAAAGCTGGCCCTGTGCAGGGGCCCAGGACAAAGCCTATTTTGAGGGTTTAAGTGGGACTGGCCCTGGTGCTGGTTCACCGCACAGGGGCAAATTTCACCCTTGCACGGCAGGCAGTTTTCTTAGTGTGCAACGCATTTGTTTCAGGTGAAACCCTGCGATAAAACATCAGTTACATTGAAGCTTTTTAGCTCAAACAGAGTAATAAAATGCAAACATCACCCATGCTGGCAGAACAGAGTCCCGTTTACTCATACAGCAAATGGGAAAACTCAGCTATTCGCAGAAATATGTGCTGAATGCCCCACTTACCAGGCTGTGTGTGGGAGGGTGAGTCTGGGAGAACATTCAGCAAGACAATAAGACAAAATTAACTTTTATACTTTTTGTTCGACGCCTATGAAATCAGCTGCCTTGACCAAAGTTCAGCGAGGATACCACCAGGAAGCATAATTCTGGAACATCGCTGATAAAAATAAATGTGGCTGCTGTATTAAACCTGCGTATATATGCCTCTTGTTATTCATTTTCTCCCACAGTGTGTCATAGGTTTCAAAGCTTTCTATTATGAAATACAGTAAAAAGGAGAAACTAGTCAATTTTCAATTCACATTGTTGTGAATACCTCAATCTACTCCTTTCTCTTTCCTTTTGCAAGTGAAATCACTCATGGTTTTTCACTCTCGTTATATGAAAATCCACAACCCAACCATCTCCTCCTAATTCAGTCTCTGCTATATTTCAAGGTAAGGTGACCAAAGCTGGACACCGGACTCCTAATGAAAACATGTATCTCTGCTTGATAAAATACAGTATTTTTCAGAATTTTTTTTCTAGCCTTATGTTATTGCACCAAGTATGCCATTTTCTTTTGTGAACTGCGGTTGTCCACTGGGCTTCATCAAGCTATCTTTGCTGACTATTTATACAGCAACTATCTGTATTGAGGGTTCTATTAATCTCCATTTTTATGGGTACTGAATTTAAATTAAATTTTTAAATAAAAAACCCTCCTCAGACTTACAGACTTTGAGGCCAGAAGGGACCATCATGATCATCTAGTGTCTGACCTCCTGCACATTGCAGGCCACAGAATCTCACCCATCCACTCCTGTAATAGACCCATAATCTATTTATATGGCTCCCAGACCTATGGTAGCCAAGTGCCTCATTGTCATCAACACACATATCCTCACCCCTTCTCTGTGAAGTACTATTATCCCCATTTTACAGACAGGGAGTTGAGGCTCAGAGAACAAGCAAAGTCTGTGGTGGTCACAACTAGAACTTGATCTCCCAAATCCCAACCCAGTGTCTTAACCACAAAACATTTCTTCGTCCCTCTAAGCAATGACGCTAGACTTTAAGGAGGCAATTTTTAAAGGCAAATGGAAGCTGGGCACCTATCTGCCCTTTGTGCCTGTGAATATCTCTCACTTATATTTTAACATATGTATACATACCCATACACAGAGAATGTTTCTCAGAAGAGAAATCTGTTATTTCATCAAATAAAGCAACCCCCATAGTTTGTAGTGTCCAGAATTTACCTTATAGAGTACACATCTTTTACTGGCACTACTGCATCTGAACAGTGTGCTGTACAATACCATAAACCCAGCTTTAGCATACTGCTTAAAATAAACATCACTGCTAAACCTGCCTTGAGAAGCAAAACCTTGGCTGAAGCACAGCACAGAAACCTTCAGCTGTTAATGCTATTACAGCTCCTCCCAAACAAAAAGAAAACGGGGAATCTAGTGAGTCATCCAAATTGACGTAAATGCACACAAGTGAATGCTGTCACTTCTGGGAAACATTAACCTTGTGAGCAGCTTCATAAAGTCCATCAGCATTCCTGTGCAAAGGCAAGGCAATGTAAAAAGCAGCCTCTATTCTCCTCTCCTTGGCAGGTGGAAATGGAGTACACTAAACTTCTGCAGACAAGGAGACTCAAGACTACACTGATCCCTAAGTACTGGTATTTACAGGTTAATTCATTGCCCGGAGAGCTCCCAGACACATTTTATATTTCCTACAAAAGACTGTTTCTCAGCTTGGCAAATACACTCTTTTGTGTATGCCTTTGGAGAGTATCTTCAAAATATTTTTGGCTAATTTAGCACTCACAAAAGGTGCTGATTTGCTTGCACATCTCCCATAGTTGGTTTGAGCATTAGCTTCCTAAACCCAGGGTTGTGAGTTCAATCCTTGAGGGGGCCATTTAGCGACCTGGGCCAAAAATTGGGGATTGGTCCTGCTTTGAGCAGGGGGTTGGACTAGATGATTTCCTGAGGTCCCTTCCAACCCTGATATTCTATGAAATCCAAATAGTGACCAACTGGTCAAACAGACCACTCTGTCACTGCCTATTCCATAGGTTCCTGAACTGTGGTCTGCAAACCACTGGTGCGCTGCAGAGAGCTGGCTGGTTGCATTGCGCTGCTCTCCTTGTATTTTTCACTTCTTTTAATGCATTTTAGCAGCTGGAAACATTAAATATCTTCCTATTGTCACTTTTTCCATGGAAACAATTGCTGTAGGGATTGTGAATGAGAAGGAAGGCAAGTCACGTATTTGGGACCAGAGAAAAATGGTCCCCCAATCACCAATGAAAGAGCAGGTGCGCAAATGACATTTTCTCTCTCTAGCTGAAATCTGCCCTGGGAAATGTTTGGGAATCATAAAATCATAGAATATTAGGGTTGGAAGAGACCTCAGGAAGGCATCTAGTCCAATCCCCTGCTCAAAGCAGGACCAACACCAACTAAATTATCCCAGTCAGGGCTTTGTCAAGCCAAGCTTTAAAAACCTCTAAGAATGGAAATTCCACCACCTTCCTACGTAACCCAATCCAGTGCTTCACCACCCTCCTAGTGAAATAGTGTTTCCTAATATCCAACCTAGACCTCCCCCTCTGCAACTTGAGATCATTGCTTCTTGTTCTGTCATCTGCCACCACTGAGAATAGCTTAGCTCCATCCTCTTTGGAACCCCCTTTCAGGTAATCCCCCCTTACTCTTCTCTTCTGCAGACTAAATAATCCCAGTTTCCTCAGCTTCTCCTCTTAAGTCATGTGCCCCAGCCCCCTAATCATTTTCGTTGCCCTCCACTGGACTCTCTCCAATTTGTCCACATCCCTTCTGTAGTGGGGGGACCAAAACTGGACACAATACTCCAGGTGTGGCCTCAGCAGTGCCGAATAGAGGGGAATCATCACTTCCCTCGATCTGCTGGCAATGCTCTTACTAATACAGCCCAATATGCCGTTGGCCTTCTTGGGAACAAGGGCTCACTGCTGACTCATATCCAGTTTCTCGTCCACTGTAATCCCCAGGTCCTTTTCTGCAGAACTGCTGCTTAGCCAGTCGGTCCCCAGCCTGTAGTGGTGCATGCGATTCTTCCTTCCTAAATTCAGGACTCTGCACTTGTCCTTGTTGAACCTCATCAGATTCCTTTTAGCCCAATCCTCCAATTTGTCTAGGTCACTCTGGACCCTATCCCTACCCTCCAGTGTATCTACCTCTCCCCCCAGCTTAGTGTCATCTGAGAACTTGCTGAGGGTTCAATTCATCCCATCATCCAGATCATTAATAAAGATGTTGAACAAAACCGGCCCCAGGACTGATCCCTGGGGCACTCCGCTTGATACCGGCTGCCAAATAGACATCGAGCCGTTGATCATTACCCATTGAGCCCGACAATTTAGCCAGCTTTCTATCCACCTTATAGTCCATTTATCCAGTCCATACTTCTTTAACTTGCTGGCAAGAATACTGTGGGAGACCGTATCAAAAGCTTTGCTAAAGTCAAGATATATCACATCCACCGCTTTCCCCCATATCCACAGAGCCAGTTATCTCATCATAGAAGGCAATCAGGTTGGTCAGGCATGACTTGCCCTTGGTGAGTCCATGTTGACAGTTCCTGATCACCTCTCTCTCCTCTAAGTGCTTCAAAATGGATTCTTTGAGGATCTGCTCCATGATTTTGCCGGTGACTGAAGTGAGGTTGACTGGTCTATAGTTCCCCGGGTTCTCTTTCTTCCCTTTTTTAAATATGGGCACTATATTTGCCTTTTTCCAATAGTCTGGGAACCTTTGGTCTGTTCTATTTAAGTACAGCCCTCTGTGGCTTTTCAGTTAAGAGAACTATGCAAATATAACTTGCAGCTGGTCCTTATTATCAAGACATTAACAGAATTTTTGGCAGTCTCCCTTCAGAAGTGGCTCTGAACAGGAACAGTATAGAGGTAAAATTGGGACAAGAGAGATGCACTGGCAGAGCTCGACAAGGGGAATTTTCTTAGGTCATGGTCACCAGAAATAACTAGATTTTCTCAAAAAACAAATAAATAGATGTGGGGAAACATAGCAGCAAAAGTCTGAAGAAACAAAAAATAGGTTATAAAACACCGCTGCCATATGTTTATCCCCTATAAAATTATTATTAATACAACATTTAATATGAAGGTTACAGGGACTTCATAGATTTCATAGAGTTCACAGATTTTTAAGGCAGGAAGGGATTACTATGTCATCTAGTCCAGGGATGGGCAAACTTTTTGGCCTGAGGGCCACATCTGGGTATGGAAATTGTACGGTGGGCCATGAATGTTCACGAAATTGGGGTTGGGATACAGGAGTGGGTGAGGGCTCTGGCTGGGGGTGCAGACTCGGGGAGGGCAGAAATGAGGAGTTCAGGGTGAGGGAGGGATTTCCGGGCTGAGGCAGGGGGTTGGGGTGCGGGAGAGGGATCAAGCCTGGGGCAGGGGTTTGGGGCATGGGAGGGGATCAGGAATGTAGGCTCCGAGCAGTGCTTATCTCAAGCAGCTCCTGGAAGCAGTGGCATGTCCCCCCTCTGACTCCTATGTGGAGGTGCGGCCAGGCGGCTCTGCGCGCTGCCCCACCTGCAGGCGCCACCCCTGCAGCTCCCATTAGCTGTAGTTCCCAGCCAATGGGAGCTATGGGGGTGGCGCTTGGGGCGGGGGCAGGGCATGGAGCCCCCTGGCTGCCCCTAAACATAGGAACCGGAAGGGGGACATGCTGTTTCCGGGAGCCTCACCATGTGTGCATGGAGCAGTCTCTGACCCTGCTCCCCGGCTGGAGCGCGGAAGCAAGGCAAGCCCCAGACTCCGCTCCCCAGCAGGAGCTCGAGGGCCAGATTAAACCGGCAGGAGGGCTGGATGTGGCCCGTGGGCCATAGGTTGCCCACCCCGATCTAGTGTGACCTACTCTGTATCGTAGTGTATCACAGAACTTTATCCAGATACACCTCTCTTGAGCTTAGTGACTTCAGACAACTGAACTGTTGTGTGTCACAGGCAGAGAACAGGAGGGACTGAGGTGCCACCTGTGATTGATTTAGTTCCCCTCTGCAAAGAGGGAACTAGCTATAGCTGTGGTTTGAACTGCTCGTATTTATTTGCCACATCCCTTAACTATCACAACAACAGATTTAATTGAACTGCTCTCAGGAAACATAGTTCTATGTGCCAAGAAAAATGGACCATACACTATCTATTTTATTTTCAAGTGCATGAACAAAACTGACATTCAGTTTAACAGAATTACTCAACTACCCCACAGGAAACTGAACAAACCAAACAAAAAATCCCCTTCTTGTTTCAAGTAGTGAGATAGATCTGCAGATTTACACCGTGATATAGAGTGTTCATCTGTAAGTAACTACTTCAAATCCATCCCAAATTGTAGTAGATGGAAGTCATTACCACCTAACAGCTGTTCAGTGCCCTATATGTAATGAGCTAGGCTATGTCTGCACAACACCACTGTAAGGTCTCCTGTGTAGCCACTCTATGCCAGCAGGAAAGAGCTCTCCCACCGACATAATTAAACCACCCCCAAAGAGCAGCGGTAGCTGTGTCAGCAGGAGACACTCTGCTGCCAACATAGAGCTGTCCACACCGGCGCTTTTGTTGGTGAAACTTATGTTGGTCGGGGGGGGGGGGGAGTGTTTTTTCACACCCCTAACTGACAAAACGTTTGCTGACAAAAGTGCTAATGTAGACAAAGCCTAAGTACATAATCTTATATGATTCCTAGTGTACAGCCATTACTATGTTTGTTATCCCTGTTGGCAGGTTCATTAAAGAGGCCAAGGACTGAGTAGATGCGGAATGGAAAAGTAGTAGTCTCACACCTCCAAGTCAAGGTAAAGGCTCATTGCCAGAGCAGTGTGGGGAAGTCTGTACAGCTATTACCGGCTTCATACATGGAGAATTTCAGTCTCTGAAGCTGTAAATGAGGCACATTTTACAAGCACTAAAATTTACTTAAATATTTGGTTTAAAAACCACCTTAAGCAGTGAACTGAAATGTATTTTATTGGGCCCAATTCTGCAAGGTATTGAGCGCCCTCAAATCAGTGTCATTTGGCTCTGTTCCCTATAGCACTACAAAAATTCATTTTATGTTCCTGTTGTAGAGAGTAGCAGCAACTTCTTTGCTAATTCAAGATTCCTGAAAGCATATGAAAATTAACAGCAATGCTGATGCATAATGATATTCTGCAGTGTGTTACTTGAAGTTATGGGGCTGATTCAGAAAACACTCATGCATGCAAGAAGGCTCTTTGAAGTTAATTTGGCTTTTCATGTGAGTAAAGTCATTCATGTACTTTGGCGTTTGCACAACTGGGCCCTTAGTAATCATAAGAGCCATTATTGAAACTAGCTCAATTCAAAACAAAAGGAGGGGAGGGGAAAAATCAATATTTGTATTATACAAAAGTGGTAGGAAAAACAGCAAGCTGTTAAGAAAAAACAACGAGGAGTGCTTATGGTACCTTAGAGACTAAAACATTTATTTGGGCATAAGCTTTCGTGGGCTATAACCCACTTCATCACATGCATGGAGTGGAAAATACAGTAAGCAGGTATAAATATACAGCACATGAAAAGACGGAAGTTGCCTTACCAAGTGTGGGGGTCAGTGCTAACGAGGCTACAAAAATAAATTTTCCCTTTGTTGATTCTCACGCCTCCTCGTGAACTGCTGGGAATGGGCCACATCTGCGTTGATTGAACTGGCCTCATTAGCACTACAAAAAGTAATTTCCCCTGTGTTGATATTCACCCCTTCTTGTCAACTGTTGGAATGGCCACATCCACCCTAATTGAATTGGCCTTGTTAGCACTGACCCCCCCCCCCCACTTGGTAAGGCAACTCCCATCTTTCATATGCTGTATATTTATACCTGCTTACTGTATTTTCCACTCCTTGCATCTGATGAAGTGGGTTATAGCCCACGAAAGCTTATGCCCAAATAAATGTGTTAGTCTCTAAGGTGCCACAAGGACTCCTCGTTGTTTTTACTGATACAGACTAACACAGCTACCCCTCTGAAAGCTGTTAAGAGGGTCTCATGAAACAAAGGAACGTAAAATACTTAACCTAAAAACTCTTAAGATAATATTTTACAGTGTGCTTTTAACCCAATGCACAGCTTATAAAAAATATGTTTGCATCAATAAACCTATCAATAAAATGGTTATATTGGGCAAGAGCCCAAATATCTTCCAAAACTGACAGAAATCAGGCAACTCTCAGGTCACTGGGATTAAACGAAGTTTGTTTGGGCATGGGCATCTAACAACTGTCCTCATCCTCAAAGCTACTTACCACATTTTAGCCGGAGCTCTCCCAAGCAGCCATAGGCATCCATGAGCTTTTCATATTGCCCTTTAATTACCTCCTTTTCTTCAGGAGCTGAGAAGAAACACAATAAAAAGGCAGCAAGCATTAGTTACCCAATTCAGTTTTCAGACTGGTATAGTCCTGTACCAAACCCTCCCAAGAGATCTCACTCAACAAACAAGACAATTAGATAACACATGAATAAGTATGTGGGGTTTACAGTGTTAAACTAGGAAGCTATTTAAAAGTTAATGGAACATCCCCATAAAAGACTGAGTGTTAAAAGGTATAAACACGCCTGTTCAAACACCACACAAAGGAAAGAGAGAGGTGCCAGTTGTAAATCCACAGATCATTAATTAATTGTTGCATCTACTAACACATGGTGCAGACACCAGCAAATGGCCTATCACTATCAGAATAAAAACACATAAACGATTAATTCATACAGTCCTAAGACCAGAGCTGTTAAAAAAAAATTATTTGTTTGAATAGCACTCACACATGCTAGGCATTTTCCAGACATATGAGAAGGGACCATCCCTGCCCCAACAATCTCACAGTCAGACTGAAGACAGACAGAGGACATGGAAGGGGAACAACAAACCGGGATTTTTTTTTATACAAGGCAACAAGATTCAATATAGGCAGCATGGCAAAAATGAGTTTTTGAGAGTCAAAAAATGTATTTTATTGAAGTCAAAACTATTTGGCAAAAGAGCAAATCAGTGTAAATTTACAACAGAGTAAACAAGAGAACCTATTCTGATCTTAGTTACATCAGTGTAAATCTGGAGTAAATCTTCTCAGGCCATCTTTATAGATCATAAAGAAATGAAGAAGGGGCAGAAAACCGTTTTCCTCCTTTTCTAATGGCAGCAGAAGCACACTTTATGATAGAAGCAAAATCCTTGCCCCGAACACTGCAACCTTCAGGACCCTTCACTAAAAGAAAGGATAACAGAAATAGCTAAAGAGATTGAGATAACAGACTGATGGGGGTGGAGGTCAGATTAACAAATTTGCAGGCTAGACACAAGAGGCAGCAGGGAGAATGGAGATATTTCTTCAAGAACCAGGGACCGGAATGTGCGACATCAACATTATTTTAAGGGCATGATCTAAACTAAAGACTGAAGTGTACAGTATGTGTATCAATGTGAGATTAAGCAATACAAAAATATGACACCACGTGCAGCTCATGGCAAGCAGCAGCTGATGTTGCCGTGTGTAGAAAAGCCACAAAAATTGGCAAGGCGAGCCAACACACTGCACGCATATTAACAGAGCTTGGAACAGAGATGGAAGTTTCAGCAAGCATCAGATGTTAAGCCTGGACTAGCTTGGTTTTGCATACAGTGCTGCAGATATATCCTGTCATTTAGGCCCGATCTACACTAGAAACTTTTGTTGGTATTGTAATGTTGGTCAAAGGGGTGATTTTTCATGACATTTCTATACTGGCAACAGCCTTAGTGTAGGCAGTTATACCAGTGACAAGTGCTTTTGGCAGCATGGCTTGTTTCATTCACAGAACCTGAGAAAGCTATACCTGCAAAACCCCCTTTTCCGCTGATATAAGTTGCATCTACACTACCCTGTGTGGGTTTGCTGATGTAGCCAGTATAGCTATACTAACAAACCTCTTCTAGTGTAGACTAGGCCTTAGCTTATCAGGTCAATGAACAGGAGATGGAATGCGGAAGGTAGACTGTGTGTTGACATCTCCCAATTAGCTAAATGTGAGCTGCTTTGGCTGCCTTCTCACTGAGAGAAGACCCAAGGCATGAGCTATTCTCATGGGCTGTATGGTACAGACCTGCTGGTGGCCTAGCTTTCTTAATAAAATGTTACCATTTAACTTATCAGGAGTGTTTCTAGTGATTCTCCTCAAAGTACTGAGCTGCAGACATGTTTTCTCCCCTGCTCCGGCCCCTACATGCTGCCCTAGCAGTGTACAGGGGTCATTAATGGGCCATCAGAGTCTGGGGGAGAATCCACCCAGAGGAGGTACAACATAGGGGCTCCAGAAACGGCCCTATGCTGCTCCCCTCACAAGACTTGGCACAGGGAGTGTGTCTGGGGCAGGGCTGGGCACAGGACATGGCACTATGAGGATTCTAGGCTGTGCTGCAATCTACAGGCAACCCAGGGTGAGTTGGCATAAATTATATCAGCTGGGGGCTGCTTTAATTTTTGCTGGGCACCATTGTGTCCCCTGGAGGAACTCCGAATCCAAAGGGCACAAATGTAGCATCAAGCCGCATTTGCCCATCCCTCCATCCCAAGGCTGCATTTTCTGTGCTGCGTCCCTTGGAGATGCAGCCCAGAATTGAACCTTGCACGTTTATAGTTGCCTCTGAACACAGTAACTAACAACATGCCAAACACAGCTGTAGTTGATGACATGGGGGCTATACAAATCTGGAGGGTGGGAAAGTCCACAGGTCTGTACAGATTGAGTCTTTGTGCCAAATTACGATATGTACTGGGTGGTAGAGTCTAGAGGCCCCATCCCCACGGTGCTGGGCATTGTACAAACTCATGATAAAGAGGCAGCCCCCGCCCTAAAGACATTACAGTCTAAGGCTTGGTCTACGCTACCAACTTATGTTTGTATAACTGCATCGCTTAGGGGTGTGGAAAATCCACACCCCATGCAATGTAGTTATACTGCCCTAACCCCCCCCCCCCAGTGTACACAGCTACGTCAATGGAAGGGCTTCTCCCGCCAACATAGGTACTCTACCTCCCCGAGGCGGTAGCTAAGCTAAGTATGTAGTGTCTTCACTACGTGCTACAGCGGCACAGGTGCACCGGTTCAGCTGCAGCACTGTTACTGTAAAAGAAAAGGAGGACTAGCGGCACCTTAGAGACTAACCAATTTATTTGAGCATAAGCTTTCGTGAGCTACAGCTCACTGCATCAGATGCAACCGATGAAACCGATGAAGTGAGCTGTAGCTCAAGAAAGCTTATGCTCAAATAAATTGGTTAGTCTTTAAGGTGCTGCTAGTCCTCCTTTTCTTTTTGTGAGTACAGACTAACACGGCTGCTACTCTGAAACCTGTCATATTACCGTAGACAAGCCCTGAGTAAGTGGGCGGTCCAAAATCAAAACGGTGTTTGGTTTGCTATTTTTTGAGTGGAGAAAGGGGTAGAGACTGAATTTGAATTAAGCCAGATGGTATCAAAATGAAAAGCAAATTAGTCACTGGGCCTAATTCACTGGGCACTAAAGGTATATCTACACTGCAAAAGATCCTGGTTCAACCGACTTGGACTAGCACCACGGGTCTAAAGATAGCAGTGTGGATGTCCCTGCTCCGACTGGTGCCCAGGCTCCGAGACACACACATCCCAGAGCCCAGGCTCCAGCCCAAGTATCTATACGTCTATTTTTAGACCTGTAGCATAAGCCCCATGAGCTTAAGCCAGCTGACTCAGCTCTGAGATTCACTGCCACCGGCTGCCTTTTTTTTTTTTTTTTTGCAGTGTAGACGTACCCTGATATACATAGGCTCTGCTCATTTCAACTGGGTTATGCCCGCTTACACTAGCAGTGCATTCCCATCAGTGGGTTCAACAAGTGCTACTCCGAAACAGGATTCTGTCACTGGACCAGATTGTGACTGGCCTTTATGCAGTGCAGGGGTAGGGCACTACGAGTCTTTCCTCTCTGCAAGGTATAAAGGCCAGTCACAATTACAATCGCTGTGTTCAGGGGAGAGTAGGAACTGTTCAGTCTGTGTGTCCCCTGGCATGGCCTACCCTTTGCCCACTTCAAGCCAGCCTGCAGAACCAGACCAGAGTGCGAGAGGTAGCATGCAGCCCTCCTGAAGCGATGCAGTACTGGATGTGCTCCCTCTGTGCAATGGGAAGCCCTAGAAAGAATTCTGTCTGAGCTAGACTTTGACACGTTACTGTTACCAGAGCCCCGGGGAGGGGGACTCCCATCAACTGAGGTCAGCAACAACCATGCTGCTGAGCTGCACAGATAATAGTATGTTCACCCAGCTCGGGTACCAAACAGCAATGTTAAAGGGACACGATCAGACAGTTTAGGCCCAACATTTAGGTTTTATTATTTTAGAAAAAGCATTTATAAAACATAAATTAATAGGAATGTTTTAATGAAATGTAAAATAAATGTACACAAAGCCAGGAGTTTTTGTCTGGATTGAAACATTGCCCTGTAGTGTTTGCAACTCATGCTTGGGCACGAGAATTAGAACCAGAATGTGAATGTCTAAAAACAAAAGTGAGATTAATGTGTCTATGGATGTCCAAGCTGGATGAAGCACAAAGAGTAAACAGTCCAAGTAGTGAAACTACTGTAGAACTTTAAAATTTTTTTAGTTGTAAAACCCTAAGGTATCATTGAGCAACACAGGGAACGATGTTTGTGCTTTACATCTGATATAATATTCAACCTGAAAGTAATCTTTCAAGCACCATTTTTCCACTTTCACTAGATCACATAACACCCTAAACATTCTAGCTTCAATTCCTTTCTTTATTAAGGATGAGAATTATCAATGCATAAGATGGCAACTACCAGTTCTGCTTATAATATAAAGTTATGTTTAAATTAACCCTTTTTGAAACCCCAAACCAGACCTCTGGCAATTTAAAGGAATAAAACAGCAATGTACTGTATTTAAATTATACAATGAAGCTACCCACTAGTGTTTATACAAGATTATCTTTCCTATCAGTGTTTGTACATACACTATTCACTTCTGCACCAGTAAGTACAATTTTGTTCTGGTTTAGAGGAGGCCGTGGGAGCAGAATTGGGACTTAAATGTATGAAACCCCAGTAACTGGTACTTTTATAAGTGCCTCAGTAGAAAGAAGGCAGAGAGAGACCACAGTCCCTGCAGCTAAATTGGGGTGGGTGCTGGGTACACCTAAAAACATTGGCTGACATAGAGGCAAGTGGCTTTTCAAGAAAAGAGCAGGAAGAAGAGAGCCTGGCACCCAGTGGCAGGATCTAGCTCCTCCCTCTGCCTACTTACGTCCTGATCCTGCAAACACTTACATACCTGCTTAACTCTATGCACTCGTGTG